TCAACGCCTTCCTCATCACCTTTTTCCTTTCCCAAAGGGTATAACCAATCAGTTTAAAAGTAATAATGAAATAATAAAATGGGCGGACACAATAAAAACTTTTTTTGCGTGACCTAACGATGACGAAAATCATAAAAATTGAAAGAATTGTGTAATTTAATTGATCAACTTTTTTAATGATTCTTATCATTAAAGGCGGATTAAATGCGACAATTCGCTAATTCACTCAAAAATCTCTTTAGAATAATACAGTGACAGATGTGAGAGAGAAATAGTATTTAAAAATGAGATAGTTTTCTCTTAAGATTCCGGAAATATTAATACACATTTCCGGAAAGGTAAAATAATTTTCCGGAAAAATATAGACTATGAAATAACTATAAAACAAATTCCGGAAAAGTGAATACATTTCCGGAAGGATTAAATATACTTTCCGGAAAATTAGAATAAATTTCCGGAAATATTAAATATACATACTTTTCCGGAAAAATTAAATATACTTTTCCGGAAATATTAAATATAGTTTTCCGGAAATATTAAATATAATTTTCCGGAAATATTAAATATAATTTTCCGGAAAATTAAATAACTTTTCCGGAAAATATTAAATATAGTTTTCCGGAAATATTAAATATAATTTTCCGGAAAAATTAAATATACTTTTCCGGAAATATTAAATATAGTTTTCCGGAAATATTAAATATAATTTTCCGGAAATATTAAATATAATTTTCCGGAAAATTAAATAACTTTTCCGGAAAATATTAAATATAGTTTTCCGGAAATATTAAATATAATTTTCCGGAAAAATTAAATATACTTTTCCGGAAATATTAAATATAGTTTTCCGGAAATATTAAATATAGTTTTCCGGAAATATTAAATATAATTTTCCGGAAAATTAAATAACTTTTCCGGAAAATATTAAATATAGTTTTCCGGAAATATTAAATATAATTTTCCGGAAAATTAAATAACTTTTCCGGAAAATATTAAATATAGTTTTCCGGAAATATTAAATATAATTTTCCGGAAAAATAGAATATACCTTTCCGGAAAAATTAAATATACTTTTCCGGAAATATTAAATATAGTTTTCCGGAAATATTAAATATAATTTTCCGGAAAAATAGAATATACCTTTCCGGAAAAATTAAATATACCTTTCCGGAAAAATTAAATATACCTTTCCGGAAAAATTAAATATACCTTTCCGGAAAAATTAAAATAAATTTTCCGGAAATATTAAATATACTTTTCCGGAAATATAAAATGAAGAGAAGATGGCTATAAAAATATAAATACTTTTATAATTAATATTTCCTACTATATGTTTAGTAGTAAAATGCAAATTTTTTATCAAAAGAAATTTAAAAAATTGGTCAATTTAAAAGTACTATTGTCCCAATAAAAATATAAATAAAATACCCAAATATGCATGAAAAAATGAGTTTTTAATGCAAAAAAGATTTAAGAAGATGCTATCTAAAAAGAAAAATATAAATATATTTTTAGGGGCGCCAACACAAATTTGTCATTTTATTCGCCCCTAAAGGCGAGGATTTGTATGAAAGTATTTTCTCTTTTATTTTTTAATCTCTTGGCGGCTGTCGAGAAGAAAAAACTTTTTATTTTTTCCTGAGCTTTCGCCAAATGAGGAAAAAAGAGGAAAATTGATGAGAGGGATTACGGTCACGTTATGAAAGATTTTTTGAGTTAGTAGGATTAGATGGAAAATATTTTTAATTATTTTTTGGGGCAATAAAGGAAATAAATATATTCTCAAAAATTGAATTTTATCGTTAAATTAACAGTAACTGTTAAAATATATTTCCGGAAATGTAGAATATATTCCGGAAAATTAAATACATTTCTTGAATTTAATAAAGATTCCAAAACCAATATAAATTTCCGGAAAAATAATAGAATAGATTCCGGAAAGATTAAATAAATTTCGGAAACAATGAATACATTTCCGGAAAATAGAATACAAATAGAATATTTCCGGAAAAATAGAATAATAGGAAAAATAGAATATTCCGGAAAAAAATAAAAATATTTCCGGAAATGTAAAATATATTCCGTAAAATTAACTAACTCTCTAGAAATATAACATATTCCGGAAAAATTATACATTTCAGAGAATATATGTATAATATTTTCCGGAAACATAAATTTCTGCAAAAATAAAATAGATTCCGGAAAAATTAAATACTCTTCCGGAAAAATGGCATTTCCGTAAAGTTCAGAAATACAAAATAGATTCCGGAAAATAGAATACTTTCCGGAAAAATATACATTTCCTGAAATTTAAATTCCGGAAAAATAAATACATTTCCGGAATGATTAAATAAATTCACGGAAATATTAAATACTTTTCCGGAAATATAAAATACTGTTCAGAGATACATACAATTTAACCTAAACAATCGGATAGCCATCCTGCCAATTTTTATTTTATTTTAAAATTTTTAAAAAGATTGCATCAAAAATACGCGCACTCAAATTTTACTTTTTCTTCTCTTCATCGGTCATTTTGGTGACAACTCTTGAGATTTTGGGAAGATAGACGACAATATATCACTTTTCCTTCTTTCATTCATTCGCACTTCAGAAGGGGACAGTGTTGGCATCAAAAAGTATCAGCAGAAAATTTGTTCCCTAGGGGGTTATTTTGTCATTGAAGGGAGTAAGTGAGAAGAAATGGCTGTTTAAAAGTATATGACAGCTTAAAAAGGTTGTCAACTCAAAAAACGCGACAAAACTGAGATTTTTTTATTTTAACCCGAAAATGTAAAATTTTGTTAAAAAGTAAAAGAAACAAAAAATGGAATGTGATTTTATGAATTTAAAAAAAATTTAATTTTAATAAAATAATTTTCCGGAAACTATAAAATTAACTGCTTAAGAAAGAAAATATTTAATTTATATTTATTTCCGGAAAAGATGTTTTCCGGAAAAATTATATGTCTCTGTTGCTGTTGGAGAAACTATTGCAAATAGAAATTCAGATATTCAACCAGAAATTTTTGATGCTTCTCATGCTGGTTTCTAACCTTTAAAAAATTTTTTTTTTGCAATTTTTAAGGTTCTTCCAATGCAAATTTGCATTGTTAAATGCTGGTGATTGGAAAAAAAGAATGAAAGAATTGGGGAAAAAATTATGAAAATTTTATTGCCTTTCATTTTATTCTATACATTTTGAAGAGAGAATCAATAAATTTGAAATTATTTTTTTTTTTGATAGGATATACTAGTGTATGGCATCAGAGATGGGTCGGAATTCCGATTTCCGACGTTTTGAACCAGTTCTAATTTCCGACACCTCTGACTGTTCCAACCCACCTCTGTGTGGCATGTGAGAGATCCCGTCCTGGGATTTTACGGGATCCCGTCCTGAAATCCCTAGCTTTAAGCGACAAACGGGGTTTGTGGAATTAATCCCGCGGGATCCCTTCCGTCGATCTTTTCCTCTCCGAGGGATAGGACAGGCCAATTATTTATAAAAATAAAATAATTTTTTTAACCTTAATTTTCCCTAGAAATTTAAAAATAAAAATTTTTAAAAATTTTATTTATTTTATTATTCTGGCATTTTGTATTTAATAGACATTTTGTCCTTTTTGGAATATTTCCCTCTTTCTCTCTCTTTTTTACACACTATTTTCTTTTTCCTTAAATTTTTATTTTTAATTTCTTGCTTATTTTTAGGTTTATTATTTTTTAGAATCTCTTATTTAACTTTTAATTATTCTTGAAAAATGACTGATTATAATAGCGATAATGATGACGACCATACTTTGGATTGTGAAGATGAGGAAGACGAAGGTTTATTTTTTAAACAAATTTTGGATCAATTTTCCAAATTTTTAGCTACTCTAGACGAGGAGGAAGGCTTAAATGATGAGGAGGATTATGGAAATGAATTGAAAGAATTACAAGAAGACGGGGAACTTTCAATAGAAGAATTGAGGAGAAAATATTATGGAAGTGAAGAAATTGGGGAGATGGCAAAAACTTCGAAGGAAATTGAAGGGGACCAAAAAGATGCCAAAAATGCTCAATCTTCTTCCTTTTCTAGTTCACAACAACGAGTTGGAAGTTTAAGAGGTAAAATTATTTCATCAATTGCGAGTACTTGTGAAGCTGCTGTGAACAATTATTTCAAACCTGAGGATTTGGAAGAGGACGAATCTGAGGATTATTTGCCTCCTGAACTTTGGAAAAAGGAAATTCGTATAGGGCCGGATTATCAGGTTTAATTTTAAATATTTTTGGGTTTTTTATTGTGGTCCCTATAAAAGTTTCCGTCGAGTATATTTTCCAGAGCCAGGTTGGAGTCTTAGAGTTTCCCCTGTGCCCAAACCTAGGTCCTTTCTGAGTTACCTGGAAGAGGAAGCAGAATTTCTGAGCTACCTGGAATTTTTTTCTATTTTTTGATTCCTAATAATCACTGATGGAACCTAGTCCTGCTGCTTCCCATCCCCATTTGCTCTCGGTGTTCCTGTCAAAAATATTTTCTGGAGACCGAGTTGGGGTCGTAGAGTTTTTGAGTTACCTGAGGTTTCTATTTTTGGATTTCTAGTAATCACTGATGAAATTGGGTCCTCAGGTAACTCAGAAACTCTGCTTCCTCTTTCTGATTTACTCTCGATATTCCCTTCAAAAATATTTTCTAGAGACCGAGTTGGGTTTAGGCCTTGGAATTTCTCTTGTACCTAAACCTAGGGTTTTCTGAGATGCTGGTTTCAATGGAATCCGGGCATTTAGCTAAAATTTAATTTCCAACTACCTCGTTTCTATTGTTTTATTTAAATTCTCCATATTTTTAGGTCTCAAATATTCCCCAAGTTATACAAATCTCAAATAATAATAAAAACAAACCTGTTGAAACTTGTGAAGTTCTCTGGATTTCTTCTCCAGATTGTTGTCCTGAATCTGTAGTAACCGAATATTTAATTGAATGTGAACAAATACGTGCTGGAGAAAAACCAAAGAATGGAATGTCTCAAACTTCTAAAAAACGCTCTTCTTCAGAAACTGCTTCGACTTTAACGGGAGAAGAGGAAATTGTTCCTGACGATGAGAATGCTCTTTTTGCGCTTTATTTGGTATATTTTTGGAAATTTTTTGTTTATTTTAGTTGGAAGGGTTTTTGAATTTTTAAATATTTTTGTCCGCAAGTTTTGTCCGCAAATTCCCCATTAGGTTAAATTTTCGTTTTAACAATGTTTCTTGCTTCTATTTGGGATAAATATTTTTATAGTTATTTTCCTAATTTTAAAGGCAAATTATAACGTGAAAAAAGCTAAAGCAAAAGCCCCCTTTGAATGGCCTGCCCTCTGTTCAGTCAACGGACCTCGCTTAACACAACCACCAGGTACTTTAAGAACATGGACAGAAGAGGATTGTGAAAATTTTGAGAAAGGAATGGCTGAGCATGGAAAACACTTTTTGAAGATTCAACGAGACCATGTTTCTTTTTAAAAAATTTTTTGAAAATTAAAAAAAAAATTTTTTTTCAAGTTGCAAAGGAGAACATTGGGCGAAATTGTTAGTTTTTATTACAGCTGGAAAAAGAGTGAACGGCACAATATTTGGCGACAAGTCCAACAAAGTCGTCGAGAACTTCAACATGTTGATGTTAAATGTGTTGATTTAATGGGACAAATTGCTGAATCTATTTTACGTCAAAATCAAGTGGAGGATGTTAAAGAGGAAAGAAATGGGGGAAATTTGGTGGTGGAGAATTCAACGACAACAGATACTTTAAAGACGACAACTTCTACTTCGACTGAATAAGGTTTTTATTTAATAAATATATTTTTGGCATTTAATTATATAAATAGAATGTAGAATAAGGGTGATCAGACTTTAATTTAAAAATCTAGGAGGGCTAGTCCTTAAATTTTGTTGTTGACTTAAACTAAAGGTGGACCATAAGTGCCGTGTTCCTCCTGTCCTCGCTTAACACAGCCAAAGTTCCTCCTGTCCTCGTTCAACAGGACCTGTTTCTGACCTCTCGTCTTTAATTAAAATCTTTTTAAATTGAAGCTCGACACCTGCGTTCCAAGGTTAAGCTTGAAAACATTAAAAACCATAATAAAAGTCCATTTTTTTGATATTTATATGTTGACTCTTCCTCCCACTTTTACAACAATGGTGGGCCCCAAATGTCGTGTATTCCTGTTTCTGACCCCTCGTCCTTTAATTAAAAATTTTTCTTAATTAGAGCACGACACCTGCTTTTCAATTCTAAATTTCACAAAAACCTCCAAAATAAAAATCAATTTTTGATATTTATATGGTGACTCTACCTCACGCCTCTATACAAGAGGTAGGCCCAAGTGATGTGTGCTCCTCTTTTTTTGACTCCCTTCGGATTCGATTAAAGTCTGATCGCAAATTTAGGTTTAATGGTGTAGTCATTTCAAGAGAGATTGTGTTTTTGTCAAAAAAATTTTTTTTCGCAAATTAAAAAGAATAAAAGGATCATCACAATCTCTTAAAATTTCTCTTTTTAATCGAAAAAAAACTGTTAACCATTTAGGAATATCATTTAATCAAATCTCGGTCATTTTTCCATTTATTTTTGTTTTCCTCTTCCTCATATATTTAATAATTATTAGAGACCGGAATGAGAGAAAGGGGTTGTATGAAAATAGGATATCTTGAAAAATATCAATCTCGATAACCTAGATTTTTGTTCGAAGAGATCTCGCCTCGGTCCGGTCTCTAATTTTCAATTTATAAATATTAAAATGACTAAAAAATTTTGGAACCAAAAAATTGGGCCAAAAGAAAATATAGGGAATATATAAAATTATTTTTTTGTGTAACCCCAAATATACCTATCTAATTTGTAACTATTTTTGAGCTTTTTAATTTGTTTAAAAAAGAAGAAAAATAAAATTTTTTCCAACCCCCACGCATTTTTCTATTTTTAAATTTCCTCATTTTCAGTGCTTCTCTAAACACTTCTTGATTTATATATTTTTTAAAAAAACTGAATTTTAAAATAGAAAATTGAAGGAATCCTTTACGGGGTTTTACATGACCCCGTCCCGAGAAATCCTGGGTTTTAGGCCATTAACGGAATTTACTGAATTAATCCCAAAAAAGTCACGTCATGAGATCGCCGGATAAAATTCAGTTTTTTCTTTGTTTATTTAAATATTTTTTTAACTAATTTGAAGAAAGAAAAAACTTAACGATTATTTTAAAACCCAGAAAATTTTCCTTCCTGCCTACCTAAATTTAAAAATATTACCTAATTAACAATTTATATATCTAAAAAAATAATTGATATTATTTTATGTAGAATGATTTTGTGTATAAAAATAAAATAAAATTTTTTTTACAAAAAATTTTTTGATGCCTTTCCATTATTCCTACGGTTTTTTGCGGACTTTTTTTTGTTTGCGGACTTAATTTTTTGCGGACTTTTTTTTGCGGATTTTATTTTGCGGATTTTTTTTGCGGATACACTTATTTCCCTGCCTATACCTGTGTTTTTCATAAATTTTCTTTTTTAGAAAATAACTGTATCCGCAAAAAAAGTCCGCAAAAGTCTGTGGAGGGATAATGGAAAAGCCCTAAATTTTTTAAAATTTTTTTACAAAAAAACTTTTCAAGCACTTCCATTAATTTTAATTGTTTCTTTAAAAGAATTCTTCATTACCTTCATTTTAAATATACAATAAACAGGTTTATGGTCACTACAATGTACTTCCCATACACAATCATAACGTATTGCAGTTAAACCGTCAGGCTCTGGGTTGGTCCAAAAAAGTACTCGGTCCTTTAAAGAAAGAAATTTTTGGGGACATGTTCTGATTTTTAGAAAGAAAAAGAGATGGAAAAAATCGTCTTTCAAGTTTTTTCTTTCCCCATTAGAAATGAATTGGGTCGAGGGGCAAGGAATGAATTGGTTTTTTCGGGTTACTCGAAATCCGACCTGACTTTTTCTTCAACCAAGCCTATACCTGTTAAGGAAATAAATTTTTTATTTTATCCAGTATAAAAAGACTGGGCCGAGGAGTAAAGATGGGCTGCGACCCAAAACTCGGATTTGTTTGCTCCTTCTGATTCCTGCTTCTCTCGAAACTCGATCCAAAAATTTCTTAAAATCCTACCCGAACCCCGACTTTTTTCCTTATCCGGCCCATCCTTGCTAACAATAATGAGTGAAAAGGGGCAGTAAATTTAATAAAAAACCGTGTACGAAGGCATTCTGCTTGGCATATAAAAATTGCTGTCAATACGAAATTTATGAGTTGGAGGGAATTTTATAATTGCTTCACGAAAGCCTTTGAATAAACCTAAAAATTAATTTCCTTATTAAAAAATATTTTTAAGTAAAAAATAAAAACCATTAGCCCTTTCCAAGCTAAGCTCGTCATGTGCCAAAATCCGTTGAAAATCTGCCTGTCTACGAAAAAGCCGTTTTTGCATGTTTTCTGCGACGTCAGACAATTCTTCCTTTCGCAAAACGCGAAAATTTAGGTCTCCGAACCAAAAAAGGTGAACTAGATTTTTGCCTTAATTTTTTGATATTTTAACGAAAATAAAAAATTATCATTACCACTTTGTTTTTGTAAGGAATTAAAATCAAATTGGGCAGCGATTCGTCTATAATCGAGGATTCTGCGTTCTAATTTGCCGTCTAAATTTTTGATAAAAATTATTTTTATTTAGTGGTATGTTGTGTACTCAAAATCCGCAAAAAATATTTTTTTACAAAAAGTCCGCAAAATAATTTGCAGACAAAATTTGCGGACAATCCGCAAAAAATTGCGGATTTTGAATTTTTTTGGAACTTGCGGATTCTGGGAACATAACCAAAAAGAATCAACTTACGTGCCAAATGACAAGCTACAAAAATACATTGGCATTGAAATAACCGGAAACGAATAGAAATTGCACCTTTAGTACGAAAAGGGCTTGCTAAATTAATGCCTGCTACAAAACGATATTCTGGTTCTAATGAAGTTTAGAAAAATTTAAAAGAAAAATTATAATGAAGAGATACGTGAAGTGAATAAACTGAGAGGATGTTTAATAAAAAGCACCAACATTTGAGACCATTTACGAACCCAGCAAAAAACGCGGTGGGTAGAAGATAGTGACTTTCCAAGTGATGAAAGTACTGAAGAGTGAAATCTTCTGTTAAAAAAGACTTGAATATAGTCAGATCTCATTATAAGATACTCCCCAAAGGCTGGAGAACTGTACCTTATAATGAGATATTGCTTAAGCAGTACCCCCACCCAGTAGACAACCACTTTTAAAAAGGTTAGTCATTGGATGGTCTACTGTCCAATTAATACTCTCTATTTAAGAGACACCTCATTATAAGAGACGATTTTTCCTAAATAGAGGGGTCTTATAACAAAGTTCTAATTAAGAATTAAATATTAACAAAGTAGAGGCAGGCAATTCCTGTAAAGCCAAGGCAATCAACGACGGCCTTTCCAAAGGAGGCATTTTGGCAAATAAGTGATTTAAACGAGAAAGGGAACGACTTGCCTGAATCAAAAATTATTAAAAAATTTAAACAATTGAAGAAAAACCTTCCCAGCAATATTCCAAGTAAAACACATTGCAGAAATTGAATCAGACCCATAATCCAATAATTTATTTATTTCATCATTGGTAGGTAAAATAACTCCACCTGGGCCGGTCACTCTTGGACTGTAAAAAAGGGAAATGGAATTGGAAGTTTTTATTCTGTTCTGATTTTTTAATTTTTGTTCTGATTTTTCTGTTTGAGGTTTCTGATTTTTTATTCTGATTTTTCTATTCTGATTTTACTATTCTGATTTTAGAAATCAGAAAATTCTGATTTATTCTGATTTTCTTCTTGTTCTGATTTTTCTGCTTCTGATTTTTGCTCTGATTTCTATTCTGGTTTTCTATTCCGATTTTTTCTGTTCTGATTTTTTACTGATTTTTCTGTTCTGATTTTTTCTATTAAGAAATACACTCACCCAACAGCATCCAATTGCCTCTGAAAATCTTGTTCACAAAATTGGCTATGGAATTCCCCCAAATGGTCCTCACAATGCGGATTATGAGGATGATGATGTTTTCTTGAAGTTGTTGGGGTTGTTTGATTTTTTGTTGGTTCGGGGAAGTCTTCCATTAATCTTTTATATTTAAACATTAAATGGCCACAACTTTTTAGGGTTTTATTGGAGAGGCGGTACTTTTTTTGGCCATTTTATTCAATTTTCCTTTCATTTTTTCGTTACCATGACAACCATTTATATTTAATTACTTCACAAATTGAGTTTTAAATGCTTAAAAGTTATTTAAAAAAGTTTTTGGAAAAATTAAAAAATAATTCTGATTAAAATAAAAAAATATTCTGATTTTTGTAAAAAAAAATTCTGATTTCTGTAAATGGAAAATTCTGATTTTAAATTTAAAAAAATCAGAATTATTCTGATTTTTGAAAAAAATTCTGATTTTTATAACTGGAAAATTCTGATTTCAAATTTAAAAAAATAAGAATTATTCTGATTTTTTATAAACCAAATTCTGCTTTAAATTACAACTTATTCTGATTTTATTTAACTCATACACTTAAGTACTTAAGTAAGGTCTGTCTACCAAATTCTGATTTTTAAATTAAAATACAGAAATATTCTGATATCTCTTATTGTTTTTATTTAACCCAACCAATATTATTTAATTTCCAGTTATTTTAAAATGACCACACTTCCCCTGTATTTTTCTGAAACAAAAAATATATATTAAGTAAACACAAATAATAATATTACTGTTAATCCCTCAGTTATTTTCCCATAAAATATATAAAGTCAATTAGTCAAGAGAAAATTCTTTGGAAATTTTTTTTGGAAAAATTAACTCTAAAAAGTTGGAAAAATAGAAATAAAATGGTGTGGAATTACACATTTTTGGGGTATTTTTGATGGAATTTTTGGGGTATTTTTTGGAGGAAAATTAAAGGTAAAAGGTAAACTTGTAATATCCCCCCTTTGGTCTTCCTCTCTCATAAAAATTTCAAAAAAAAAAATTTAAAATTACTTAAAAAAATGTCTTTTGAAATTCCCCCCAAATTCAGTATTAAATCTATTTTGACTAAAAATGAAGAAAATTGTTTTTCCTCGTTTCAAAATTCATTAATTCTTGACCCTCTACAAGGCCAACAACCTTGTTTAGCAACCCAAACAACTCAAATAGTTACCCCTACATTGGCTGAATTACAAATATTTTTTGGGTTAAATGGTTGGGTTTTTTGGAAATTTTTGGAAAATTTTTTTTTGAAAATTTCAAGTACGAAAACACGAATATAGCCGTTCTAGAAGAAGAAATGTTGAGAGAAAGCCAAGACAGGTAAGGGAGAAGAGAGATTATTTACTAGGCGGGAGGTTATGTCCTATATTAAAAAGGGGAAAATGAAAAAAAGCACTCCGATAACTCAGTCGGAAGATCATCTATACGTGGTGAATGAATGCTCCTAGCAAGCAACAACTGCCAATAAGTCGCAGGATACCTGCCCGGTGCTAAACATTTACCTCTCTCTTGAAAGAAACGAGCTTTTAAGGGCCCTTTTAGCCTTTACCTCTCCCTCACTATGAAAACTAGTGAGGGAGAGGTATGTCAGTCCATCACATAGAAGGACATCCATGACACCCCCCCCCCCATGACAGCCCACAATGTCAAGGCTGCCAATACACCCAAAAAGTAGTGAGCTGGTTACTGACACCTCCGATGGCGTTACGGAACCCCCTTCCGGTAATCATTAAGAGGATCTTCCATTTATTAATCGGGTCTAAATTTAAATTTAAAAAAAAAAATTCAGGCATATACAGAACAACAATTAAATACTTTGGAACAAGCTTTTATGGTTATTAAATTTTTAAAAAAATTTATTAAAAACAAAATTAAAAGGAAGATAAATATTTGTCAGTCCAAAAAAGAGTTCAATTAGCTGTTGATTTAATGCTTAGTGAAACACAAATTAAAACTTGGTTTCAGAATAGAAGGTAATTAAGAGAGATTAAAAGAGGGAAATGAGAGAGAGGGAGTGAATATATGAAGAATAGAGTTAAGGGCCCGATCCGAAAGATCGAGTAGGGCATTGAATTTTGGCCAGAAAAAGACTCGGTCGGGCCGGCCCGAAAAAATGACTCGAACGTCGGCCGTACTCGAAAACCCCAACCCTAATGAAGAATTATGAAGAAAGGGAGAGGTTGAAGTAAGAGAATGGGCTTGGAAAGGAATAGTCTCTGGTCTCTGAACAAGTTATCTGTTCAGAGTCAAGTTTATATTTCAAGTAATGAACTGAGTCTGGTTAGAACGTCCCCGAAAATCGAGGAAGCAAATTCCCCCTTTTTTATACATGTCGATGAAAATTCTGCCTCCTCAAAAATCCTAAGGCCATTCCCCACACTGAAGACTAACCATAATTTCGAGATTAATAATTGGAGGATATTTTTAAATTGACAATGGAAGGAATTAAATAAAAAAAGAGAAAAGGAATAAGTCTATGACATAAATATGAAAAAAAAAATTATAAAATAGAAATTAAAAAAAATTTAATTTCAGAACAAAATGGAAGAAACAATTACTGACTCGCTTAGACAAATATACCAACAACGAACAAAAATATAAAAAATAATTTTTTAAAATTTATTCCCTTTCCTTACTATCTAAACTAATCGTTACAGGACCATCATTTTCAATATGTACAGACATAAAAGCACCAAATTTCCCGTCCTTTGGATTTTTAGAAATTAAAAATAAAAATTTTGGCTAACCTTTATTTTTTCTGGAACATATTTTGATTTTAATTTTTCCAAATATTTCAAATAAAATTGTGGAGCATCTTCAGGATTCATTGAACGGTGAAAGTCTAATTTATTCCCTTTTATTAGTGCATGTAAAGTGAACTGAAAAAAATTTTTTAATTATAAAAAAATTTTTTTTGTATTTGACGTGGAGGACGAAACGGATTTTTTATCAAAATTTTACAAAATTTTTTTATTAATTTTTTTATCAATTGGACATTTAACGCTTCCAAATCTATAATAAACAAAAAGGTCGTAAACGCGCCTCGCAAAACTAGGTCCCTCTATTGTGTTTACAACTAACAATAAGGTTGCCTAAAATGGACCGAGCCTGGTTTTAAAGATTGAGGATTTTTGCGGACAATATTTGCGGACAAAATGAACCGAGCCGGGCATAAGATATTTGACCCAAAAGACTCGTACGGCCCGACTCTATAAAAACCAGGCTAGAAAAAATGACTCGGAAAAATCAGGCCCGACTCGAAAACGGCAACCCTATTTAAAACTAAAATACTTCCCCCACCTCCCAATAAAACAAGTATTTAAAAAAACACAAAAATCCCAAACCTGACTAACAGAAAGCACTTCCAACCCCAAATCTACCACAGATTTGTCCCACCTCTTCCCATTTTCTGGGTTTTCAAAAATTCTCAAATTTAATATTTTCCTAACCATATATTCAATATCCTCATCTCCATCTTCTCTACTTATTCCAATCAAAACACAAATACCTCTGCCAATTGAAGAAATCTAAAAAAAGAATTTTTTTAATAAAAAATAGTTAAAATCCAAACCGTTTCTTGTTCAACAACAACACTAGCCCTACAAACTCGTTGAATAATTGCCTTCATAATTTAATTTAATTAGAGGACCTTTAACATTTTGATGAAAAAATTGGTTTAAAAAATTTAATATTTTTGCGGACAACATTTGCGGACAAAATTTGCGGACAAATTTTTTGGATAAAATTTTTGCGGACAATATTTGCGGACAAAACTTGTGGACAAAATTTTTGCGGATAAAATTTTTGCGGACAAAATTTGCGGACAATATTTGCGGACAACAAACACTTTTGCAGAATAAGTTTCCATCATCCCAAGAAGTATCAACCCTCCGATATATTGAACAAATTAGAATATTAGACATTGGATAGTGTCTTATTTTTAAAAAGAATGTCCGCAAATTTAGTCCTCAAAATTTACCAGCGAAAAATATTTTTGGCAATACCAAGAAAATCAATTTTTCAGGGCTGTACGAAATCTCTTTTAAATCTGTTTCGACCCAGCCCTGGTACACAGATTACGAAATTTTGGTATTTCAAACAATTTATAAATTAATGAGAATAAAAATTAATTTTTTTTTGTTTAATTAGCTGTTTTGAATAAATTTAAACTTTTTTTTAAATTTAAATAAGATCACTTCCAGAAAGAAGTCCTTTTTTCTTTATGGCATATTCAAACAAGAGAGAAGATTAGTTTTGCATTCATCAAATTATTTTTTGCCTTCGGAAACTATGTATGTTAATAAAAAAGAATTAAGAAGAAATTAATTCAAACTAATCTTCTCTCTTGTTTGAATTTGCCATAGAGAAAAAAGGAAAGGGGAAAAATCTGACCATTATGTACTTTTTCCTTAAGTAAGGAAAAATGGAGGGGGGGGGGGGCAATCTTCAGTACAGTGGTGGTCATATGTTTATGGACAACAACAATTTATCAATAAAATCCCTCATAACAAAATTAAATTTCTGTGCACAAAACACAGAACGTAGAATCTGCGGACAATTGAAATAGGGGCTCAGTACGAAATTCCCGTCTCTTCTCTCTTTTTAATTTTTGTTTGGAAAATTTGTTTATTTAGCTGATAATTTTTAAAAACTAAAAAGCGAAAATCGAATTTTGCTGTACCGAGAATACACATACAATTTTAAACTACAATTTTGCCAACAATTTTTTTATATTTAATGAAATATAAAAAAATTATTTTATTTATTATATCCCTTTACACTGCGGTGCAAAAAAAAATTATTTTATCTATCTCTTTACACTAGAAAATTTTATTTATTTATTTATTTATTTATTTATCAACAAAAAAAAATGTCATCGAAAGGGCGTGCCACTTAATTCGACAACAATGTCGTAGCGTGGCACAATAAAAATAATAAAAATAAAAATAAAAAACAGCATATAAAGTCATACTAATTTAAATTATAAAAAAACACAAATTTGATATTATATTTGATTTATTCTTTAAATAAATATACTCCGTACCGACCATTTTAATGATTTAATTATTTTAAATTGTCAAAATTTAAAGAATTGATTTCTTCAACAATTTTGCTGCGTTTTTCGTTGTTTGTCATGTTTGCTGCAAAATTTAATGGAGAAAATTCAGAAGAATTGCGCTTAGACATTTTAGTCAAAAAATATTACCCAATTGTTTTAAATTTTTCAAAAGTCCTTAAAAAAAGCAAATTTGATTTAAAAGAGATAAATTGAGCAAAAATAAAAATTAAGAGAAAAGAAAAACTATGTTTTTAATTTAATGAGTCATCAAAAGAAAAATTGTATGGTTGAGTAAGAGACAATAGGATAAATTGTCATTAAATGTATTTTTGAACATAATGCCAAACAATAAATTTTAATTATTAATTTGAAATTTCCTTGTTCAAATATGCAAAATAGTAGTCATTTAACTATAGTTAATAGTGAAAGGAACGAATGCGAGAGAGAAAAACAAAAAACATAGAAATGAAAAAAATTCTTAGATTATACCAATAAAAAAGATTTGTTTAGATCTATTGAATAAGTATTGCTTTTATTTTATTTTTAAAACTAAGGGTTATTTTTGTAGTCCTAATTTCTTCATGTAAAACATTCCACATCTTAGTTACCCTATTAACAAATGAGTTCGATGACTTAGAATTTTGATTTTTAGATAATAAATAACATTTTTTCCTATTTGATATTTTAAAGAGATTGTCTGATTTAAGATGTGTATATCCATGTAGGATTCTATGTGCTAAAACGAGATCATAAGTTTTACGACGGTTTTCGAGAGTAGGAAGGTTAAGAAATTCTAATCTTTGTAAATATGGTATATATGGTAATGAACATTTTCTAAGTAAAGATTTTGTAAAGAATTTTTGACATTTTTCAAGTTTGTTAATTTCGGATCTTAGTTGTGGATTCCATGTTTCAGGAGAGTATTCTAGTAAGGGTCTTATATAACTTTTATAGATAGTAAGCCATGTTTTTATAGATTTTGATTTGATTATTTTAAACACAAAATTCATTTTTATATAAGCAGCCCTAATAATTTTTTGTACATGTTCTTGAAATTTAAGTTTATTATCAATTATGATGCCTAGATCGCGTATAGAATCTACTTCATTTATAGTTGTATCAAAAATTTTATATTGATCTTTAGGATTAGTTTTACCAAGATAAATGATATATGTTTTATTAATAGCTATATTTAATTTCCATTTAGTTGCCCATTGTTCAATATTTTTGATAGCATCAGTAAGTATTCTTCTTTCATTTTTAGTTTTGTGTATAACATATACTTTGACATCATCAGCAAAAAGTTTAATTTTTATACCATTTGGGATTATATCAGGTAAATCATTAATATAAATCAGAAATAATAATGGGCCTAACACAGATCCTTGTGGTACACCTGATTTGATATTTCTAGGTTTGGATAACGAGTTGTTTATTTTGACTCTAAAAGTTCTATTGGTAAGAAAAGATGAAATCCAAGTTAAAATCTTTCCTCTTATACCTATTTTATATAATTTATTGATTAAAAGATCATGTGGCACTGAGTCATTATGACCCCAACCTAGCAAATTTTGTTTAAATTCTTAATTTTTTATTCAAAAAATACGTTCTATATAGCAAGCGAAAGCTCTATTTGTATCTCAGTTGACATGTTTCTGCATTTTCCATGAAAACGAAAATTGGCCGAGATATCCGGATTAAGCCGGATATCCCAAATCTCATATCCTCGGAAAAATTTTTCGGAAAAAATTTAACAAACCCATTTGATAAAGCATATTTTTGTGAGTATTTACCACAAAACCGCTTAGAAATATCTTTTTCCGGAACGGAGATATGATTTTTTGAAAATCGAAAAAAAGCGTTTTTTTGACGAAAAATGGCAAAAATGTGGTATTTTTTCGATTTTCAAAAATTCATAACTCGGTCGAATCTCGACCGATTTGGATGATTTTTTTGTATTATATGTAGAATCTAGAGGAGAATCACATATATTTTTTACAGACCTCAAAAAAATTTCTTCGAAAAGTTGAAAATGTAGTACCTGTTAGACCGGTCGAAAAGTTTTCGAAAATATCAGAATTTCGAAAAATGCAGAAACATGTCATCTGAGAAACAGATAGAGCTTTCGATTGCCATATAGAACATATTTTTTGAATAAGTGTGCATAAACTTATGAACAAAAAACTAGTGTGCATAAACATATGCACCGCAGTGTATGTTTATGGACAACAACAATTTATCAATAAAATCCCTCATAACAAAATTAAGAAATTTCTGTGCACAAAACACAGAACGTAGAATCTGCGGACAATTGAAATAGGGGCTCAGTACGAAATTCCCGTCTCTTCTCTTTTTAATTTTTGGTTAGAAAATTTGTTTATTTAGCTGATAATTTTTAAAAACTAAAAAGCAAAAATCGAATTTTGCTGTACCGAGAATTCACATACAATTTCAAACTACAATTTTGCCAACAATTTTTTTATATTTAAAGAAATAAAAATTATTTTATTTATTATGTATATCCCTTTACACTGCGGTGCAAAAAAAATTATTTTATCTATCCCTTTACACTAGAAAATTGGGACTGGGCCATTAGGGCGATGGGCCATTAGGGTGCGAGCTTATAAAACAGTGAGTTGCTTATCAAAAAAGATAAAATTTTGCAATAATAACTCTCATGCCTTTAACTACGTTCTCTAAAAATTTCAGAATTTTTGATCAAGAATTTCGGAAATTGTGGCCAAAAATGTTGATTTTCCGAAAAAACCCTAATTTTTCGCAGTTTATCGAAGAAATATTCGATGAAAAATTCTGAAATTTCTGGAGGAGGTAGTCAATGATGTTAAAGAAATTCGAGAAAATTTTCATAAATTTCGGTTTCGCCTAAGTGTCAGTTTCTAGTGCTGGCGCCCTAATGGCCCCGCGCCCTTATGACCCCAACCTAGCAAATTTTGTTTAAATTCTTAATTTTTTATTCAAAAAATACGTTCTATATAGCAATCGAAAGCTCTATTTGTATCTCAGTTGACATGTTTCTGCATTTTCATGAAATTGAAAATTGGCCGAGATAATCCGGATCTACCGGATATACCAAATCCCATATCCTCGGAAAAATTTTTCTGAAAAAATTTAACAAACCCATTCGATAAAGCATATTTTTCTGAGTATTTACCACAAAACCGCTTAGAAATATCTTTTTCCGGTCCAGAGATATGATTTTTTGAAAATGGCAATAATTTATTATCCCTTTATTATAATAAAATAAAATTTATTTTTCTGTGTGGAAACTTTTTTTTTACTAAATGATATTTTTTGATTAATGACGATGGATTTTAATAAAACTGGGGTATTTTATATCAAATGAACTGAGTATTCGGACCCCCGTTTTTAATTAGTGATTGATTGTTATTTATTTTTGTTATGGGGAAGTGTTAATAAATCGTTGTTGTCCATAAACATGTGACCACCACTGTATTTTTTAAATTCAAGAGATGCGGGAAATTTTTCTGCCCCTTTTGTTTTTTCCATAACTTTCTCCGATGCCACTGAAAATTTACAATTATTTTTTATTTAATTCCCAACACTCTAAGAAAATTTCTGATATTCGGGAAGTCATCGTCTCATCATCGTCTCACATTATAATAAATTTATATACCTATTTTTTCTAGAAAAATTTATTTTTATTTTAAAATGCAAAGAAACTTTATTAAACTATGCAAAGTTTGCGGGGCAAAAGAAAATGTTTATTATCATTTTGGAGTTTGTACATGCAGGGCTTGTGGAGCTTTCTTCAGGCATTTTTTATTTTTCTTAAAAGAACCCTTTCGTATTTTTAAAAGCAAAAGATGGAAGAGATAATATTAGAGATCCCATTACTTAGATACTTTAACCTCAGCCTAAGCATTTAAATCCTGCAGATCAGGGCTGTGCGCCAAAATTTTCGCGCGCCAAACGCCATTTTTCAAATTTTTAAATCATGCCCATGACGCACAGCCCTACTGCAGATGAATCATTCTAAAATATTTAAACTGCGAGGGGCTTGAAAAATAGAATTGGTCAATCTCTAAAAGAATGGCCAGTCCAAGTCTGGCCCTTTGAGGAGGAAAAGGAAGAATAGAATGGCCGGCCATTCTATTAGAGATTTTATGGTAATTAAAAATTCTTTAAAGGCGTTATCTTGAAAAGGAAAAAGAATGCAAATATAAATGTAAATGTTTGTCAAAACAATTGTCAAATGAGGAGAATAAAGATGGAGAATCGGAAAAAAAATTGGCAAGATGTAAAAAATGTAGACTTGAAAAATGTCTTTCTGTTGGAATGAAAAAATTGGGTTTGTTAAAGTTTGAGCTCTTAAACCTTTCAAAGTGCCGGGCTCATCAGGGCTGTGCGTCGTTGCGTTTTCCATTTTTGGCCGATTTTGGCGTGTTTTAAAGAATTTGAAAAATTGGCGTTTGACGCGCCACGTAAAAATTTTGGCGCACAGCCCTGGGGCTCATTATCTGTGTTCTTTCAATCACGGGCCGGGGGGTTTTCAGGTTAAAACCTCGAAAGCAAGGAAAACCCTGATTTTATCATAATACCAGGTGTCCCGGCATTAATATCCGATCTCGGCCCTGGTTCGAGCTTTAGTTAAAATACATATTTAAAAATAATTTTTAATAAGAAAAAATGATTTTAGTTGTTGGATATATACGTCAAGATCAATGTCAAGATGAAATGAAAGAAGAAAGGAACGAAATTGACGTAAGTCAATTTATTCCAAAAATTTTTCTACATAATCATTAATTATTAAATACTTTTAATCTTCTACATAGCACGCTCTCTAATAGAAGCAACCCTTACGAGAGGATTAAAAAATATGCGAAAGATGCGAAACGCGAAAATACGAAATTAGAAACAAAAATGCGAAATTGGACACTTGAGTAAAGCAGCTGGGCTATAGCTATTTTCTCTCTCCTTTAGCTAGTGCAAACGGCTATTCTGCGGCTGGGAGCGAAAACCAGCATCTTCAGTAGACCGTACTGATTTGTTATCCATTACACCACGCCGCCTACTGCACAGCCTTAGGAATTAAGTAGCTATATATTTGTGAATATGCATTTTTTTGATTAGGCAATATACACAACATTCCTTCATGCATTTTATTCTTAAGCTTTCAAATCCTCCAATTTCCGACATAACCGTCAAAGATCGACAACAGATAAACTCAATTTTACCAATTATTGAAGCTAAAAAACGTATTATGCATGCATTTAATGATTTGGATGATATATTCCTTAAAGGCCCAGTTTTGTTTGAAGAAATAATTTTATCTAATTTTAATATTTTTCGTTTAACTGGCACTTTTTCGGTAAATTTTGATCCAATTTTTAATAAAAATTCAATCCTGTTTAAAGCCAAATCCAGGTCCAATACCTTTTGAAGAATTAGATAGTTGGAAATCTTCATTTAGAAATAAAGGAATGCTTAATAAACGCTGGCACAAATATTTTTTAGTTGACAGACTTTTGTGTTTTGGTGTTGCTAAATCTATGCCTGTTTTTGAAAAATTGACTTTATCTGATCAGGTAATAAGAGCAATTTGTATAGTAAGAGCGAGGTAAAAGTTTAATCCCGGCCAGGCTTCGATCCTGCGACCTCCTGGCAGTTTTATTGCTAGTCGCTTTCGCTAACCACGCACAGGTGCTCTACCAACTGAGCTAACCGTGGCGCTGCTTTCATCTTCCCCTTTTTAATATAGGACATAAACCCCTTTCTAGTGAGCGTTTTAAATTCTAGCCAGCTGGATCTTTCTCTTGCTTACAATATTTTGTGTATTTGTGGCCAACTTTCCTCTCAGCTTAATTTAAAACAAAAAATGAAAATTATTCTTTCTTGGTTTTTTTTTATTAATTTGATTCGGAGAGCTCTTTATTAGCTAACTTATAAATGTATTGTCAAAATAACAGAAGACAAACTATTTCCTAGTTTGTGAATAAAAAGCTCTTATATCACTTAGGTGTGTATCGATGTAAGGAAGAGTCTAAGGGGCTTGATCAACCCCGAAGGGCTTCTAGGATTGTCCCGATCACATCCTTTCCCCTTGTATCCTATAACAACTGGGAAAGAGCCAACCGCTTTGTCGCATAGATTATCGGAGAAGGATTCTATTTTACTTTTGTATGAAACAATTATTTTTCTTTAAATAGATTGCACATCTAAGGCAGATTTGTCATATGTTTGTTTCATTTTCAAGCGCTTACCTAGCCTGGGAATTAGGCTCTGAAACTTGGACACGTAAAGATTGTGTTACGCCTGCTCTTGGTATTATGAATAATAGTGAATATTTACATGATGATAAGTAAATAATTTTAATAATTTTACTCAAAATTTTAATCCTTTTAATAAAATTCCCTCCACGGTCTGGCAAATTTACCGCGTTTTTATAGTGCATGTCAAAATCATTTTATCCAAAAAAGGGAGTGGATATTTGCCGGACCCCTGTAAAATAATTAAAAAAATTTTTTAATTGAATTTTTTTTAATTTTTAGGATGCTTAAATGGGCAGATTATTCATTTACAAAATCTGTCGCCCACTTCAAACGTGCTGCATTAACACACGTTGAATTTGCTTTGTTAATAGCTATTATTTTTACAAAATCGGGTAAAAAAAACTTTAATTTGAAAAGGGTTTATGGCTATGGTAGAGCTAGGGCTACGTTATACGCTCGCACCTAAAGGTTTAAGCGCCTAGACATCAGAGGCGGGTCGGAACAGTCAGAGGTGTTGGAAATTGGAAGAGCCGGAAATCGGAACTGGTTCAAAAGTCGGAAATCGGAAATAAAAAATTTTTTCGGAAATCGGATGGAAAAAACGTCGGAAATCGGGATAATCTTCTCTTCATCAATGTCTCTTGTTTGAATATGCCACAGGGCGAATAGAGGATGACCATTATGTACAATCTTAAGGAAAAAAGGGGGAGGGGGCAATGTTTGGAATTACCGGATTCCGACCCACCTCTGCTAGACATGTCCCTCTATCATTTCAATTTTTTTTTAAATTTCCAAATTAAATATAACTTTAATTTTTTTCAAAAAAGATGCTGAGGGCTTGTCTCCCGAAGGAAAAGAATTACTTTATGACGAATCTGCTAAATACACAAATATTTTACTTCGATATAATCAACGAAGATTAGGTTTAGTTGAAGGGGCTCAGAGATTGGTTGAATGTGCTCGTTTAATTAATCGAAGTATTGAAAATGCATATACTGCCAAGTTAATGCTTTCTCATCAAATTAAGCATTACTCTCTGGATACAAGTTACTTTAAAAGTCCAAACATTTTAGAAAAAATATTGGAAAGAAAGGATTAATAATGAATATAATTTTTAAAGAATACTGTATAATAGTGATGTTCGGGTATCCAAACCAGACCTGGGCGTAAGGTTGACGGATAGTTGGAAATCTTCGAATATCAAGCCTTTTTTCGGATCCGGATCCGCCAACCAGACCTGGGCGAAGCATTTCGTTTCGTGGACAAAATAAACGCTTGTAGGTAAAGGAGAAGAAAAGAAAATTTTCCTTACGCTCCTTAAGGCAAAAGAAAAAGAGGGCAACACGAAACGAAACGTTTCGCACACGTCTAATCCCGACTCCCGATGTCAATTCCCGTTTCCCGGGTTTTTTCTTTTCCTGAACATCACTACTGTATAACCTCTATCAATTGACCTTCCTCGATTAATTGCCCCTCTATCGAACACAAAGTAATTATTCAATGAAATACATTCACCTATTTTTCTCATCTAATTTGTAAAAATATTTTTCCTGTTTTTAACCTTTCTAAAATTTCTCTTTTCTTTTCTGTTCTTAGTTAAAAATGACTGACCATTTTTTAAATCAAGTAAATATTCGGACAGGAGGGGGGGGAGGGGGGACTAAATAAGTACCGGAAAAAAGCCCGCAGAAAAAGTCCGTAGGGATCAGAGCTGCACGAAAATGAAAATTTTTCTCTCGACAAAACGAAAAAAATAAATTTGTCAATGTACGAAACGAAAAAATATTTTTTAAGAAAAACGAAACGAAAGAAACGAAAAAAAATTATTAGCAAACGAAATGCGAAACAAAACGAAATTCATCAAAAATCCACGAAAATCTAGAAACATGAAACGAAAAATTTTCGTGCAGCTCTGGTAGGGATAGCCGACAATTACCAAAAAAAACTTTCAAAAAAAATCTTTTTAACCTCAAAAAGTACCTCAAAAATCATCTATTTTTATTTCTAAGTCTATCTCTTAAATGAAGAGTATATTCTTCTTCTTCTTCCCCCACATCTTCATCCTCTTCCCTTTTTTCTTCCTCAATAAAATTTGTATTGATAACCTTTTCATGAAGATTATTTGTTGTTTTTGTGGCTGAACGAAGTGTTGAAGAACGTGTTGTTCTGCAGGGAACGTTGCTACTTGTGGAAGCTTCATAGGTGGGAGCAATGTTGACACGACGTCTTACCCTTTAAGGAATATTATAAAAATAACCGAAGCGAGTTTTAAAAAATTAAGTTTGAATTTTGGGTTTTTAGATTTGCGGACAAAATTTGCGGACTAAAAAAATTTCTTCGGACAAGATTTGCCGACAAAAAAATTTTTTCGGATAAAAATTGCAGACTAAAAAATTTTGCGGACAAGATTTGTGGACCAAAAATTTTGCGGACAAGATTTGTGGACCAAAAATTTTGCGGACAAGATTTGCGGACTAAAAAATTTTGCGGAATAAAAAATTTTTGCGGACAACTTTTAAAAAAACCTTGTATTCCTCCCAATCCCAATACATTTTTCCAAATGTGGAGCAAATCTTACAGCAGCAATCATCCTTAAATTGTTTCAATAATTACAAGTTTAAAAAGAAGAAAAACCTGCTACACACAAAACAGCGACATTCAATGTTTCTAGGATTCCGAAGAGAAACAGAAATTGAGGATTTTCTCGTTGTTTGTTTACCTTCATTAATAGAATCACAATCCTCTTCTTCTCCCCATTCTTTAAATCCAATTAATTTATTTATTGTCAAATCACGATGAATTCGGAAGATTTCCCCTACAAAAACACTCTCGAGGACTGAATTAACCAAATGTTCTATAACTGGAAAGAAACAAATTTTTTTTGAATAATCTACTTAATAAAATTACTTGAATCATTGTCACAGCTCATCTCGCTTGATTAAAAAAATTTAAAGCTAAAAATAAGCAAATTAAGAGAAAACAGGAAAAAATTGGATAAAATTGAGATAGTTACCCATTTATAAATTAGATATTATGAAAAATATTATTTGAAAATTTTACTTAAAATGACGTGTTAAATTAGAGAAAAATATTGTGAAAATTTAAAGAAAAAGAATTAGAGAAAAGAAATATCGAAGGAAAAAGGAGTAAGTTATAGAGAAAAACGATTTATGAAATAAAAACTAGTGACCGGTAAAATCGAATTTGCCGGAACCGGATCCGGATTCCGGATTTGCAACATGAGCCGGACCGGATCCGGCCGGATTTTTCCGGATAAATCCGGTCCGGTTTTAATCCGGTAAAAATAATTTCCGGAGTCCGGCAGAAATTATCCGGATTCCGGACCGGACTCCGGTTTTTTTCCGGATTTTTCAAAAAAATTTTTTCATTAATTTTCGTGTTAAAATGTTGGGTAATAGTGTCGTTTCCCGGCCCCATTTTTTCTCCCCAATTTTTTACCCTATGTTTGTACGGAATGGTCAAATTTTCTCCTTTCTTTCATCAAATTTGCCTTTCCATATTTTGCCTAAAAACAATCAAAAAGCTTGGCGTTTCTCTTTGTATTTCTCTCAACGCCCCCAATCATCCATACACCTTTCTTTGATGGTTGTCTGCCTTTTTCATATTTTCGTCTCACAACAACAGTCTTTCATTTTTATTAATTGGGAAAATGATTCTTCTCATTACTCTAATACTTTTTTAAATATCACAAATTAATCTTTTTGATTGTTTTTAGGCAAAATATGGAAAGGCAAATTTGATGAAAGAAAGGAGAAAAATTGACCATTCCGTACAAACATAGGGTAAAAAATTGGGGAGAAAAAATGGGGCCGGGAAACGACACTATTACCAAATGTTGTAATATGTGTGTCGTTTGTGTGTTAAAATGTTGTTAGGGGGATATCTAAGGATATTGGAGGCTATGAAGGATATTTTGTTGATTTTTCGAGGTTAAAAGTTTGAAAAATTAAGTAATTCGTGGTTGGAATTTTGAAATTTGCTCCTACTTTCGTACAGGCCTTTCTTTTTTTTCTTTACCTGGTACTCTTACCTGCCAATTTTTGAGAATTTTGGAGTCCAAGGAGCAATATTTCCTCCAAGGATTTCCTCCAAGGATCCTCTTAATCCCAAATCCCTTCCATGCGCCGCAGGCGAAAATGTTGAAAATTTTGAAGGTTCTTGAGTCAGATTTCTTCAATTTTTTGCGCCGCAGGCGAAAATTTTGAAAATTTTTGAAGGCCTGAAGCCAGATTTCTTCCATATTTCACTGTCGGAGGCAAAAATTTCGAGAATTTTGGAAGGCGTCAGGAGAAAGAATTCTATTGTTAGAGCCGCAGGCAAAATTTTTTTGAAGTCTAGATGGTCATGAAGCTTAGACTCTCCATACCAACCCTATTTTCGGCCTAGTACTGAACTCAGTTGAGGTATATACAAGGGGGACTCAGTCGTGCCTTCCGGGACGATTTTTAAAGGCCAATAAAGAAGAATGGATCCCTATTCAGCGCCGCAGGCGAAAAATTTTTTAATTTCAGTATAGTTAGGGGTCAAAAATCCTCCTTTTTATAAAAAATATAAGAAAAAATGGGAAAATTCCAGAACCGTATAAAATCCCAAATCCGGTGCTCAAAATTTGCCGGACCCGGATCCGGATTCCGGATTTGCAACTAGAGCCGGACCGGATCCGGCCGGATTTCTCCGGATTAATCCGGTCCGGTTTTAATCCGGAAATTTCAAAAAAATCCGGATTTGGGACCCGGACTCCGGAAAAATCCGGCCGGATCCGGTCCGGCCCCGGTCACTAATAAAAACTTTAGAGTCTTAACTTATTTTTTCTTTATAAATTTAATTTTTATTTTTAATTAATTTATTTTTCCAAGATTTTATAATGACAGACCCTTACGGTTATTTTTATGAAAATGAAAAGAATTCACCAACAAATAGTAATTGGTATACAAGTCCACCTCCAGTACCTCCTCAAAATGTTGGACAACCAGTAAATGTTGGTGGTGGTGGTTGGGAAAATCAAAATGGTCTGAATTTTTTTTTATTTTTTTAGTTTAGTCTAGAGATCAGTTCAAGTTTTTTTAAATTGATACTTTTACGTTAAAAATTTTCCACAAAATTTTGCGGACAAAATTTAATCCGCAAATTTTGTCCGCAAAATTTTTTGCGTTAATCCGCAAATTTTGAAAGCAACTTTTTTGCGGACGAAATTTAATCCGCAAAGTTTGTCCGCAAATTTTTTGCGGACAAATTTTGTCCGCAAAAGTTGAACTCCTTTTTTGCTCTATTTTATCTGTTATATTTTATATTCTTTTTTACAGAGTCCTGGAGAGCTTCAACTACTCCATCTCCACCCAATGTCTATCCTTACCCAGCCTACCCAAATCAAAACCAACAAATTCCGAATATGTTTGTTCCTTCAATGCCAACAGAACAAGCGTCTTTTATTGAGGATAATTTTGAAAATGAACCTCCACTGTTGGAAGAGTTGGGAATTAATTTTGAACATATTAGACTGAAAACACTTGCTGTGTTGAATCCGTTGGGGACGGCGAAGGAAGAGGTTTAACTTGAAATTATTTGGAAATTTTATTATTTTTTTAAAGGTAATTGAGGATCAGGACCTTGCCGGTCCTCTCGTTTTTTGTCTTTTATTTGGCGCTTCTTTGCTTTTACATGGAAAGGTTTAATAAAAATTTTTTGGCAATTTTAAAATTTGGAGAAATGGGGGGAAATAAAGACAAATTCCATAAAAATTTTTAGAATTTTTCTTAAAAAATCTGCACTTAAATTTTTGCGGACAATCCGCAAAAGTCTTGCGGACAATCCGCAAAAATTAAATTGCTCCACAATTATTTGCTAAATTAATTTTCAATTTTATTTTTCCTCCATTCCCAATTTATTTTTCTCAGTTACATTTTGGACATATTTACGGAATTGGATTAGTCGGATGTACAGGAATGTATGCTCTTTTAAATTTAATGGCACAAGAAGGAAAGTCTATAACATTTACAAACACTGCAAGTGTTTTGGGTTATTGTCTTTTGCCAATGTCTTTATTGTCTTTAATTGCTGCTGTTCTTTCTTTACAGGTTTTTTCTTAATTATAAGATACTTAATACTTGATACCAAGAGCGTATCCAAAATCTAAAAATTCCCCTAACAAGGAAAGATTGCGAGGCGACCTAAAAATGGTCGAGACCGGGCTCATTCGATAGGGAATGCTTTTTCTAGCAAGGATCTTGTGACTCGCAACCTTTCCTTGTAAAATTCCCCTGCTGCCCTAAAAAATAAAAAATTAGGTACAAAAATGAGTTCGGGACGCCAACACGTGAACGCAAAAATTTTAGCGAACATCCCACTTCCCCCATTGAAATCCGGCACCTTTACTGCATACACATTATAAACCACGATTTCTTTACCCCAAGAGTGTATCTTATAAATGAAAATTTTTTAAATTCAATTTTAAGGGTTTAATTGGTTATATATTTGTTACATTAGCTGTATTATGGAGTGGATCATCCTCTTCTAAATTATTTTCAATTGCTCTATCAATGAATGGTATATTTTAATTTTAACGAATTTTATCTAAAAACAATTTTTGGACGTTTTTTATTTTTGCGGACAATCCGCAAATATTGTCCGCAAAAATTAAATTATCCGCAATTATTTTTAAATAATTTTTCAATTAAAATAAATTAATTTTTAAAGGTCAAAGACTGTTAGTTGCCTATCCTTGTGTTTTACTTTATTCTGTTTTTGCTCTTCTTGCTATATTTTAGATGAAAAAAGAATTTCTTTTAAAAAAAAATTTTCATTTTTTTTTTAAATTTGCCTTTTTGTTCAAATTGTTAAAAAATTCTTTTGTTTTCATAATAAAAATGGCTGAGCTTTTAATATCAGTGACTAAATGTCAAAATTTTTGTTTTTTACCATTTTGAAATGGAAAAAATATTTTTGAAAAATTTTCTCTATTTTTAACAAAATTTACAGAAAAATGTCAGGCAAAAAACTTGTAGAAATAATTGATAAACAAAAACATAAGGAAGAAGATGAAACTTGGACGGTACATCCGACACCAGGAATTTGTGTTAAATTTAAAAAGGTTTGGGAATTTATTTGTAATTGAAGAAAACTTGGGTTAGTTTTGCGTTTTCTAAATTTTGCGGACGATCCGCAAATGTCCGCAAAAATTTTTTGTCCGCATAAGGCTCCAGTAAATATCCGCAAAATATAAGAGGACAGAAAGCTTCGTGTTATATTTAAAATTTAATGCGGACAATCCGCAATTTTTGTCCGCAAAAAATTTACGGAAGTCTTGCGGACAATATTTGCGGATTGTCCGCAAAAGACATTTTTTCGTAAAATTTTAAGCTAAATTAATTTTTAGGACTCTGAATCCAATCTTAAACGTTCTCTCATTACAAATGAAGATGTTGGAGGTCCGACATTCTCAAATAAATTTTTTATAAATTTGGCTCATTGCATAGAAATACCCTCGCCTCCAAAAGAATTATGGAAAGATGAAGAAATAATTGCTAAAATGATGGAAAATGATAAAAATTCGTTTAAAATCCCAATGTGTGTTGGGGAAGTGGAAAATGTGGAGGATCATAATGGAAATATTTCTACAAAGGTTTTTTTGAGCTTTTTTGCGGACTGTCCGCAAATAATATTTTTTTCAAATTTTAAGGTTGATGTAATTGTAAATTCTGAATTTTTTGAAAAGTGTATTAACAACTCTGAATTTTTTAGGCAAATAACTCTTGCTGCAATTTGCGAAAAAATTAAGGTTTGTCGAAATAATTTTTTATAAAGGTAAGGGAAAAGAACCGGAATAAGGATATTTTTTCTCGGACAGCCCCTTAATAATGTTTATGAATTTAGAACCAAAAAATCCAAAAATCTTTTTTTGTGGATAATCCGCAACTTATTGCGGACAGGAATTAATTTAAAAATTCTCTGTCTAGTTTAATAACTTTCTGTCCGCAAAAAGTTGCGGACGTCCGCAAAAAATTTTTGTACTATTTCACCAGGGATGGATCGGGTTGAGAAAAATCGGGTCAGCCTTTGGTGTTTCAAAATTTTCTTCATAACTGGTTTCTGGTCGGAAAAAAAACTGGGGAGCAGCCCGACCCATTCTTATATTTTACCTCAAAATATTTTAATTTTTAAATAATTTTTCTAGCAAAATTATTCAATAAATATAAACTTGTCCAACCAAATAATTTTACGAAATAAAAAATATATTGGAGAATTAAATATTAGACAAATACAAAAACGCCCTTTAAATTCAATATTAGACGACAATAATTCAAAAACAAAAAATAAAATTTTAATAAAAGAAGAAAATTCAACAAATAACGAATTAATTGATATTGACGATATTGAAGAGACTAGACCCAAAAAACCGAGGAATTTTAAAGTACAAATTTTAAATGGAGAATTTATGGAAATTAAAATTAAAGTGAAGGATAATGATGGACAACCTGTTTGTGAAAAGGAAAGGTTTGGAAAAATTTTTTTGAGAATTTTTTTGATTTTTAAAAATTTTTGGGCACTTGAGTACCAAAATTTCAAGTCTCGTTAAGCTTTAGGTCATTCCAGTCGTGTAAAAATTTAATTTTTGACCAGACTTGGTAATGGATATGGATACAGATAACTTCAAAATGGCTGCGGATTTACGCCTGTATCAGCCGTAAATATCCGGATACGGATACCAGAATCCATAGCCATTACCAAGTCTGTTCTTGACCATTTAAGTCCTTAAAACATTTTTTCGAGCTGAGCCTAGCAAAAAATATTTCTGGCCACTACTTTCTGGTTTCTCGCGTTTTGGACATTAGAGTCAACCAATAAATCAATTTTTTCAGGATTACTTTAAAAATGAACGATGATAGGGTTGTGGCTTTGTTAGACTCGTCTAGTGTGATTGCCGACTTTTTCCTTCCTTTTATGATTGAAATTGATGAAACTACAAATTGTGAATTTGATTCAAACTCGTCTACAATATTTATTAAATGTAAAGTTAATTTTAATTGTGATAAAGAAATATAAAAGATAAAAGGTATTTTAGACTTTTTTTTTTGAGTTCACCATTCATCAGAATTTAAAAACAGGAATATCCGCAAAATTAATATTGTAGACGAGTTTTTTCCGCAAACCTTAATTTGCGGACTGTCCGAAATTTTAAAAATGTCCGCAAACCTTAATTTGCGGACTGTCCGAAATTTTAAAAATGTCCGCAAACCTTAATTTGCGGACTGTCCGAAATTTTAAAAATGTCCGCAAACCTTAATTTGCGGACTGTCCGAAATTTTAAAAATGTCCGCAAACCTTAATTTGCGGACTGTCCGAAATTTTAAAAATGTCCGCAAACCTTAATTTGCGGACTGTCCGAAATTTTAAAAATGTCCGCAAACCTTAATTTGCGGACTGTCCGAAATTTTAAAAATGTCCGCAAACCTTAATTTGCGGACTGTCCGAAATTTTAAAAATGTCCGCAAACCTTAATTTGCGGACTGTCCGAAATTTTAAAAATGTCCGCAAACCTTAATTTGCGGACTGTCCGAAATTTTAAAAATGTCCGCAAACCTTAATTTGCGGACTGTCCGAAATTTTAAAAATGTCCGCAAACCTTAATTTGCGGACTGTCCGCTAAATTTATTCGTCAAAAAGCTATAAAAAACAATTAACAAAACAATTAACCTACTCTTCCTTATTTTCTAATTTTTGATTTTTACCACTTCTTTCATCCAATTTTTTCTTAATAAATTGAAACAACTTTTGACTACCAAATTCTGCATCCTCCACCGTCTCATATTTTTCTTTTCCAAGTAATGTCAAAACATCAGGGGTAATTGGGTTTAAATATTTTTTGGAGATGTGATGATGAAAAACTGCGTATAGCAAGGCCAGATTGATACCATCGACAGCTTGAAAAATGAAATTTTAATCTTTGGAAAGTCCGCAAATATTTGCAGATTGTCCGCAAATTTATTTTCGGGTCCGCAAGTTCTCTTCAGCTCTAAAACGAATTTTAAAAATAATTTTTACCTCCTTGGATTCTTTTCCAATACCAACCAATAGCTCCAAATGCAAGAGTTGTTCTATCCTAAATTTTTAAAAATTTTAAAGATTAAAAAAACTAACATAAGACAAAATATCCTCATCACGACGAATTTCATAACATCTAAAAAAAATTTTATTTAAAAAAAAGATTAGTTTATGGGGAAGAGAATAATTTTTTGGGTTGGTACATGAAAATGGATTTTAATACAAAGCTGGTGTGGACAGAATAAGTGCAAGATGTATCCGCAAATTTTAAAATTTGTCCGCAAAAAATTTTCTAATTATGATTCGGATCTCACGGATTTGAGGGGATATTTCTTGATTTGATAAAGTTATTTCTATTGGTAAATTAAAAAAAATTGAGTATTGTCCGCAAATTTTTAAAGTGTCCGCAAATCTATTTTCGAGTCCGCAAGTTTCTCCCTCTGTTTATTTTTTAGAAGATTTGAACATTTATATTCTCTAGAAAAATTTAAAAACCTGTTTACAAGTTTCTCCCTGGTATAATTATTATAATAAATTGAAGTGGCAAACAAAAAAGGTGATGCAAACATTCCACCAATTAACATCCGGCCCTGAAATTTTTTTAAAAGAAAGGAACAATTTGAAGAAAAAAACCTGCATACGTCTAAGAGCTGCTGTAACTATTTTGTCTGTATTGTTTGTGACATCTTTAGGTTTTATTTTGCTGTATAAATAATAATTATAAGCAGGGCGAATAAAGGCGGCTGGAAATAAAAAAATTTATTTTGTGGTGTAGTGGGTTAGTCATGAGTTTTTCATTTTAGGGGTCGGGGGTTCGAGTCCCTTTGTGGGATATGATTTTTAAATTTATGTAAAAACAATTTTTAGATGTTTTAGATTAAATAGAACCTGAAAAAAAATATTAAAATTTATTCTGTGGTGTAGTGGGTTAGTCATGAGTTCTCCACTTTAGGGGACGGGGGTTCGAGGCCCACTGAGGGATATGATTTTTAAATTTATGTAAAAACAATTTTTAGATGTTTTTGATTAAATAGAACCTTAAAAATATTAAAAAATTTATTCTGTGGTGTAGTGGGTTAGTTATGAGTTTTCCATTTTAGGGGTCAAGGGTTCGAGTCCCATTGGGGGGAATAATTTTTAAATTGATGTAAAACCTATTTTAAGATGTTTTTGATTAACGAGAAGTTCAAAAATATTCAAAAAAAATTTTTTTTACCTAAAAAAGAAGAGATTTGCATACTCTTGATGAAAGAAAAAATAAAATATTCAGTGTACGGACACCTAAAATTAAAAAATTATTAAAATAAATTTAAAAAAATTTTCCAACTTGATAGTAGCAAGATCTTTAGGTTTATAATTTTCTGCGCCGCTATAGAAAAAGTTGTTGAACCATGCTAAAAATTAAAAAAAAATTTTAATAACATTTAAATTAATTTTTACATCCAAATCCCAACGACCATTCTGCACTAGGCCAACCAGTCGGAACCATTTATTCTTTATTTTTTTAAACAAAATTAAGGTTAAATAATTAACAAAAATATTCTTACTATAAAAAATAGTTAATGGAGAAATAGAAAAATAGAAAAAAATTTTAAATTAAATTTATCACCAGGGGTGTTTTTCAAAAATTTTTTTGGCAATTTAAGTAGAGAATATTTAAGTTTGTGAACCTTTTAAAAAAATTTTTTAATTTTTCTCTTTCTTCCTTAACCTTAAATAACTCTGAAAAATTATAAATTCAAAAAAAAATCAGAAAATTAAGAGGAAAAAAATTTTTCCAAAAAAGGGGGTCCACAAACTTAATTAACCACAAATTTATTTTTACATTTTTTACAATAAATTAAAAAAATATTATTTATTATTATTATTCAACTTAATTCAAATCCAGTTTCTGCATGTATAGCATATCTAAGTTTTTCCAATAAAATTTGTTTTCGAGTATAATTTGGAAGCTAAAAAATATTTAAAAAAATTTTTCCATAAATCTGGAACTACCCAGTCAGCTCCCTCCTACATTTTTACACTTTTCCTGTCTTTCTCCTAATCAGAGCTGCGTCAAAATTTCCATTTTCGACTTTCGATATTTTTGGATTTCTTTCGATTTCTGATTTTCGAAAATTTGTTTTTATTTCAAAGCAGCTCTGCTCCTATTAGAAACTGTTAAGGACTCATAATGGTCAGACGACTTTATAAAAAAATTTAAAAAAATTTTTACTGACCATTATGAGCCTTTGACTATTTTTAATTTTTTTCAAAAAAAATAGAAAAAGAGGAAAAGGTATAAAATGAGAGGGGAGCGTGATAACCGGATAGACCCAAAAAATAAAAAGAAAACCTTCAACAAATTAAAACAAGTTGAGGCAGTTGGGAGACGTTCATTTGTCGGTTGCTTCCTCTTATTTATTGCCAAAAATCCTCTAATTACAGATCCTAAAGTATCTCCATGGTCTAAATCATCAGAAGTTTCAACACAACGAATGGAGAAGGGAGGCTCTAAATAAGCAAATCCGAGAAGTGGTGGACGTGAACAACTTGTAACAAACTTAAAAAATTTTAAATAGAGAAACTTGACATTATGACGCGAAAGACGTCAAAGGGGTTAAAAGAAGCGAGCGGACAAGAAAAATTTTTTATGGAAATTCTTGATATTTTTGCGGACACTCTTTGCGGATTTTCCCTTTCTGTTTCTTGTCAGTTTTAAAAATTATTTGGATATAAGGAAATTAAAAAGGAGGAACTGACAAGGAAACCTTTCGAACTGTGTCAAAATGTTGTACTTTTTTTGATACCAATCGATAGAGCATAATCGATTTACTCTTGTAGATTTCCGGCTTTTTTGGCTAGGAATATGAAATTAAAAAATTATGGGGCTTCAAAGTTTGGCAAAAATGAGGGAGAAAAGGATGTGAACGGGAAAATCTTCGGTTCTGTTCAAAACTAAAAAAAAGTAAATAAAAATTCGAAAAAGCTTGTTCTTTGAGAGTAAGCTAAAGGGTAAAGAAAATATTAAAGAGAAGTTAAAGAAGACGAGAATAAAAAATCTTCTTTTACTCCTATTATTAATAATTTAAAAAATAAAATTAAAAAAACCTTTAAAAATAAATGTCTTTCCTCGCAACTAAAATCATTTTGTACAATAGACCAAAACCATCTAATAAGTCTGTGATTGCTATGAAATCCTCCATAATATTGAACATGTTTTTTGAGGTCATCCAAATCAATATCACTTTAAAAATTTTTTATTTAATTTAAAAAATTAATAAAAATTTTTGCGGACAATATTTGCGGATTTTTCATTAAAAAATTTTTTTGCAAATTTTTTTGTTTTAAAAAATTTTCAAGATTTGCGGACAACTTTTGCGGATCTTTTAAAACTAAAAATCTTAGGAACCAAGTCAATATTACTTTAAAAATTTTTTATTACTATAAATTAAAAAAAATTTTTTTTTGCGGACGTCATTTGCGGATTTTTCATCAAAAAAAATTTTTTTGCGGATTTTTTTTTGTCTTAAAAATTTTAAAAAAATTTGCGGACAATATTTGCGGATTTTTTAAGTAAAAAATTTTTTAAAAAAAAACCTTAATTGACCAGAAATCAAAAATTGAAGTTCATGAGTATTAAATAAAGTCAACCATTTTTCTTTTATAATAGAACGAAAACCGTTAACAAAATAAATTGTTTGGTTTTTAACTTGTTTAATAACACGATAATGGGAATAAAGATGAAGGTAGGAAATTCTGAAAAAAAAATTTTTTGAAAAAATAAAATTTTTTTACTTATTTTCGTTGTTTACTTTCAATTCACGTCCACCTGGAAGTAATTCATGGGTATAAATCTATGAAATTTAAAAAAAATTAAAAAAACAAAATTAGTTAAAAATGCTTGTAAAAATAATTTGGTATTTTTGCGGACATTTTTTGCGGATTTTCTTTCCTTTTTTCCTTTTTTTGATGTTTTCGACTTTCAGTTTGAATCAATAAAATATTCACTCACATACATATTTTCTTTTATCTTTATAAACTATGCTTTTAAAATAAATAATTAATTTTTTCGAAATCGATGTCCGCAAAAATATAATTTAAAAAAATTTCTTTAAAATTGATAAAAATCCATAAAAAAATCAAAGAAAAATTTTCAAGTCAAAAATACTTTTTTCTAACCTAAAAACCTAGAAAAAATCATTAATTGAAAAATACTTTCCAAGAAATTTTTAAAAATAAAAAAAATTTTTTGCGGACAAAACTTGAGGACATTTAAAAATTTAAAAAATTTTCTAACCTTAAAACCCCTAGAAAAAAATATTTAATAAAAAAAACCTTTCCCAGAAATTTCTCCTGAAAAGAAAAAGTCAAAGCCAAATCCTCAACATCTTCACTTTCATTATAATGTTTTACATAAGTCAAATTTTTGTAAAGTAAAGGGTCCAAACTTGCAAGTTCATCAAATGGATATAATTTTTTATTTAAAACTGAAGCTAAAAGTACTGGAGCTAATTGAACATCTACACAAATTCCTTCATAAATAGCCTTTCCTAGCAAACAACCAACAAATTTAAATAGCTCCAAATGATTTTCTTGAATATTTGAGGTTGGGGAAGGATACAACATTTTATCATGAGTATACTGAAAAATTAAACTTTTTAAAAAAATAAAAAAAAATTTTTGCGGACAGAACTTGTGGACATTTGAAAATTAAAAAAAAATTTTGCGGACAAATTAATTTCTCTTGCGGACAATTCAAGTGAAAAAAACTGTTTTTATAGGGGTTTCAAAAAGTCTAATCCGCTAAGTAAGTGGGTAACTCCTAAAAATCACAGACCTATTCATAGAACTCGTAATTTTTCATTGGACTCTTAAACTAGAACGGAGCCATTATTTTTATTCATGGATTAAATTTAAGAGGGGGCATAAAAAAGAAAATTTTTGAAAATTTTAGTATCTAAAAATAAATTGAATTTGCGGACAAAACTTGCGGACATTAGAAAATTTAAATAAAAATTAAACATAAAAATTTAAAAAAACCTTGAATAAATTAAGCTCTGGAATAAATACTTTTTTCAATATTTGTTCAAGAAATTCTTTAAAAACCTAAACAAATTAATATTTTTAACAAAATTATAGTAAAAGAAAACCCCATCCTGGTCAATTCCAGCCTCATCCAATCCTTGCTGATTAATAAATTTAACTCGAATTATTCCCTTTAATATGTGTGGGTTAATTCCTCCAAGTTGTCGATAACCTTTAAAAATTTATTTTTTTTTTTGTTGAGAAAAAATTTTTTTGAAAAATTTTCAGAAAATTTTTTGGCGAAAAAATTAAAATTTTTTTTTAAATTTCGGAAAAAACAAATTTTTTGCCAAAAAAAATTTAAAAAAAAATTAAAAAAATTTTTTGACTAATAATTATTTTTCAAACCATCTTCAATTATCCTCGACCTTTCAACAGTAATAATTGTATTAGAGTTGGAAAATGATTCCTTATCTTGTTGTATAAATTTTCGAAAAAGAAAAATTCTGTCGCGAAGCTTGAAAAAAAATAAATTTTTAATTAAATAAAAATTTGCGGACAAAACTTGCGGACATTTGAAGAATTAAAAAAAATTAACCGGAATTATATGAGGCATTTTTTCCATTAAATGTTGTGCTCTTTTAGAAGTTTCATTCCTTTCAAATTCAGTCACAAATGCTTTAAAACTAATTTCTGGAATTGTCCAAAAATTTTTTGTTGGAGTAAATTGTCTTCTACAATCACGATTAAAAAGGATATTTAACAGATTATACATACTGGTGAAAAGTAATGAAGACCTTCGATTTTCAAAGTCTAAAAGAGAGAAAATATGGGACATTTTGGGGTTTGGACATTTTGAAATTCGGCCATTTTTTAAAAAAAATGTTTGTCCGCAAACTTTTTGCGGACAAAAAATTTTTTTTTTATTTTGCAAACTCAAAAGTATTTAAATCGTCAAAAATCCAATATCATGGTCTAAAAGTAAAAACCTTTAAAAAAAATTTAAAAACCTATAAGGGAATCCCAAATTGAATGAAAACAAAATCGATTTGCAAAAGTAGCAATTTGGCAAAGTTGTATTCTAGTAAAAGGCTTCTCAGTCTCATACATTTCCTTTTCATCTAAAATTCTAAAAAAAAATAATTTTAAAAAATAAAATAAAATTTAAAAAAACAAACGATATTAAAGAATAAGCAATTTCTCCAAAAAGTTGAAGAGGAGCAAAATGGGGAGAGGTTACACTTGGGTCAGTTACCAAATAGCCCAAACATGTTTTGAAGCCTTCTGTATTGCTAACATCGGGGTTTATATAATGCCACAATTTGGCCAAAACGAGAGAATCGTTGCGAGATAAACCTGGAAAGGAAAATTTTTTTAAAAATTTTGTCTGGAAATTTTTTGTCCGCAAAAAATTTGCGGACAAAAAATTGCGGACAAAAAAATTTCTTTTTAAATAATTAAAAAAATTTTTTTCCAAACTTGAAAGTATTTCAATCCTCGAATTATAAAAAGCCAACAAAGCATTTTGATAAAGTTGACAAAAAATTATTGGAGAAGTAAAAGGAGGTAAAGCAACAGCTTGTATACTTCCAACAGTTTCTTGGTGTTTTTTTGAACCAAATTTGCCAATAAATTCTTTATAATTTAAATTAAAAATTAGAAAAAAATATTAAAAATAAACAAAACTTTGTAAAAAATCTGAAGTTAATTTGTTGTCTATTGTTGAAAATGCTGGAATTTCTGCAAAAGATTTTGAATTTTTTCTCTTGACATTTTGTTGTTGTGACAATTTTGTTTCATCAAAATTTGTAAAAAAATTTATTGCAAGAAATTCAACCATTTCTTTACTCCAAAGTAGAGATATTTGTTTAATCATTCGAGTAAATGCCCATTGATAACTGAAAAAAATTTTGATTTTTGTCCGCAAATAAATTTTTGCGGACAAAAATTTTGTCCGCAAAAAATTTATTGCAGACAAAAAATTTTTTTAATTTTCCCTGACAAAATAAAAATTTAAGTAAACGCTGACTGACTAAAAAATAAAAATTTGTTTTTGCGGACAACCTTTGCGGACAAAAATTTTTGTCCGCAAATTTTCTGCGGACAAAAATTTTTTACAAAAAATTTCAAAAAACTAACCCTCCATCAATTCTTTCAGATGTCCATCCAAGCAAAGGATGATGCCAACAATTACTTTTCTTATTATCAGTAACGATAAAAGCACAATATTTCAATATTCTATTAACTAAATAAGCCCAATCCAACAAACAAACGGATAAACAATTTTTAAACAAATTCCCAAAGAAAATTATATTTCCAATTAAATTTAAAGCCTCATTTGTAGATAATTTTGATATTTTTTCATTTTCTTTTGAGGCAATCCATTTAATTGAATTTTCAAAAATATTTGTTTTTTCAATTGAATTTAGGGTCTAAAAATGAATTAAAAAATTAAAAAAAATATTCCAAACCTGTTTAGAAAGCATTTGAGCAATTGCAGGAAAACTTATAAATTCGATAAATATTTGTAAATTTAAGTCATTTTCGAGCGAAGAAATCTGAATAAATCTGGAAAAAAATTTAAGAAAAATTAAAATATTTGGATAGTTTGGTGTAGTGGGATAATCTTCGATTTCAACGGGGATAGGTCAGGGGTTCGAATCCTTTTGGTGCCCAAACATTTTTTAGAAGGGAAAACAAATATTTAAGGCAAAATTAGTAAAAATAACGATAAAAATTTAAAAACTGGGAATTTTAGAAAGTAGGAAAAGGAAGAAAAATGGGAGTAAATAAAAATCTTGATAGAAGAGAAAAATATTTCGTCATTTTTAAACAAGGAAACATCGTTTACTATCACAATGAAATTGAATTAATTTTTTTGGTAAGATTCGATAGAGAACCCCGGACTTTCTATTGAAAAGAGATATTTGTTTTCTTGCAAAATGACTTTGGGCCGAGTTATGGCCCTTCAAAGTTGGACACCGCTAAATGACAAGGACGTAGCCAGAGGAGGCCAGAGGAGGGCTTCTGTGGCTATAGCCCCTCTGAAATGGGGAAAATGAAAAAAGTAAACGCCAAAATTTTGGCGCATATCCCATTTTAGCTCCCCTAAAATCGACCCCCTGGCTACGCCCTTGCTAAATGATGGTTCAAAACCCCATTAATTAAATGTTTAAAAAGAACCTGATAGAAATAAAAAATAATTGATCAATTGTTTTTTCATCAAGCAACATTCTATCTCCTTTTAGGGCATCAAAAATAATTTTCTGAAAAATTTTTTTTTAATTTTTAAAAAATCCCAACCTTAAAAACATTTAAAGAATTTATTGTTGCTAAAGGATAAAGCATTTTTGCACAGAGAGAATTTATTATTGGAATAATTGATTCTTTTCCTTTTAAAATTGGCCAAGTCTCTTCTGAACAATTACAAAAAATATAAATTAGAGGTGCTTGAGAAGATATTCTGCGAGAATCGGAAATCTTTGAGACCTTTAAAAAATAAAAATTTTATTAAGAATAAAAAGAATTGTCCGCAACTTGTGTCTGCAAAATTTTTGCGGATTCGAAAATATCGTCTGGTTTTTGTACCCAAATCAATTCTAATTTGTAGATAAGAACGATAAACGAAATTTCTGTATCCCGCAAAAAAGTTGCGGACTCAAATTGCGGACTATATTTTCGGGAAATTTTATGTAGCTAGAAAAAATATAGCAAACATCTTAATTTCTTGAGACTTTTCTCGAAAAAGGAAAAAAATTAAAAAAGCAATTGTCCGCAATTTTGTCCGCCTTACAAATTAGTTAAACAAATACAAAAATAGTAACTAAATAGTTGCCTATTTAATACAAAATAAAATCCTACAAACCTCGCATTTTCCAAAATCATCAATTAATTTTTGAAAAAGTCTAAAAGTTGCTTTACATGCAGAATCCATATGATTACTTGAAAGATATAAAGAAGCAAACGATTTTTGAATTGAAGAAGACTTCATTGAGGCAAATAAAATATCACAAAACAAATAAATTTCGTTAGAATCAACACAAAAATAATTTTTGTTGTTTAATATACAACCAATTTTAAGTAATTTTATATTGTCGGGTAAATTGTTGTTACTAATTTTGTTGTGAATACAAATCAATTCATTTCTTAAGGAAAATTTTAATTTTTTATTAAAAAAATAATTTTTGCGGACAACATTTGCGGACATTTTTAAGAAAAGAAATGTCCGCAAAAATTTTGCGGACAAATTTTAATGTCCGCAAAATTTTTGCGGACAGAGTTAAAAGTCCGCAAATTTTTTTGCGGACATTCCAAAAATAACTAAAATATCCGTTAAAATTATCCGCAAAAATCTAGCTTGACTGAAAAAAAGGTACTTGTGAGTTATCCCAAACCAGTTTTTGCGGACATATTTTGCGGACTCTTTTGTATACACAGAATGGTCAGTCTTCCTCCTTTCCTCAATTTCACGCTATTTCACTATGGCATTATTCAATGAGAGGTCATGTTTGCCTCTCATTGAATAATGCCGTAGTAAAATATAGCGAAATTAAGGAAAGAGGAAGACTGACAATTCTGTGTATACAAAAGAGTCCGCAAAATGTGTCCACGAAAACCGTGACTAATCACAGTCTTACCAAATCATGGAACGACCAAAATACGGAATAAAAAAATGTGGACCGATCTGTGCTTTCAGTGCAGCTTTTCGGTAATAGTAGTTTATCCCCACCCCTTTTTTACGGAATCCTTGACCATTTTGAGCTGGGTTGATACCATATTTGGTTAGATTTGTCAAAAATATAAAGCTGTTCCGGGCCGTGTCTGGTTAATTTGGTAAGACTCTGTTAAGGTACGTACACGAAGTAACGGACCATTAGTTCAAAATGCAGAGTTTGGTGACTGAAATATGTAAATAAAAATGAAAAGATTGATCTGTTATTTTCTTATTCGATGGCATTGCAGAAAAATAATTCGTTTTTTGTTGCCTCTCTTTATTGCCTCTACAGTGAAATTGAGGAGAGAGTTCACTATGGCATTATTCAATGAGGCAAACATGATTTAAAAATCGGTCATTTATATTTAAAAATAATCATTTCTTTATTGCCTCTCATTGAATAATGCCATAGTGAAATAGCGTGAAATTGAGGAAAGGAGGAAGACTGACCATTCTGTGTATACAAAAGAGTCCGCAAAATATGTCCGCAAAAACTGGTTTGGGATAACTCACAAGTACCGAAAAAAATAAAAAAGCAAACCTCACAGAATCCTGAAAACGTTTCCGAAGTAGATAACCTCTCGCAAGCCTCTGTAAATCGCCCAAAATATTTTGATCCATTATGAATGGCCAGATCCCTCAGAATAAGGATTGAGCAGTTTTTAATTAAAAATATTTCAAGAAAATAAAAACAATTAGAGCTAACAGAAAATAAAAATAATATTGAAAAAATTTTATTAAAAATATGTAGGCTTGCTTAAAAATAATTTAGAGGGTACAACCCAATACGGCGCGCGACCATAACGGCGCAAAGCCATAACTAACTGGAAAATTTCAGTACCCCCAACAATTTTGGTACCAATCTCTTTAGATCGACAAGAGGAGTCGTTTAATACTAAATTTGGCAAGATTCGGAAATCTTGAAGCAAGTTAAGGCTTTGCGCCGTTATGGACGTGCGCCCAGCTGTACTCCCTTTTCTCAATTAGCCAGCACTCAATTCTTCGCGACAAAACGTCCTTTTTTCTTTTTTCTTTAGGCGGTATTTTGTCGTTTGAATTTTTTATTGTTGTTTGATGATTCTTCTTTGCTTCCTTTTGTTTTTTTGTTGTTTTATTGTTGCTTTATAAATTTATTAAAATTTATTTCTGGAATTTTTTCTAGGATTTTATATTTTTGTGAAAATGAAGCAAATGAATTTATTCACTTTTTTGACAAAATTATCAACTAACCCGGATAAACCAAACAAAGAAAATGAAAGAAGAATTGTCCGTTTTTCCAAATCTGCATCAAAGCAGCTTTCTTCAGAAATTGAAAATAAAGAAAATTCTTCCCCAAAAATTTATAAACAACAAAAAATTGGAAGATTGGTTTCGAGATTAAATACAATTAGTTATTGTGATATTAGTAAGGAGGATGATGACGATTCTGAATTGGAAGTGATTAATGAATTGGCTAAAGGATTAACTTTGGAAAGGAAAGAACGTTCAGTTATGGAAGCACATGTTTGTTTGTTTTTTTGAAGGGGAGGGGGGGGGGGGATTTTCCAATAAAAAAATTTTTGGGGTCCTTGGGATCAAATGTCCAAAAATTTTGAAGAGGGGAGTGGGGGATTTTTAATAAAACAATTTTTAGGGGTCCTTGGGATGAACTGTCCAAAAAATTTTTAGGGGGGGGGGTTTCATAAAAAATTTTTTGGTCCTTGGGATGAAATGTCCAGAAAATTTCTTTTAACTCCTATCACAAATTATTTTTTATTTTGATGTCTAAAAAGTAAATCGATACCCTTCTACTCAAAATTTTTTGCTTAAAGTTTCAATAGTTTCTGTTTGTCCGCAAAAACTTTATTTTCTTTTTTTAATAAAAAATTTTTTGGGTTCCTTGGGATCAAATGTCCAAATAAATTTTTAACTCCTATCACAAATCATTTTTTACTTTGATGTCCAAATTGTAAATCAATACCCACACAACATTTTTTGGCTTAAAGTTCAATAGTTTCAGTTTGTCCGCAAAACTTCGCAAAAATTAATTTTATTTTTCAGGGCTTTTATTCCAATGCTGCTGTCTGCTTACCTTCTTGGAGAGAGCCAAACCAATTGACTGTTCAACAACTTGAAGCTGACGAGGTTGCATTTTCGATTGATGGAGAAACTCATATGATGCGTACTTTTGGAGGTTTGACTTCATTTTTTATAACTGGATTAACAGGGTTTTTTTTAATTTTAGGCGATGAATATTCTGATTGTGTTGGCAAGTCTTCTTCAAGAAAACGTGCTCGGTCTTGTTTAATTTCTTCTGATGATGAAAGCGTTGACTGCGATTTTTTTAATGCTCAAACTGAGGTTTTTTTAAATTTATTTTAAATAATGAGAGTTTTGAAGGGCTTGTTAACCGGAAATTTTCGTTAAAAATTTTTTTTGGAATTTTCTGAAAGAGATTTTTAAACTGTAATGCCTACTTATCGTCTCTTACTCTAAATTGTTTTTAAAAAATTTTTTTAGGACAATCAATGGATAGTTGAAAAAGTTCTTGCTCGTCGTGTGGTCGTGGACCTTCCCAAAACAAGATCAGTCCAGTATTTTTTAAAATGGAAAGGATGGGATTATAAACATTCAACTTGGGAAATTCATTGTAAAGAAAATAATATTGAGGATTTGGTATGATTTTTTCAAAATTTTTTGAACAAAAAATTTTTGTCCGCAAAAATAGTCCGCAAGACTAAGAACAAAAAAATACAATTTTTTGGACAGGCCCATTGCCAGGATTTTTTTCAGGGGGGGGGGCACGGGGGAAATTTTTTTGGCAATTTTCGATTTTAAAAATATTCCAAAACAGTCTTGAAAAAATCTTAAAAATTTATTTTTAGATCACAGAATTCCAAGATCGTGAAGTCTGGCGACAAGCAATTTGTCGTAGAATCCCGGCGAATGAAAGACTTTATTTCTATAATAGTTATATGCTTGGTTCACTCGTTAATTGTCATCAATGGGAAGACGAAATGAATAATTTAATTAAAAGTAGAACTCCAAGACAAGCTCCGATTTATGTTGAAAATTGGGTTGATGAAGAGGCTAAACCAAAGAAATTCGAGGTTTTTTAAAATTAAAGTTTAAGGAGGTAGGGGGGTAGGAATTTTTCTGAAAGAGATTATTTGGGGGTCTATTTTCCATAAGACATTACAGAATTGGCGAACAAAGCGATACAGAAATTTTTTTCTTCTACTGTCGTTAGGGTCGTTTTGTACTTAATCGCAAAGCATTGAAATGCCAAACTCCCAAAAGCCAAATAAGATATCAAGCTGAAAATAACCAAGACACTCTACAACATGGTTGAAAACTTGTCTAAAAACTTACAGTTATTTTTGAATTTCCTCATTTCTGAGATATCTTTAACAGGGCTGCACGTGGATTGCGTGCAGATTGATTGCGTAAATTGCGGGGGTTTTTGCAATTGCGGATTGCGTTTGCGGAATTTTTTCAATTGCGTGCAGCCCTGATATTTACTTCAACCTATTCAAGGATCTTTTTTTATTTTCTCTATTTTCTTCAATTGAATTAAAATATTTTTTCAGTTTATTTTGGAGAATCGTTTTTCAAAGGAGGTAGAAAAAGCATTGCAAGGAATCCCAAATATTGAACACTGCAAGTGTGGAAATGAAGAAGAAAAATGTGGAGCTAAACATGATTGCTGTCCTTATGTTTATTTTATTTATTTTTAAAATTAAAAAAAATTTTTGCAGAATTTCAATCAAAATTATTGTTATTTGGAAGATGGAAGAATTGATTCTAAACAAACATCTATGAATAAATATTGGATTGTTGAATGTACCGATGCGTGGTTCGTGAAATTACCTATTTTTAAAAACACTTTAAAAATTCTTTTTCTTAAAAATCGAAAAGTCCGCAAATTCAAATCCGCAAAATTTTATCCGCAAATTCCAGTCCGAAAATATCAACAAAATCTCCGGTCCGCAAAATTTTATCCGCAAAATTTTCAGTCCGCAAAATTCCCATTCCGTAAAATTTCTCATTTGTTTTCTGACGATTTTTGAAATAATAGTGGAGGACTGTCCCCTTTTTTTCTGTTTTAATTTTCCTTTATCTTCTCTTTTTTTATAAAAATTTTTTTCTCAAGTAAATGTGGCCTTACTTGTCCAACACGAGTTGTTCAAAGAGGACGTCAAATACCTATAGTCATCTTCCGAACATTAGATAGAGGTTGGGCAGTGAGAACTTGTGTTGATATAAAAAAGAAGTCTTTTGTTTGTGAATATGTTGGAGAGGTTTTTTTTTATTTTTTTTTGATTTTTTAATTAAAATTTTTTACTTGAAAAATTCAATTTAAAAAATATTTTTTGGGGTACACTAGAGTATCGATGTATTTTCAATGTTTTTAATGTGGCTGGGTAAAACAATTTTTTTAATTTCAAAACCAAAATAGGTTTCTAGGTTTGTTTCGGAATAAATTTTTTTCCGGGATTTCAAATGGGGTTGTTCATAACCGATTAACCGCCCGGTTAATTTTTCCCTGTGGCGGGGCAAAAGGAGAAGAGAGACAGGAAAAGAAAAAAAGACCCGCCACAGTGAGTAATTAACCGGGCTGTTAACCGGCTTTGAACACCACCTAGTTTCAAATTCCAATTGATAAAAAAACAATCTTTTAATTCCCAATCAGGCACGTAAACAGGATTTTTTTTCGGGGGCCAAGGGGAGAAATAAAATTTTGATTTTTAGTGCCGCAGACGAAAATTTTGAGAAATTTCGAAGGCTATAGGCCAAAAAATTTAATTTATTTGCCCAATCCCCTCCCTAATTTTCTGCTCCTAATAGTTTAGTAATTTTTGATAGGCCTTCAAAAAATTTTCTAGAGAATTTCTTTAACTAGAAAATTAAAAATTTATTTTTAAACAGGTTTTAACAGATGAGGAATCTCTCGAATCCAAAAAGCCAAGTACATATCAATTCCAAATGGATGGATGTGGTCCAAAATATTTTTTTATTGTTGATGCTGCAATTCATGGAAATGTGTTTATTTTTTAAAAATTTTTTTAAATTTAATTTTTTCCTCAAAGGAGGCTAGATTTGTAAATCATTCTTGTGGTCCAAATTTGGCTGTGTATCCTGTATTTGCTGATAGGTTGGATGAACGTTATCATAGAATTGCTTTTTTTGCAAAAAGGGATATTAAACGAGGTTTTTTTAATTTTTTCATAAAAATGGGGAAACTGCAATAAAAACTCCTGTAACTCTTAACTTCTCAATCTTGAAACCATGTTTTTTAAGTTTTTTCGGTTTGGATTGGTCCTAGTTAAGGAGCATTCCAGTTTAGGATGTCTTAAGCATCCTTAGAGATACGAGAGGGGATGAGTCAAGTTACTCGAAACCGCGGACTTTTTTCTGACCCAAAACTCGATTAGAAGAAAATTTTGAAAACCCACCCGATTTTTCTCGTATAAATCCGACCCATCTTTGATCCATAACCAAAAGGAAAGTTATTCTAAAAAAGTATTTTATCCCGAATTTCTTGTTTGGGGCTGAATTTTTGTTAAATAATTTGACTTTTTTTATTCAAAAAATTTTTTTCTAATTTTTCAAACAATTTTAGGAGACGAATTGACTATAGGTAAAGAAGGAGATTTTTCTTATTAAATATTTAATTTTTTATTATATAGATTATTGTGCTATTGATCAATTCGCAAAAGGACGGCGACAGAAACAGTGCAAGTTAGTTTATTTATTAAAAAAATTTTTTTTTAATTTTTTAACTAAAATTATTTTAATACCTTCATGGAGGTTATTCTGTTTTTTAATGCCCAACTCTTTTGGAAATCAAAAAAAAATTTTTTTAATTAAATGGACGAGTTTTGACTTTAAGAATAATTTTTCGATTAAATTATGGACCTGACTTTTAAATAATTTTTTCAATGTTTTATAAATCCTTTTTGGGTTATTTTTGATTTTTAAAAGGCATATTATTGTTAGAAATTTTCAAAAAAATTTTTTAAATTAAAATAAAATCCAAAAAAAATCTTTTTTCTTTCAGTTGCAACTCAAAAAAGTGTCGAGGTTATTTTTATTATTGAAGAAAAAAAAATTTAAAAAATTTTTTAAAAAATATTTTACTCTTAAAATACTCAACAACAACATTTTAACAATTTTCCTTTTTTCGGTTTATTTGATCTCCTTTTCCCTCACATATTTTTTTAAAAAACTACAATTTTTCTATATTTAAATTTGATTTTTCAATGCTCATTAAACACATCTTGCCTTTATTTTTAAAATTTTTTTTTGTTTTTTTTGATGATTTTTTGATTCTATTTTTGATTTTATTTTATTTTTTTTTTCGTTCAATTTTTATTAAGAATACAAAAAAAAGTTTTAAATTTTTTAATCTTGCCTTTTTTAAAAAATTTTTTCCGGCGCCTTAATTTTGGAAAATAAAAAAAAGTAAAGAGGGCCAAATCCCTCCTAGAAAAAGATTGGAAGGTATTTTTGTTCATTTTTAGAGTTTTCTGAAGAGAATATCAAGTCCAATTAAATTAAAAAAAATTCGATTGGCCGGTAAGGTATTGTGACGACCCTGTAGGGTGTGGATTGTTCCTACAATTTTTTTGAGGGTCTGAAAAAGCAAAGTCTGTTAGCTTGCTCTTAATCTTCCACTACCGACTGATTGTTTCATCGTTTGTTTTTTTTTGCTAGGCTGGAGCTCGTTTTTACTTTTAAAAGAAAACGTTTTCTTTCAAATCAAAAAAGATTTAACTATTTTGTATAAAAATGAGCGATGGATCCCTATTATTAGAAACTTTTTTGAAGGAAAATCTAAGGGGGGATTTTAGAAAAAAGACAACGGGGCAACCCCCAACAAACATTGAACATATATTTCAAACAAAGGCTAAGTTTTTTTAATTTTTTAATTAATATAATTTAAATTTTCAGCGATAAAAATTTTTTTTATTGATTTAATTGACTTTTTAAATTTATTCAAGTCATATGCGAAGACGTGTAAATTTTTCCTTTGTTAGAAAATAAAGAGGGGAGATTCTTTGTTAGAAATTTAGAGGGGAGAGGAAGGGAGGGGATGTTGTAAGATAAAGAAAAGAAGAGATAGGAGAAGAGTGGTGAAGGAAGAGTGGTGAGGGAGGAGAAGAGGGGGAGGGGTTGTAAGGGGTGTACGGAATTTTGGTCACCGGAATTTTGGTCACCAAGGATTTTCGGAACTTTGGTCACCAACTTTTTTGGAATTTTGGTCACCAGCGGAATTTTGGTCACCAAGTCAAAAAACGGAATATTGGACACTGAAATTTTGGTCACCAATAGGAATTTTGGTCACCAAACGGAAAAAAATAATCTTATCTAAAACTGATAAAAAATGATTTTTCAACCCCCAGTTGATCAATTTCAATGTTGATCATTCTGCCAGTTAATCAATCATCCGGAAGAGTGATCGAGAGTGATCAACTGAGGGAGTGATAAGCCATGAGAGTGATCAACATTGAAATTGATCAACTGGTGGTTGAAAAATCATTTTTTATCACTTTGATATCAGTTTTAGATAAGATTATTTTTTTCCGTTTGGTGACCAAAATTCCTATTGGTGACCAAAATTTCAGTGTCCAATATTCCGTTTTTTGACTTGGTGACCAAAATTCCGCTGGTGACCAAAATTCCAAAAAAGTTGGTGACCAAAGTTCCGAAAATCCTTGGTGACCGAAATTCCGGTGACCAAAATTCCGGCACCCGTTGTAAGGGCACCTGAAAAAAATTTATTATTGAGGGAAGAATTTAAAAATTTGGGGAAGGGGAGGTTGTAAGATAAAGAAAAGAAGAGAGAGGAGAAGATTGGTGAAGGGAGGTTGTAAGGGCGTCTGAAAAAAAATTTTTATTGAGGGAAGGATTTAAAAACGTGAGAGAGGGGAGGTTGTAAGATAAAGAAAAGAAGAGTGGAGAAGGAGGGGAGATGTAAGGGCGTCTGAAAAAAAATTTTTTATTGAGAGAAGGATTTAAAAATTTGGGGGGGGGGGGGGGGGGAGGGGAGGTTGTAAGATAAAGAAAAGAAGAGAGGGAGGAGGGGAGACGTAAGGGCGTCTGAAAAAAAATTTTTATTGAGGGAAGGATTTAAAAATGAAAAATCCTCTCCCTCCCTCCATTCATTTTCCTTGCTTCATTCATTAAAAAATTATTTTTGAATTCATACTACTAAAGAGAAAAGAGAAGAGTCGCTTATAAAAAATTTCCAAATGAAAATAAAAATATTTATTTTCCTTTGGATATTTATATCCTTTGATAATTCAACTGTTTCTACAAGCAAAGTGGAAAAGATAAGAATTGAAAAAGGAAATAAAGAATTGAAAAATTTTGAAAAAAATAAAAGCACCATAGAAGGGCTTATTGAAAAATTTGGAGATTTGATGAATGTGGAAAAAAAAGAGAAAAGGGAGGCGGATAAGCAAGCTGCCGAACTTAGGAAGAAATGGGAGGAATTAGGAATTACGTTAAATGGAAAATTAAAAGAAGGAAAAGTGGAAAAGGATGAAGATTTTCAAAAAGCCGTTACCCATTTTGGTGAATTCCAACAAAAATTTTCAAGTGTTAAAAGTGTCAAAAACATTTATTCTTTAAATGACAATGTTTACGTTGCTTGGATTAAAACTGTGGGAGATCATTTAACTAGTTTGTTTGATTTTATGCCTATACATAGTGATCGAGTTATAAAAGAAAACGATCAAGTGAGTAAATGGGAGGTGGATGATAAGACATGGATGAAGAATTTGTGGGGAAAAGAAACAATAGAAAAGATGGAAGAGCTATTCGATGACGTTTCATCTGCGGAAGGTCCAGACTCAAAAAATCTAAGTTCAAAAGGTCCATCCAAACTCGACAAACTTGATGATTTTATCGTTTATTTAAATCAACATATCTGTGGGGAAACAATGTTGGCAGAATTAAAAGATAAAAAGGAACGTTTTGGAGGACTAATATTAGCAAAAGGAGATGATAAACCGAAATTCATTACAATTGGAACTGAACGGGCACAAGAAGATTTTACAATGTCAAGTAATGCAGCAATAGAGGGTTTATTGAAATTTAGAGAAAACGCTGATAAAATTTTGATAGAAATTGTTTTGTTATTAAAAAATTATTCTTTTAATTCTGCGAAGGATTTTGAGTCCTTAAAAGAAAATTTTGAAAAATTGGCAGAAAGGGGGGCAAATAAATACTATGCCGTAGAAAATGATTTTGAAATTTTTAAAAATGGGCTGATAAAAAAATTTGGAGACGAGTTTGGGATAATTTTGAAGTGTTATCAAATATTTAAAAGTGTTGGGTTTAATGAAAATGCGGGGAAAAAGGAAAGAGAAAAGAAGAAAAAAGAGATTGAAGGTTTTGATAAAGGGTTATATAAAACCTGTAGAAATAAATTTGCTAAATTACCCGCAGAATTTGATATTAAAAATATTAAAAAGTTTGAGAAAAAAGGATTAGAAACTGATTTGGAAAAATTAAAAGAATTGAGTGAATATAGGTTTGTTTAAATAGTCAGGAAAAAGAAGAGACGACAGGGAGCACTCTCCTTCCTTTTCTAACAATTTCTGAGCTCCATAGTCTTTATATCGGGAATAAACATTATAGACCCTTTGTTTACGAAAAGTAGTCAATTAAAAGTAGAGTGGGACGATATCGATATTTTAGGAAAAATTCGATATCGAGATTGGTCGATATTGACATGACCGAGATCGATATCGATATGCAAGATTTGATCCGAGATCGATATTCGATATTTACCGTATTTTTTAAAAAATATTTATTATAAAATTTTTACCCTTTCCTGCGCCGCAAACGAAAATTTTGAGAATTTTGAAGGTCCTTAAGTCAGATTTTCTTTCATTTTTTGCACCGCAGACGAAAATTTTGAAAATTTGGAAGATATTTAAGCCAAAGAGTCTTCTGGAGGACCCCTCTTCTAAAAAAGAGAATACTCAGCACTGATCCAACCCCACCTCTATGAAAATATCCAAGAGACTAGATTTCATCTCATTTTTTCATCCCATTTTCGAAAATTTTTTTGAATTTTTGATGCTCAAGTAGCTATATTTCTTTCTTTTTCAGCGCCGCGGGCGAAAATTTTTAGAATTTTGGAAGGGCATGTGGCCAGATTTCTTCTATTTTTTTAGAAAAAAATCCTTAGGGGTGTATATTTAATATCGATATCGGTCGATATTTGGGCCGATATATCGGTATCGATTTCGAGATCGATATCGGGTGAAACCGATATCGATATTGGAAAAAGACCGATATTCAGACCGATATATCGATCTCGACTTGTCCTACCCTAATTAAAAGCAGAGGCGGGCATTCTACCGTAATACAAAATTTAAAAAAATTTCTTTAAGCTTCAAATTATTTGACCGATATGAAGTCCTAAAAAATTTACAATTCAAAGAAAAAATTATTGATCAAGAAAGTTTTAAAAAACACGAGTCTAACACAGAAATGTTGGAATATATAAAAGAAATAATTGATATCGAAATGAAAACTGGCTGGTCAAAAAGGAAAAATGTCTGGTTAGAGACAATTAAAAATTTTGAAAATTTGTTAAATAAAGCTGAAGAGGAAACGGATAAATTTATTAAAGAAACAATTGTAAGAGTTTATATTTTATTTTATTGGGAAATAGGGTTGCTGTAAGAAACCACCCGTTTAAAAAGTTCTGACACCTATAAGTTTCACGTTTTTAAAAAATTTTTACGGTCCAGACGCTTCATTGGGTTTCGACACACAGGGACGATTCACAGAAATTACAAGAATTCACACAAATTCACAATCAATTAACAAATTCCTGGAATTGACCAGAACCGAAATTGAATATCTGTTCAATTTTTAGAGCTGGAACAAAGCTGCGCTAAAGACACCGAAAATAGACTTTCTTTAACTAGAGACTAGACTTTCTGCTCTATCGAGAATCTCGATCTCGAAGAATCTTGGTCTTGTATAATCAAAAATTTTTTTACCAAGATCGATCCAACCTCTATTCTTGACTTCTTTTAAATTTCAGGCAAAATTTGATAATCTGATGCAAATTTACAAAAAACTGCGTTTATTTTCTGAAATGAACAAAGTAGCAATTTATCTCCAAAAATCAACAAAAAATTTAACTTTGGCCTCAAACAAAACAATTCAAAATGTAGTTGATGTTAAAGAAACAAAAATGCTAAGACAATCTGAATTGGTAAAAGAAGAATTTTTAAAAGCTAAGAAGTTGATTGGAGAAGAGTATCTTTTGGGGTATTTTGAAAAATTGAAAGAGGTGGAGAAGGAAGAAGAACAATATGTGAGGAAGGAGGAATCTCCAATGCCATTGAGAATGACAGAATCTTCAATTATCCATTCAAAGTCAAAGCAATCTTTTAGTGAAGATTTACCAGACTCACATGAATCTTTTGCATCATCGACAAGTGAAGCAGAATCGGAAACTTCAGGATCTGCAATACATTCGCACACAAACTCATTTAGTTCTTCGACAAGTGGAAGTTATAAAAGGTCCCCCGTCTCTAATGTCGTCAAACATTCAGCTTCTCTGCCAGAAATAAACAGAATGCCAAAGCCTGTTGGAGGGATAAAGAAATCAGTTTCCACACCCAACTTTTTGATAAATTCGACTTCGTTTGCAGCACAATCTAGTGTTTCTAATCCTAAAAAGAAGTCGAAGAGTAGTTCCATAAAATTAAGACAGCAGGAGATTGAAGAAAAGCAAAAGATTGGTAAAATTTAAAATTTATTTCTACGGTTTTCCCGCCGCCACTTGGGTCAACGTCTAGATGGTGCTTAAGGGCCTATTTCATCCCCTTTTCCACTTGTTTAAGACCTGTAAAGTTTCCTTCCAAGCAAGAAAGTAAAAAAGATGGTATAGGGGGGGGGGGTAGATCAGTTAACAATCTTGCATTGAGAGCTATCAGGAGCAAACCTGGATCTTCTTGGACTATTAAATAGAATAGAAAATTAGGATAGGAACTTGGAAAATATGGAAGAACATCTTCCCAATTCCAATGAAAGGATGTGAAATTGGCCCCAGTTGAATTTGTTCTAAACAAGCGGAAACCTCAGAATTTGTTTAATTAAAAAAATTTCTTTTAAAGAACAAATAAAAAAAGAATATGGAGATTGGAATGAGTGGGAAAACGAAGTTAAGGATAATCAAAAACAAGTGGGGAAAAAAGTTAAATGGATTTATGGCGTATTCAAAGAAATTGTAGATTCTGTTGAATTGGTTGAGACAAAGGAAGAAGAAATAAAAGTATGTGAAGAAGGATGTATTCCAGTGGTGAAAGTGCCAAAAGATGATAAGAATTTGATTTATGATTTGAAATTTTCTAAAACTTGAAGTTGAAAAGTGCAAGTGGATATGTATATATCATTTCCGGACACGCTGTATATATCATTATGGGAAGAGCGCCATTTTTGCACAACTTTTTTGCGGACGTTTTTGACGACTTTTCTGGGTACTATAAAAGCTTACATACATACTATAAAAGCTTTTAAATATTCACACTTTCTAATTTATTTTTTAATGTCTCAATTTTAATTCCGCAAAAATTGTTGGCAGAAATGAATGCTCTCTTCTTCAGAAACTTTTTATTTATCGAGAAACATTGTGATTCAACTGGGGGTTGTTTACAACCGGTTAATTATCGCTAGTGGCTCCTTTATTGTTATTAAAATTCCCCATGAGTTGCCACAGGCGAAAGTTAATCTGTCTTGAACAATCCCAATTTCAACCTATAAATTTAAAAAATTCCAATTCCCCCTCAATTTTATTTATTTTTAAATGTAAACATTTATTTTTTTAAACGTCAGCTTCCGAATTTTAACTTTGTAATTTTTCAATTTCATATTTTATTTAACTAACGACATATTTATTTAAAATATTCTTTTTATTAAATTTATCTTTAAACAAATTTTGATTATGTAGATATAAACTTTTTTTTAATTCAAAAGTTTTTGTTAGAGATCCATTATTCTAATTTTAATTTATTGAGTTAATGTTTGTAGATAATGTAGGGATTTGGGTTCTACTTGACTTTATGAGTCCAATCAAACTAGGAGTCCAATAAAAAAATAATTGTATTTTTCTTGGTGTTGCAAAGTAGGGGTCCGGTACCAAACCATTTCTTCATGTTCGGGACCTACGCCCACTGGGTTTGGGGGGACTGTTACTTACCCTATTCCTCGAACTCAAGTAGACCGGAATTTGTGCTCGAAGTAACGTCTATCAAAAACGTTTTGAGGACGCGAAACTTTTGAGGACGCGACCTTTGAGGAGGCTTGGCTACTTGGCGTAACGTTTCATTTTATTAGAGAAAATTATGAACCTACTCATGTTTTACTTGCTGCATGCCTATTAAAAAACACAAGTGCGAACGTGTTTTTACAGTTGTATAATTGGCATGATCGAAGAAATAGCCCTACACTGGAAAGAAAACAGTTATTTTTACTTGAGAATTTGCTTGTTTACGGGGTTTAAAATTGAATAATTGAGAAAATAAGCAAGTTTTTTGGAAATTTTTTAAAATTAAAATGTTTCATTTAGTCTGAAAAAAAATTTGGAGTTGTTGGATCCAAATTTTAAGATAATTTATTATTAATTTTAAAAATGTAGTTTTATTTTAATGTTTTTCCCTTTTTATTTAAACTATTCCCCCAAAACATTTCAAATGTTTCTTTACTTCATATCATTTTACAACATTTACCCAACACATTATTTGAATTTATTTCCCTTTATAGTTTCTTATCAACCTTTTTCTTAACCTACATCTTTTAATAAATAAATAGTTGAACTTGTAAGTATTGGTTTCCTCATTTAATTGAGAGAGTTCAATTTAAATATACAAGGCCGGAGACTTTGTTGGAGTTTCGCCCAGGTCTAGTCGGGAGGGGAAAAACTTTGGCGGGTTAAAATTTAATTATAAAGTTGTAAGCCTACACCTCTCAAAAACATTCAACTTTTTTCTTATTTGTTGTAAAAAATTTGTTGTAATTTATTAAAAGAATTAGCTAAAGATGAAGAAGAGAAAGTTGGGGAAAAAGAAGTCAGAGAAAAACAAGTTGGGGAAACAAGTTGGGGAAACAGACGAACAAGTTGGAAAACAAGTTGGAAAAACAGACGAACAAGTTGGAAAACAAGTTTTAATTTAAATTGATTTTTCTCATTTTCTCTTCCCATCTTCCCTCTAGCAGCGACTTATTTAAATTTTCCCTCTCCCCTCTAAAAAATCAATTAAAAATTTTTTTTATTCCCTCTAAATTGAATTGACGTCAATTCCCCTCTATTTTAAAGACAACAATGAAAGTAAAGAGAGAATTTAATAAAGAATTTTATTTACTTTATTGGCATTTAAAATTTTTTTTATTCTGCCCTTTCTATAATAAAATTTAAATTAAAAAAATTTTTTTTGCCCTTTTTGTTAAATAAAACAGCGTTTTAGTTAGTTTATTGGAGTTATTTCTGTTTTGTTTTGACAGAAATTTTAAGTCAAACAATTTTTTCTTGTTAAAAATTTTTTCTTGTTATTTTTTCTTGTTAATCTAATTTAAATTGAGGGGTATTTATTTTGTCGATTAGCTAGGGTATTTATTTTTTAACTCCCTTACAAGGGTAGTTATTTAAAAGAAAGAGTAATTAAGCGAGAAAATTAAAAAATTTAAAAAAATAAATATTTTTATAATAAATTTTAGATAAAAAAAATATTCAAAAAATTAAAAAAAAATTTTTTTATGAAAATTCAAAAATTTATTTTAATTTTGATAGCATTATTGCTATTGGAGAGGAAAACAATTGGAGAGGAAAACAGGGCGAATGAACACGAAAAAAGGGAAATTGAAACGGTAGAGAATTTAATTGAAAAGTTTAAAAATTTGGTAAATGTCGAAGAATATAAACATACTGTTAATGTAATAGAAGATTTTAGAAAGTATTATGAGGGAAATAGAAAAGAAGATAATGCTGAGAGAGAAATAGTAGAAAACCAACTTTCATTTTTATTAAAAGAATTACCTAAAGATGAAGAAAATGCTGGAGAAAAAGAAGTCAGAGAAAAACAAGTTGGGGAAAAACAAGTTGGAAAAACAGACGAACAAGTTGGAAAACAAGCTGTTGATTTGAGTATAAAAACATGGGATGAACAAACAATAAACAAGTTGAAAGAAAAAAGCAAACAAAACATGGATGTGTTTATTGACTATATAAATAAACTTGTTTGTGGGAAAGAAAAGTTGGAGGAACTAAACAACAAAGCTAGAGAAATAAAAACAATTATGGAAGCAAATAAACATAACAATTATGTTTATAAAGCTTCTAGAGACTATAGTTTGCAGATAATTGGACGATTATACGCGTTTCGAAAAGAAACCGATTCAATTTTAATTAAAATTGTATTGCTAAAGAAGGGTTATCCAACAAATTATTTTAATTTTGGAGAATTTTTGGAAGGAACAAATAAAAAATTTAAAGAATTGGTTAAGATTGGAGATGGAAAACATTATTTAATTAAAAAAGAATTTGATAATTTAAAAGAAGGAATAATTAAAAGTATAGAAGGGACAAAAGGGAAAAGAAAAAAGTTTATAAAATGCCAAAAAATAATTAAAGAAAGGAGTGAATGGTTTGATAAACAAGGAGAATTGAGATATATTAATTATTATATAGATAGTAAGAAAAGTTTTGTGAAACTTTTAAATAAATTGGAAAGCGCAAAAAAGTTGTTAAAAATAAAAAGAAAAGAAGAAGAAAAGTTGTTAAAAAGTAAAAGAAAGGAAGAAGAAAAGTTGGCAGAAAATAAACTTGAAGAAATGAAAAAAGAAACAATTTCTGGAATACCCCCAATTGTTAAAACAATTATAAATAAGGCGGAAATAATCGAACAAGTTTTAATAGAGGGGAAATTGTTGGAAAGAGAATTGGAAGCATTAAAAAAGTTTTCGAAAGAGATGACAAAAGTTGATTTTATAAACAAGTTGGAAGCAATTCAAACAAGTTTGGAAAACAAAAAAGAAAACAAACATGTTGGGGAAAACTTGGAAACAATCCAAATAAGTTTAAGTTTGGAAAACAAACAAGAAAACAAACTTGTTGGGGAAGAAACAATTCAAACAAATGTTGGAGAAGACATAGAAACAATTCAAACAAATGTTGGGGAAGACTTTGAAACAAGTAAAACAAATGTTTGGGAAAACTATGAAACAACAATTAAAACAAATGTTTGGGAAGCATTAAAAACAATCAAGAAGACTGTTTGGGAAAAATTAGAAAAAATTAAAACAAGTTTGGCAAAAAAGCAAGAAGGAAACTTTAAAAAAAATAAACAAAGTAAACTAATAAACAAGTTGAAAACAATACAGAAAGATGCAAGAATTGAAAACTTTAAAACTTGTTTAGAAATGTTGGAGTCAACTAAAACAATGTTTTATATAAATGAAATGAAACAAGAGTTGCTGAAAAGAATTCCAAAGCTTGAAGAATGTTTTAAAAACAAGAAAAAGAAAAGTTTTGAACAAGTTTTAAACGAGTTGAAATTAGCAAAAACAAGTTTATTAAACTTGAATGGTCAAACAGAGGTGTTAAACAAGTTGGAAAATATAAAACAAGTTTTAGAAAAGAAAGAAAGTAAAAACAAGAAGGAAGAGAAAGACAAAGTTTTGAGAATGTTTAGAGAGGTAACAAACAAGTTTGAGAAAAATAAGGATTATGATAAGTTTGTTGTGAATTCAATCAACAATACAAAGGAAATGCTGGAGGAGGGAACGCCTTATGTAGATGTTCTAGACAAGTTGGAAATAACTATAGGGTATTTAACAAATTGTACAACACGAATAAATTTGTTAAACGAGTTGGGATTAACCAAACAAAGTTTTATGGAAAAAGAGAGTGATGAAAAATTATTTAAACATTTGGAGAGGATGGAAACAATTTTATCAAAAAATATAAGTTTAGAAACATTGGAAAAAATGAAAAGAAAGTTGGAAGTTGAGGGGGATATTGTAACTAAAGAAAACTTGATAGATGAAGAATTATTAGATAAAATGTATCAAAAAGTTGGACATATACAAAATAATATAAATGTAAAACCAGGAGATCTTAATGAAATTGAGGAATGTAAAAAATGGGAAATGCCAGAAAGTAAAGAAAAAAATGCTGAATTTACAAAGAAAGTGGAAGCTTATAGGTTAGTTTTTATTTGAGACTTTTTTTCGGACAACTTTTGCGGAAAATTTTTTCGAAATAATTTTTTGCGGACAATTTTGTGAAAATTTTTTCGGAGAATTTTTGCGGAAAAATTTTTTGCGGGCATTTTTTGCGGACATTTTTTGCGAAATAATTTTTGCGGACATTTTTTGCGGACATTTTTTGCGGAAATGTTTTGTCGAAAAATTTTTTGCGGGGATAAGAAATCTGCAAAAATTGCCTGTCTACAAAAATGTCGCTAGAATGCATCCTTATTATATAATATTAGAAAGCGACTTGTTAGCTTTATTTTTGTTAATCTCGTAAAGGAAGTCTCATTTTTGGATTTCTAATATACATATTCAATTCAATATAGATTCAACTTGGTCAATCGTTTTGTCTTGTTAGAAAATTTAACAATGCCTAAAATAGTTAAAAATTCGAAAAGTATTGTAGAAACTATAAAAGAAAATCAAAAGGTTGGTGAAAATATTAAAGAGGAGGGTGAAAATATAGGAGATAACAAAAAGAAGGATATGCTGAATAAATTAAAAAATAAAAACAAGGAATTGCGGACAAATTTAATGAGACTTGAGAAATATTTAAATGAATCTGAGATTGTGATAATAAATTTTATTGAGAATAATGCTGAGGTAAGGATATAATTATAAGTACTAGTGATGGTCGAGACTATCGGATTCGGTTCCCGAGTCGGAAAATTTCCCGGGTTTTTGTCTCGGTGTTTTAGTCTCGGATAGCCCTCTTAATCTCTCGGTCTCGAGATTGATTCCCGGTCTCGGTCTCAACCTCGGCTTTTTTAACTCCCGACCATCACTAATAAGTACCTAATTTGTACCTATATCCTATTTGGGTCTCATTAATTTTCCTTTTTTACTGTCAATCATTTGTTTCCCTTAAACAATATTTTATAAAAGGCAAGTTATTAGGAAACAAATAATAGATAGCAACAGCAAAAATCAAACTAAAGGCAAAAATCAGCATTTATAAGGGAATTCCGAGGCAGAAAAGAATATAAAAGGAAAATTAATCCGAGGCTCGAATAGGAGGGGCGGGATATGGACAAAGTCTCTAATTTATGGACAAAGTCTATAAATAAACCTAATTTCGGAAATCTTTGGAAATTTTTTTATATTTCTTCCTACTATTTTATTAATTATAACTCAATTTTAGATAAGAATTAAAGACTTGGCACAAATTTACAGACAAATTCGTTTCCATTCTGGAATGAATAAAGCTGTTCTGGAGCTTTTTAAAAGAACAGGAAATTTAATTTTAGCTTCAGAAAGTTCGATTAGAGATGTTGTGAACTACAATAAAGGTGGAAAGATAGCCAAAGAATTTGAAATTGGCCGGCAATTATTGAAAGGGGTTATTGGTGGATATCTTGAGAAATTGAACTCTCAAAATCCTGTGACTGTTAACAAAATTTATGAAAAAGTAGATTGGGGTTATTTGGGACAAGAAGCGCCAGAATTTTCGGATACAATGTCAATGTTAAGTTCTTCAACATCAATGCTTGATTTGGATGAATTCTCTGAGTCGGTGGATCAATTATCGACGGTGGATGAATTGCCATCAGTCGATGAAGTGTCATCAACGAATGACTCATTCTTCACATCACCTTCAGAAAAATCTTCTGTTGGGTCAGAAAATGAATTAAAATTTGGTTCACCTGCAAGTACAAGCCTATCGATGAGTGAGCTCCCAAAGTTTGGAACATTCACATCACCCTCCTCAAAATCTTCTGTTGGATCTGACAAAGAATTAAAATTTGGTTCTCCTGCAAGTTTTACAAGTTTCCGGTCAAGCCAATCGATGAGTGACCTGTCAAAGGTTTCGAGCAGTAACCCGAAGAAACTATCAAATAAAGAAAAGAAAAAGGAAGCTAAACTCAAGATACAACATGGTAATTCTAAAATAATTGGCAAATGTCCTGTCTACCTGTCCGCAAAGAGAATCCGCTCTTTTCTTTCCTTTTCTTGCATTTTTTGCGTTGGGAGAAGTGCACCCCCTCATTCTCCGTTTTCAGCATTTTTCCTTCTCAATACAATATGTTTTCCTTTTCCTACTTGCAAAATAAATTTATAAATTTTAAAAGATGATTTAAAAATATATTTTACAATAATAAATTTTGGATAACATTCTCAAATACCAAAATTAGAAACCATGTAGATATTCGATAACTAGTAATAGGGATTTTTTCTTTGATCAAGTTTTTGATCAAGAGTTTGATCGTAGAACAATGGGATCCAGAATTTTTCTACTGAGGAATTATTTGAAAATAGATTAAAATTATAAAAATAGATCCAAATTATAAAATATCAAAGTGTCATATTTAAATTATCTTTTAAAATTTTTAAAATTTATTTTGCAAGTAGGAAAAGGAAAACATACTGTATTGAGAAGGAAAAATGCTGGAAACGGAAAATGAGAGGGGCACTTCTCCCAACGCAAAAAATGTAAGAAAAGGAAAGAAAAGAGCGGATTCTTTTCGCGGACAGGTAGACAGCCAACTGGACATTTGCCAAAATAATTATATGAGTTTTCCCGAGGAATCGGAAGAAAATTTCGAAAAAAACCTCAAAGATATCGAAAATCCAAAAAAACCTTGAAAATCGAAATTTCGAAACAGCTCTATTAGAACATATTAGAATCTTTGATATTAGATTTTCATGTAAAATTCAATCTCTAAGCAAAAATCGCCCTCTAAAATTTATAAAAAAATTTTTAATTTATTCTTTAGAAAAAGAAGTTGAAAAATGGAATGATTGGAAATTTAAAAACGCTGGAACTGATGACGAGGAAACCGTTGGACAACTTAAACTTTTGGATGTTCAAGAAGAAGCAAAAAACAATTTTGCTTGGTTTAATCATGTGTTTTCGGCAATTATTAAATTAGATGAAAGAAAGATTGTTCCAGAATTCAAGGAAAATATTTGTGAAAAAGAAGGAATGAATTGCACTCCTGTTTCTAAAATTCCAGAAAAAACTGAAGATTTGATTGACGAGATGTATGGAATTATTTAAGAATGAAAAGATGAGGAAGAAGAAGAAGAAGAGACGTCTGAAAGAATTTTTTTGATATTAAAAAGATGTATAAAAGTCCTTTTTATTTTTTAAACACAACTCCATTTTCTTATACCATTCCTATTTATCCCTCCAAATCACTAAAAGATACCAAATACAATGTATTTTTTCTATCATTTTTTAAAATCACTCTTATTTATCCTTCTATTTATCCCAACGTCTCTAAAATATGTATTTTTCTAAAGTTTTCTCCTTTATATTTTTTAACCATAATCCCCTTTATTTTTAACACAATCCCCCATTATTTATCCCTTCTATTTATCCCAATGTTCCTAAAAGATACCAAATACCATGTATTTTTACTAAAAGTTTTTCCCTATATTTTAAACACATCCACTCTATTTTAAACACAATCCCCATTATTTTAAGCTCAATCCACTCTTATTTACCCGTCCAAATCACATCAAATACCATGTATTTATTCAATCATTGTTTAAATCACTTTACCACATTTTTTACTGAATTTTCAATTTAAAAGCAAGTATTTATGTACTCTTTCATATATTCTCTAACATTAAAAGTTTATCCTGATTAAAATTAAAGACCGGCGCGTGGTCGGAATCCCGACGGGATTTTCCGGGATCCCAAAATCTCGGATTTTTTTTGACTTCGGGATTCGGGATTTATCCCTTGGGATCCCGTTCCAGCATCGGTTAAGAAAACATCCCAACTCGGGATCCCGGAAGTACGATTTTGCCGGTCTCTAATTAAAACACCACTATTTATTTTAAATGTTTTATTTTTCTAAAATATACCTCAGCATATCACAAATAGAGATAGGTACATGTTGGAATCCGTCAGGGGATTTCCCGGGTCTGATCCAAAAAGTAGCCGGATTTTCAGCATATTATCTGATTTATTTCATGGGATTCTGACCCTCTCGATAATTCAAAAGTCAAATCCATTACGGATTCCAAGACCATTTACCTATCTCTAATCGCAACATTGAACATTTAACTCGTTTTATATAAATTTTCATTCATAAACGATAAAATTTAAAATTGTGTAAAGGTAGGGTTTTATATGTAGGAAGGGTTTTATATGGACTATTAATCGAAAAATATGGACTATAATATGGAATAAAAATCTTAAAATATGAACTGTAAAATATGGATCAAATATGGGCCGAAAACAAAAAATTTTTAACGGAAAATTTCCATTTTTAAGCAGAAAACAACTGTCCGTAAAACGTATGAAAAGATTTTCGGTAAATCACATATGTAGTTAAATGAAAAAATTTTTTAACAATAACTTTCAAAATTGTTAAAATTTTAAGATAACTGAAATATGAAAATTTTTGCATATTCAAATTTAAAATTTTTGCTTAAAATTTAAATTAAATAAAAATGACATTTTATCCCAATTATTAAATAAAAAGAAAATAGTGTATAAAAAAGAGAGACGGTTAGAGAAATGAAGGATTTTTTGATGAGAAATCCGTCCTTTTCCCTTATTTTTGTTAGCTTTTTAATCTAAAAAATAAATTTAATTTTTAGAAGAAATTTTTTATAAATGGAAGTTGATTCAAGTAAAATACCGGTAAATGGCCAAATTGCTGCAAATGTTTGTTTGGCGGATATTGGGTTTGTTTAATTTTGTAGAATTTTTAAAAAAATTTTTTCTCAAGGGAAATAAATGAAGAATTAATCAAATCAAAAACCAAAAAAGATTTGAAAGGGAAAGCTGCAGCAGCAATAAAAATTTTGAGATCTTTTATAATTTCTAATGATTATGAAGCTGCTGAACGTTTTGTTTCTTCGGTCAAATTGCCTGAAAGTGCGACAAATAATGACTGGGCTCGGTGGTTTTATTATTTGGGATTAATTGAGGCAATGAAGGGAATTAATTTAAATAATTACAAAACGGCTAAAAAATATTTTGAAATTGCTTTGAGAAAGGCGCCGACAAATGGGGCTATTGGATTTAAACAGGAAGTTAATAAGGTTGGTGTTTATTTTTGTTTTTTTTTTATTTTTGAGGTTTTTATAAATAGGGCTGTTGTTTCTAGCAAATTTTTTAGATATTTTTAGGCCTGTTTAAGTTCGTTTTAAACGTTCTCGTTTTGAGGAGAAAATTTTAAAGTGAATTGGTTAAGGTTTCAGATCGGTTCGAATGGTGGGCCGTAGGTAACGTGCGTTTGTGCCCCTCCTTTATTTAATTTTTCCGAGATTCCATTCTAGTTCTTTCGACAATTCTTTTTGTTTGATAAGCTGGGAACGGATAATTTTTTTCCTAAAGTTATCCTTCCTATTTTTTGTTTATTTTTATTCTAATTTTGAAAATACACTCTCACTTGGTCGTTCCTGTCTTTTTGAATTTTATTTTTCAAAAAATTCTCTTTTTTCTAAAAACTTTTTTTTAAATTTTCCAGTGGATGGTTCTTGTAATGCTTCTAATTGGTGAAATACCCGAAAGAAGTCTTTTTCGTGCGAAAGAATTTGAAAAAGTTTTGCTTCCTTATATGCGCTTGACTAAAGGTTTTTTTCTCATTAAAAATTTTCTAATTTTTTTTCAAGTCGTAAAATTGGGAGATGTTGAAGGCTACAAAAAAGTAAAAGAAGAATTCGATATTGAATTTACTGAACATAAAACGATGACTTTAGTTGGACGTATTCATCAAAGTGTTATTCGAACAGCAATTAGGCAGATTGCTTTGACTTATTCTCGTATTTTTATTTCTGATATGGCTACTAAATTACAGGTTTTTTAAAAATATTTTTAATAGGGAGCGGGGCGAGTTATGTCCAGTCGAATTATCGGCTTTGGAAGCGTTTGAGCTTTGCAATATGAAGTTGAGGTTTTTCTACCGGATGGTACCATTAAATTATCATTTGATGATGATAGAGATCGGAAATTTTGAAAAGCCTGGACCTATTCCTGAACTCTGGGGTTGATTTATTGCCCTGGACTGGATCCTAGGCCTGTAGTTTAGGAAAAAACCTAAGCACAGGAAAAACTTATTAGTAAGGTCAAAAAATGCCTGGACCTGGACTATAGTTGCAGGAAAACTCAGGCCTGGGTTTAGACTCATTGTCAGTCCGATCTCTAGTAGATGATGTTTCCTTATAAGTAGATTAACTCCATTGGAAAAAATGCGATTTTACTTATAAAATTCAAAAATTAAATGGTACTCTATTTTTCTTTAATCCTTTTCAATTTTCTTAAAGTCTCCAACAGTTGAGGATGCTCATGATACAGTTATGAAAGTTTTTAAAGAAGGAATTCTTCGTGGTATGGTTGTTACAAACGATCCAGAATTTAAAAATCAGCCATATGTCAAATTTGGCGAGGCGGATGATCAATATAGAGGAACTGAGCCACAAATAGAATTTGACAAAAGAATTAAGGAATTGTTGGATTTACATAGCCATGCAGTTAAGGCTTTGCGTTATCCTGATAATGCTAATCCAGAGGTTGAAACTATTGAGGAACAGCGTAAACGCGAGCAAGAGGTTTGTATTTTTTTAATTTTTATTGATAGGTTGACTAGGGAGAAACTCTCTCGGCCTTACAGATTGTGGGAGCTCAACTGCGGGGCACAACCTGCCAGCAAAAAGACCTTATGTTGATTTAACAAATAAATGGCCTGGGAGGGAACATGGCCGACCTGATTAACTGTTAACTGAATTGTTTGGCCTGGTCTGGATTCTCTCCACTTTTATGTGCCTTAACAATTCAGGCTGGACAAATTTGTTTTGTGCTAATTTCTTGGGATGAAATGTCCTATTGATTTTATTATTCCCACGTATCCGATGTAATGTCAAATTATTTTAAAAATCCCCGAATTTTTTATCGAAATCTTTAAAAAAAAATTTTTTATAATAAGGTCAATTTTCCACTAAAATATTTAATTTAATTATAATTTTTTCCTTTTTAAGGCACTTGAAGCTGCAGCGGATGAAGAAGATGACGACATGATTGGATAAATTGTGTTTTTCTTTTTTAATTTTTTTATTCAAAAATATTAAAAAAATAAATGTGTTTAAATTAAATTTTTTTTGAAATTTTATTTTTTAAATGTTTTTTGAGACATTTTGGTTATTTTTTTTATTTTTGAGGAGAAATTTTTTTTAATTTTTATTCTGTCATAAAAATGTCTGAATGGATTGAATATAAAAGTCAACTTTTAAAAGCCTATTTTTCTTCAAGTGGTGGAGTGGCAAACAAAGATTCTTCATTTTACAAGGAATTTGTGTCGTTTCTTTCTCGTTATGAAACAAAAATTGCTAATAGGTTGGTATTTTTTAGTTTTTAAAAATATTTTTTGGGACCTCTGATGCATGGTTCTCTTTGTCTATTAATTCAACTTCATATAAATTTTTTATGAAACAACCTAGTAGTATAGGAACCCGCTCATGCAGGTCTGTAGCCAGGGGGAATCCCCCCCCCCTTCCCCGAAATGGGGAAAAAGGAAAAATTTGGGGAAGGGCTGGGGCAAAAAAAGTGAATTTTTTTGGCCTACGGCCTTCTAGAATTCTCAGAATGTTTGCCTGCGACGCTAAAAATTACGGGCCTGCGCTCACGTGATCATGGTTGTTTGAGCATGTTTGGTCAGGCTCAAGGTAGTAGAGAGATAAAGAGAAGGACATTTGTCAGCTCCGTAGGATTATTTAATCAGCAAAATTCTCGAATCAGCAAGATCAGTTGAGATATTAAGCATTTTCGGTGTGTCGCGGAAAGGAACGAATTTTTGTTTGGTATTTAACTTGAAAATTTTATAATTTTTTTAACACTTTAAAATTAAAAAATCTTTTTTAGCACTTCAAAAAGGCCTGTCAACACAAACCTTTTAGAAATTGATGAAGATATTCCTTGTAATTCCCATGGAGTGCCCCAAACCCAATTTAACAAATTTTTTTCAACAAATGTGGTTATTGGCGAAAATGTGGCAGATAAATTGGCTTTGAGGAATGTGAGGGGAATTTTTGAAATTTTTTGAAGAAATTTTTTTCTTTTTTTTCAGATTCCCCCTTTAATAATTAAACAATTTGAATTCATTATTTCCCTCTTTTACAAATTCAAAAATTCAAGAAATTTCAAAAAACTAAAAAAATTGAGAAGTGGACAAATAAACTTGCCTATATATCAAAGCAAAGATGAATTACTTGAAAAATTGGAAAATGTTTGATTTTTAAATTTTTTTCAAAATTTTATTTTTTAGAATCAAATATTGTTAATTGCTGGAGATACTGGTTGTGGAAAAAGTACACAGGTTAAAAATTTATTTTTTTTCCAATGGTGAACTGTGGTTGAGACAAGACCGACGAAAAGAAGGAATTGACCATTTTTAATACCTAGAGAAAAAAAGGTGTTACGAACCTCAAAATTACCCTTAATTTTGGTCATTAAATTTGTTGGGATGGAAACTTGAATTTTTTCAAATTAGTTATGTTAATGGGATCGAGGTATAAAAACCCGTGGATTTTTTAAAATTTAGTTATCAGTTTTTTAAATTTATTTGGAATTATTTATTTTTTATCTCCCAATTTCTGTTAAGAATTTTTTCTTCAGACTTTACTATTTGAACGTATCCCAATCAGAACTGTCCTCAATCTAATGTAAGAAATTCCGCAGCCGTAATCCGTGGTTCCCAATACCTCAGATTCTATTAACACTAAGCATTAATTTCTTCTTCTCAAAATATTATCTTTCAGTTACCTCAATATTTACTCAATGCTGGTTACACCAAAATTGCTTGCACACAGCCTAGAAGGATTGCTTGCACAGGTTTTTGAAATAAATAATTTTGATTTAAAATGTATATTTTTTAAGCCCTCGCCCAAAGAGTAGCGCTTGAAATGCTTAAACAATTTGATTCTGAAATTGCTTACCAAACAAGGTTTTGCCCTTTTTTGAGTTAAAAAAATTACTGAAAATTTCAAGATTTGACAAAACAAAAACAAGTTCAACTCGAATGCTTTTTCTAACAGAAGGAGTTCTTTTACGCCAACTTGTAGATGATCCTGGTCTACAGCGTTATAATGTAGTTATTTTGGATGAGGTTATTTATTTTTAAAATTTTTTAAAATTGGGGTATTTCCGCTATTTAAATTTTAAACGACGGGGAATTTTGTGAAATTGTCAGATTCAAAAATTGGGGAGCAGGTTCACGAGCCTTACGTACCGCAGTGCTATAATTTCGTTTAAAATAGACGAATCTGGGACGCCTTGGTATGGTTTGATGCATCTCGACGAGCTGAATCGAACCATATCAGGTCGTCCCGGATTCGACCATTTTTAACCAAGTTATAGCTTTGCGGAACATTGGCCTTGCGGTACGTTGGGGTGTTAATGGTTTTTATCTATGTAACACCCTTGCTCTTGCGTTTCCTTTTTTCCTTCAATTTTCACAAACTTTGAAGCCCCATAACTTTTTTAGTTCCTTATTTCTATCCAAAATGGGAAAAAAATTTTCTATAGTAAATCGATGATGCTTCATCGATTGGTGTCTGAAAATAATAAGTTTTGACTTAAATTTGGGGTAGGTTTCCATTATTAGAGAATTTTAATCATTATTAAAAAATTTATTTTTAGGTCCACGAACGTAATATATCAGGTGATCTATTAGTAGCTTTACTCAAAAGTGCTTGTCAACGAAGAGAGGACCTCAAATTAATTTTAATGTCAGCCACTATAAATATTGAACTTTTTCGTTCTTACTTTCCAGAAGCGCCAGAAATATCTGTTCCAGGACGTCTTTTTCCTATTGAATTGAGGTTTTTTTTTAATTTTTTTTGAATTTTTTAAGTATTATGTCCCGGTTCTTACTTAATTAAACTTTTTATATTTGTCTCTCAAACTCTTGTTTGAGGTTCTAAACTTTTCTTATTAATACTAATTCAATTCAAATTAATTAAACACAAACTTTCAATAACAAATTTACTTCAAATTAATATGTTTAGTTCAGAATAACGTAAATTTAATGTGAAACAAACTAATATTTATATGAGTTAGAAAAGGCGGGAGTTGAGTATAGAAATGGGTAGACAGACGTTGTAAAGTTTGGAATGTTTAGATAAGGAATGTTTTGAATTGGGAAGGTTTAGATAAAAGGGAAGCAGATATTTTAGGGGAACATTTTAAATTACATAAAGAAATATTTAAAGAGTTTACAATCAAGAAAGGACGGTTTAAACTAAATTGATAAGGAATATTTGAATTATGGTTTTAGGGAAATAGGAAAACAACATTTATTTAAAATTAAAAGAAATATCAAAATACAGATCCAACACTCCTCCATCCTTTAAGAAGATCAACGGCATTATTAAGTTTGTTGCATCGCGAAAGTTATTGTTGTAGGATTGTCGTTGTTATTGTTGTATTCTCCACGACCACGTGGGTAATAATTATGGAAACGGTAACGAGCCAATTCATGGCCTCTCTCACATCAATTGACGTAAAAGGAAAATTAAGCGGGAATCTTGCAGGTCTAGGTTGTACATGCCCGCGGCCTCCCCTCCCTCGATTATTATTTTCTCACGGTTGTTATTTTTGCTCTCAACCAACCTCTCCGCTTCTCAAATTTTTGGCGGGATTAAAAAAAAATTTTTTTTTTGCATCTCCGCTTTTTCAATATTTTTTTTTCTACATTAAAGAATTATTATTTTTTTTTCATTGGTACTTTAATTTTTTAATTTATTTTCGAATTTCTTCAAGATTTGTAGTTGGGAGTGGAGGGTAGTTCTTGTAGTTTATCTCAAACAATTTTCTTTTATTTTCTCTCAACATAAAATAGAGGTGTTTTTTACCGCTTGAAAAGCTGAATTTTATTTCATTTACTAAATTAATTTTTTTCATATTCTCCCTTCCATTAGGGGCTCTTTTTTTTAGTTTGTTGCCGTTCTTCTTTTGAAGTTTGTTGTTGCTCTTCTTTTGTAAGTTGTTGCTCTCCATATTGATATCGTGTTCTTCAAAAATTTATTGATGACAAAATATTTTTTACAATCAAGAAATAAAATAAATATTGAATAATGATAATGGGCGTTTAAAGGATACAAACAGATTATTAAAAATGTAAAAGTGAATATATATTTGATAATAATGATAATGGAAAATGGGTATATTTACATAGATCAGAATAGAATTATTTCTATTTATTTACTCTCTCCGTATTTAAATTTTATTTCTCCTCTTTCAACTTTATTCACGGAGGGCCATCTTTTTGAAAAAGGGATTATATTTTTATTTAACGTACTTTCATTTTCTTTATCTAGCATAAATGGGCTTACAACTCTTATTTTGGGGCTCGGAGTTCTCTCAAAACGCACTCTGCGATTTGGCGATAAATCGTTGTAATTATAATATCTAGTATTGTTTTCTCTCTCCCTACTTCTTGAACTACTGTAATCGTCATAATTTCTGTTCCTATTGTAACCGCGATTTTCTCTTTCATAATTTTCCCTTCTATTTTGCCGATTTTCATGATAATTTCGATAATCCGGTCTATGATATTGATTATTATTACGATAACGATTTTCGCTTCTCCCATAATTTTGAGGCTGGAAACTTCTAGAATTTAACTCGGATTTACGCGAATAACAAAATCTAGCAAAATGTCCTGGTTTTCCACAATAATAACACCTTTTAGAGTCTTTTCTATCATTTTTATTACTTTGTAATGTCAATGCTTCAACTTTTTCCGATAGACTGCCAATCGAAACATTATTTCCTTTCCTCGCAGAGAGAAGTAATTCGTAATGCTGCGCTATTTCGTACGCATTAGCATAATCTGCAGGCCTCTGAGCCTTCACTTCGAATTGTAGCTCAGGAACGAGTCGATCCAAAAATTCATCTAGGAGGCGTCTCTTTATCGTATCCTCAGTTTCTCCTGATAGGGCCGTGCGAACTGTATCCGAGAGTCTGTTCGCAAATTCGAAAACTGATTCACCCGGCGCGTGCCTGCAATTAGATAATAATTGCCGCGCAATTACTTTAGTATTACCATTTTCATATTTTTCCTTTAAATATGCTAAAGCCTCCGCTAAAGTCGTAGGTGCGGGATTTATATTGTCGAATGCTACTCTCGCTTGACCGGACAGACAAAAACGCAAACGGGCCAATTTTTGCACTTCGGTAGGCTCGGTCATTAACGAAAGTATATCCTTAAATTTCTCCACCCATTTTGTAAAAGATACGGTGGGATTTCCGTCAAAATTTCCAACAAATGCTCCATTACCTAAGAATGGGTCCATAACAGAAATTTCTTGATTATCCTCCTCATTTTCCAATTCATTGCCTCGTATAGTTTCATCAGTCTCATTAATTGAGCTATCCGACTCATTAATGGATTCGTCTTCTAATTCATTAAAATCTTCCAATACTTTATTTTGTGGCAATTTTCCCATTTTTTCTTCAAACTTTAATTTAAATTCATTTAAATTATTTCTTAATTTAGTGACAGAACTTTTTGTTCCTGTCAAACTGTCTTTATTTTTCTTCATATTTTCTTCAATTAGATCGAGTCTTCCTTCCACTTGACGAAAGCTTTTCGCCACCGTTTTTTCGAAGGAGTGTAATTGAGTAAGTAAAGTTTCAAAAGTTTTATTCTCCTCAGGTGAAAAAAGATGAGGGGCAAAGTCTGAACCAGACATTATTATTAGTATTTTAATCTAAATCTAAAATTTCTTGCACACAGCAGATTTGGATTTGGCACACAGCCTCTTTTAAATGCACACAGCCGTCTTATAGACGAAATTAAATTCTGAATTTCACACAGAAATTCAATGCACACAGCGAGTCTCACACAGAGATCTCAAAAAGCACACAGCGAGTTTTCACACAGAAAACCCAAAAATGCACACAGCAGGATTTCACACAGAAATCCTAAAAATTATTTTTCTTTAAAGCACACAGCTAAGATATTTCACACAGAAATATCCTTCTTTTAATTTATTTTAATTTTTTTTAGATCTCCGTTAATCGCAACGGGTTCGTGGCACCAATATTATGTCCCGGTTCTTACTTAATTAAACTTTTTATATTTGTCTCTCAAACTCTTGTTTGAGGTTCTAAACTTTTCTTATTAATACTAATTCAATTCAAATTAATTAAACACAAACTTTCAATAACAAATTTACTTCAAATTAATATGTTTAGTTCAGAATAACGTAAATTTAATGTGAAACAAACTAATATTTATATGAGTTAGAAAAGGCGGGAGTTGAGTATAGAAATGGGTAGACAGACGTTGTAAAGTTTGGAATGTTTAGATAAGGAATGTTTTGAATTGGGAAGGTTTAGATAAAAGGGAAGCAGATATTTTAGGGGAACATTTTAAATTACATAAAGAAATATTTAAAGAGTTTACAATCAAGAAAGGACGGTTTAAACTAAATTGATAAGGAATATTTGAATTATGGTTTTAGGGAAATAGGAAAACAACATTTATTTAAAATTAAAAGAAATATCAAAATACAGATCCAACATTAAGAGCCCTTTTTTAACAGATATATGCCTCCATTAATAAGAGAAGTTGACATTTCTCGTAAAAAATCGGCAAAAATAGATGCTGGTCCATATGTAAATATTTTACAATTAATTGACAAAAAATACAAAAGTAGTGAAAGAGGAGATGTTTTAATTTTTTTAAATGGAATATCTGAAATTTCAATAATTGCTGAGGCCTGTAAAGAATATGCTGAATTTACAAAGAAATGGATTATTTTAATTTTGCATAGTACTCTTTCTGTTGAAGAACAACAAAAGGTTTGGATGATTTTTTTTGTTGGATGTTAATTGTGTGTCTGTCTGTCGTTGAGTTGTCTGCCTTTCTGTGATTATTGTCCTTTGGTGAATTTTCTGTGTTTCGGGGAATTGTCCGTCTTTTCGGTGAATTGTCTGCCTTTCGGTGGGTTGTCTTTCAGTGAATTATGGATTGTCCGTCCTTTGGTGAATTTTCTGTGTTTCGGTGAATTGTCTGTCTGTTTGTGAATTCCCTGCTTGTCGGTCAATTGTCTGCCTTTCCAGTGAATTGTCTGTCTGTCGGTGAATTGTCTCTATTATTTTTTTTAAATATTCCAAAAATTTTCAGGTTTTTGACCTTGCACCAGTAGGTATCCGTAAATGCATCCTTTCAACAAATATAGCAGAAACGTCTGTAACAATTGATGAAGTTCGTTTTGTAATTGATTCTGGTAAAGAAAATTTGATGATTTATGATCCGTCAATTCGAACACACAAACTAGCAGAAACATGGATTTCTAAAGCTAGCGCTAATCAGAGAAAAGGTTTTTTCAATTTTTATTTGATTAAACAAAGGTTGAAGATTAGACAAAGGGGCCCTTTAAATTAGACGTTTTTTTTTGGGACTTTATATGGAATGCCTCATTCTCTTTTTATTTAAATTGACCCATTTTTGTTAAATCGACTTCTTTTCTAATGTTATTTTTTTTCCAAATCGGATCCAACATTAGGGCGGTTGTTGGCAATTTGTTATTTATTTGGTATTACTCATTTCCATACTCTAATAATACTTAAACCTCTTTCAGGGTTTGTTATTAGTTTTGACTTTATCACGTGTTGCGTACTAAATCCCTTTTACGCCCTTTAATGTACTGGCTCTAAAATCAACATTTCATTACTTTTGTTTCTAATTTTCAGGAAGGGCTGGAAGGACAGGTCCAGGCGTTTGTTTCCGTCTCTATTCTGAAGAAGAATTTTCTAAAATGGAAGATTTTACCTTGCCAGAAATTAAACGAGTTTCTTTGGATACTTTAATTTTACAAATTTTGGATATGAATATGCAAAGTTTTTTTTTATTAATTTTTGAGGAAGAAGGAAAATTTTTTTGTTATTTTAGTTGATGTCCGCGATTTTCCTTTTCTGGAAAGCCCAGAAATTGGCCCTTTAAATCAAACGTTGGAATCATTAAAAAGTCAAGGTGTAGTGAATGCTTTAAATGAGAAAATGTTAACTCCACTTGGAATTATTTTGGCGAGATTACCTGTTGATATTCCGATTAGCAAGGTTTTATTTTAAGAATTTTATGGAGTTGAGGGAGGAAGTTTCCCGTTTCTTTTTCCTGTTAAATCTGTACCAAGTTAGAGAATGGATATTCCGATTAGCAAGGTAGATGTTAATCTATTTAGATGTTAATTTATGCTTGTTTCCATTGGACTTATGGGACTTTTATTGGATTTTCCTTGAGCCTGTCCTGGACTTTTGTTTTTTTAAAATACTGCTTTGAGGTAGGATGTTGTAATGTCGAACCACACGGTTTGGCATTTCAAAGGCCTTTTTGGGGAACGGCATTTCAACGTTTTGGCATTACAATGGTCTCTGGCTAGTGAAATATATATTTTTGTAAAACGGTATCCCCTTAAATTAAAAGTAAACTGTTCTTGAATTTTTTGTTTTGAAATTTCCATTGGACTTATGGGACCCCCTTTTTATCCTTACATTATTTAAAACTTTTCCTCCTTAATTTTCCCTCTATTTAGATGTTAATTTATGCTTGTGTTCTAAACAAATTAGAAATTGCATTAACTATAGCTGCAGGTCTATCAGTACAATCACCTTTCACCAACCGTTCTTTTCGTGATTCTGATTGTGTAAATAGTCGACAACATCTTTTGTCAGATATTGGAGATCCTTTTACACTTTTACGTGTTTACAGAGAATGGCTAAAATTGAGAATGGATGGAGGGCAAGACACGCGACGTTGGGCGCGTCAATTAGGAATTGAAGAAACTCGACTTTTTGAAATAACAAAATTAAGAAGACAATTTAAAGAAATATTAGAACAAGCAGAATTAATTCCAAAACAAGAAGCAAAAGAATGGGAAGAATTAAGTTCGAAAGAAAGAAGAATGCTTGTTGGAGAGAAACGAAAACTTTTTGATTTGAAGAAGAAAGCTGGGTATGAAGGAAAGAAAACTAAAATTTTGAGAGAAGGACAACATTTTGATACAATTTTGGAAAAAAGTGGAAGAGGTTTGGAAGAGGAAGAAATGAAAAGAAGAGGTTAGTTTTGGGGGTATGGGTGGTTTGGGGGTTATCAGAAACTCGAAGGACTTTTTGCGGCCTGAGCACGATCAGAATAAAATTTACCCCCCACCTGGACCCTTTTCTCAGTGTTTCCCGTCCCTGGTTGGGGTGTTTGTTTTTTTTTCTGGAAGGAGGGAGCAAACTGGTCCTCCGGTTATTCCCTTTCCGTCGCAAGGCTATACATAACTTTGTTTTATATTTTTAAATCTAAGACACCTCCTGAATCTGGGATACTTTCTACTATGTTTCGTTATATCTAAACGATCTGAAAATTGAACCAAAGTAGAGCATCAGAGGTTAGAAAATTTTTAAAAAAGTTACATAGCTCTGCAATGGAATAGACTCGCGGTGGGTTTTCAGAGCGTATTCGGAAAGTTGTCATAAACTGAACAAAAAATTTTTCAAGGCCCTCAAATGTTGGAGAACACCCAAGATCAAATTCAGCATTTGGAATTTTCGCTTCTATCTTCTGGAAAGGCTTTAGAACGTGAATTAGCAACTCATAAATTTGACGATATTTTGGCTATACAATTAAAATTAATTCTTGCTATGGGCATTTATCCTCAATATGCGGTGGTTGATCCAGCAAATAATTTTCGTGTAAGGAGACAGAATTTTTTATGTATTAAAGATTGGATTTGAGTTTTTTATACTATTGGCCTCTTATTTTAAAATAAATCTCGATTTAAAATTAGGGTTGGGGGTCATGTCTGAAAGATCGGTCGGTCGGGCCAGCCCGAAAAAATGTCTCGAACGTCAGCCCGACTCGAAAGCCCCAACCCGATTTAAAAATGTTTTTTAAAATTTGGTTGCCCACTATTAGAGGAGAGAAGGATTGAGAGGAGAGAGCTTTCTAAGCAATACTCTCAAATTTAAATTACCCCTCATTTTAAGATAAAATTTCTTAGTTCCAAGGGTAAGTGAGGTTTTCGGTTGTATTCCCTCTTAAAAATTTTTTTTCCTATCATTTAAAAAAATTTTTCTCAAAAATTTTACAGGAAGGGCATGACCAATTTGCACACACACCATCAAAACCATTTGTAGTTATTCACCCAAACAGTTCTTTAGGCCAAAGACCAGAAGCTCTTCGAATAGAAATTGACTTGGATGGACGTTCTTTTCAACACCAATTTATTTTTTACGGACTTTTATTGGAAACAACAAAGCCTTATTTATGCAATACTTGTAGAATACCAGCAACTTTTTTGTTAATAATTGCTAGAAATGTAAAAAAAATTTTATATAATTATTGGTGGGGGCCCGGTTAGTTTCGGTTCGAGTGATCAAATCGAACTTCGAATTTTGGCACGAAAAAGACTCAGTGCCCCGATTCGATAAAAATAAGGTTCTAAAAAATGACTCGAACGTCGGCCGATTCGAAACCACCCCCAACCCTATAATAATAATATTTTTATATTCTTTGGGGGATAATTCGTCTATTTTAAGGGTAAAAAATATTTTTAATAAAAAATCAGTTTGGATGTTTACTCAAAAAATTTATTTGTAAATAAGAAATCCTGATAAAATCCTTGATAGGCCTGTAATTAGGATCAGCAAAAACCGGGGGGGTTCATTTTTTTTGAACGAATATCTTTTTAAGGGTTGCAAGTGGCGGGAAACGGTTTTCTGATATATATTTGTGATCGTTATGGGCATCTTGGGACAATATGCAAAGTTCGAAAAATTTCGTTTAGGGGGTCGAAAACCCGAAAATAAAAATGTCACATTTCGCCAATTTCTCTATAACTCGAAAAGTAGAACCCGGAGCAAAAAGGTTCTGCATGAGGATGTTTAAGTATTTAGTGGCCCGACCCAATGAAAAAAAAATTTTCCCGAATCGGTCGACTTTAGGGGTAGTTATGCCCCGAATAAAATTTCCACTGTGACGAAACGTCCAATTTTCGAACTTTTTATAGAGGGGTCGAATCGGCCTGAAACTTAGGTCTTATAGGGTATCGGCTATGGCAAATTTATTAAAATACTTTTTAACTGGGTCACTTGAGTCTGGGTGGGTCAACTTGAGTCTTGAAAAAAAATATATAAAAAAAGGGGGGGTTCATTATTTGAAATCAAAGATCTCCGGAACGAAAAGTAGCAGAGATATGGGGTCTGGGGGGTTATATTTGTGATCGGGTCTAGTATATAGGAAAACTCCGAAACCTAAAAATTTCGGGTCGGAAGAGTCTTAAAACCGGATTTGAAAATTTCGACATTTTTGTTTTTCGCGGGTTAGGTATCGAAGACGAACCCGGAGCGCTTAGCTTCTGCTTACTGGGCACCAAGTTGGACCAGATCCAACATTATTATTTTTTATTTGGGGAGATTTGGACAACTTTAAGGGTAGATGTGGTCTGCACAAAATTTGGACAAAGTGTCACTTTAGGGGTTTTTGGGTCGAAACATGTCGAAATCGAACCTAGAGCGGAAATTTTGTGCCTGCAATCTTGTAGAGCTCCCGGAGACGCGTCGAATGACATGAAAACGGTTCGAAACGGACTTTGTTGGGCAAAGTTATGCCTGGTCGAACCCGCGGTCGCGAAGTCTGACGTTGCAGACTTTCGACCATAACTTTTTTTTAGGGACCGGGAAAAATAATCAAAAAAAAGCATTTTGAGATTTTTTCGTTAGCTATCGAAATCCGTTGAGATCGCGAAAATCGGCCGAGCCATCTCGGAGCTAAAAATGGTACACCGTGTTCAAGTCGAATTTTTTCCTCGAGTAGGGGGGTCGGAGTCAGTGACCATCGAAAAATTAAAGTTTCGAGATACCAGGGAGTATGTGGTATCATTCGATAGGTCTAGGGGAGGGAAGTATGAAAAAAATATTTTTGGGGGTCACTTGAGTCTCAAAAAAATTTTTTGCCAGAAATTGTTTTTAAGGCATAGGGTGTGTTGGGGAGTAGTTGGACTGAAGTGGGGAGGCTTTGCGAGGATTTTTGGGAAAAAGGGTCACTTGAGTCTCAAAATTTAAAATTTTGAAAAGGATTGAACCTGGTCGAGGTGGTGTCATTCGATAGGTCTACATAAGGGGAGTTTTAAAAAAATATTTTTGAAGGGGTCACTTGAGTCTCAGAAAATTTTGTTGCAAGAATAAGTTGTAGGCATGAGGGTTACCGCGGAGCGGGCATGTGAGTGAGTGCAAAGCATAAATCAACGTGGAATCGAATGAAAAGTATAAATAAAAATATTTTTGAGGGGGTCACTTGAGTCTGAAAAAAAATTTTTTGAAAAATTTTATTGTAGGGCTTGGGGTACCGCGGAGCGGGCATGTGAGTGCTTGCAAAGCATTTTAACCGAATTTTTATAGTTTGACACTTGAGTCTGACAATTTCAAATTTACGCAATTTATATTTTTTGACCGCGCGTAGCGCCTAGAGGCAGCCCCGGAAGGCAGAGCAACGTAACTAAACCTCGCAACAGTTTCGCGCCTCCATGGGCGCGCAGCGCCCATTCGGCCGCGGAGCGGACGAAGTTTGGGCCGAAGGCCCTAACGGGCAAGGCTTAGGTTCCAACGCCCATAGGAGCATCTAACCTCAGCCAAGGCCAAACGTACTACGGATAAAGCATAGGTACTAAATATAGAGCATAGAATCATACTACATAACTAGCCCGCGAAGCGGGCTAGTTATGTAGTATGTTAGGATCAGCAAAAATTTTCGAGCCCTTTCAAAAAAATTTTTCTTTTTCCCTCTTCTATTAGAATATTAATTTTGAAGCATTTTTAGTTTTGAAACTAGACTCCTTTTGTTTTACCAACCAACAAAAAAATTTGGTAGCAATTTTTTGGAATTTTATTTTTTGAAATCTAGCCTCCAAAAACTTCAATTTTTTCATTTCACCAATTTTCCCGTTAAAAAATTTTTTTTTATTTTAAAGATAACTCTAGTCAAATCAAACATTCTTTGTTGTGATGGTTTTATTGAATTTAATTTTGTTGAGGAAGAAGATTTATTACAAGTATTAAATAAAGCTATAGAATTGAGGCATTTATTACTTAAATCTGTTGAATTAAAATTAAATAATGATGAATATGCTGATTTTAAAGATGTTTGTAAAAATATTGTTAAATTTTCGAGAATGCAAAATTCGTTTAGGTTTGTGAAAAATTTTTTTTTTAATCGAACGTTAGTTTACCTTAGATTTTGAACAATTTACATTTAAGAGAAAATTCAAAATTTGGGAGACTCAGATTCTAACTTGCTTGCTTCCCCCAATCCTCTGTAAAACTCGGTTAAGCATAGCAAATTTCAAACTAGAGACCGGACCGAGACTAGATCTCGATCATAAATCTCGGTTATCGAGATAGAAATTTTTCTGGACCTCGATTCTTGTAAGACACTCCCAGTACGGTCTTTATTTTAAACCATGATATTTGTATAGACATTTTAGCCCTAATTTGGACAACAAATTTTAGAGAAATAATAATAATAATTCTATGTGTGATTCTGAATTTTCTCCTATATACCCCAATTTTCTTATTTTTCCTAATTCTTGAAAATCTTAATAAATTTCTAATAGAGGGGAAGGGATAGATTAGATTAATGAGGAATTTTCTATACCTAAAATATTTTTTAATAAAAAAATTTTTTCCTTTAACAGCTTAAGAAGAAGAATCGACCCTCCAAAACATTTGCGTTATGGAATTTTTACTGCTAATGGTGAAGAATATATTAAAAATAAATTTTTGGAAGGAAATGAGCAATTATTTAATGAATTTAAATTTGGTTCTATTGAGGTTTGTTTTAGAGGAGAAAAATGAAAAAAAAAATAATTTTTAAAGGAGGAAATAGCATTAGAAAATGAATTAAATTTAAATTTAATTGATGAAAAGAAAATTAAAGGAAAAGAATATTTTTGTGAAAAATGTCAAAAGAAATTTTGGTTTGAAGATAATGTGCAAATATTAAAACATAAAAAAGAACACTAAAATTAATATTTTTTAATTTTTTAATAATTAAAAAAATTTTTTAATTAAAATAATTTTTATCTTTTTAATAATTTTTTATCAAAGTTTTTTTAAAAACTAAACAAATTATTTTTTTATTTTTTTCGTTGGACTCTAATGACCAAATTTTTAAGTCTGCTAAATTGTACATTAGAGTCTGGGCTTCCGGTGTAATTTCTTTTGGAAATTTGACTTTTTTATTAAATTTTGTTTAAAATTTTAGAGGTCGGCGAAGGACAGAATCCTGCACAGGATTTTTCAGGATCCTGTCCGAAATACTGCCTTTTTTCAGTTTTCAGGATTCCAGGATTTTCAGGATTAATCCTGAGGGATCCTGTCCTGGTCGAAATTTTAAAACCAAAATTTTGAAACCAAGATACGGGATCCTGCAAATGTAATTTTACCGACCTCTAGTAAAATTAATTTTTTTTTTCACTTTATTTTTTAGAAAAGAAAAAAAGATGGTTATTTATCGCAACATTGTTCGTCGTTTTTCGTTATTATCCCGTTTGGTATTTTTTAAAAGTTTTTTAACTAATTAAAAGGACATTTTATTTTTAAGCATGTCTCAACACCTTGTTTTAGTGCATTGTCTTCAAATGCGTTGCCTGCTGTTCTTCCTTTTGGAAGAAATTCTGTGATGAAAATAAATTTTAGAAATTATCGATTTACTTCAATTTTAGGTTTTTTTAAAAATTTTTATATTTTTCAAATTTTTAGGGGGAGAAGTTGTTGAAGTTTCTGGCCCAGCATTTGCTGAATCGATATCGGAGGGGGACATTCGTTGGCAAAAAAGTTTGGATTTTTTCAAGTTTTTTGAAAGATATTTTTGATTTTAAGAAATTGGAGATTTTGTTAAGGCAGATGAGCTTGTGGCAGAGATAGAGACAGATAAGGTTTGTTAGGCTTTCTTTTTATATTTTAGAGGGTTTTTGGAAGAGTAATTCACCTGGGTTCTGATAGCTTATTGTTTTTCTAGGTCTCCGACTTTTAGTGATTCCCAGTAGACCTGTTTTTTTTACCAAATTATCTTTTCTTAGAATTTAAGTCAATGGGTTTTCTTGGCCTCTCCCGACTTGGGGGACCATGGCTGGACGCATTTGACAAAAAAATTTTCCGTAGTCCGAAAGACAAAAAATCACGCAATTTTACGCAATCACGCAATATTACGCAATCCCGTGGGGACCCAACTTCACTTAAAAGTTTAATGACCCTAGAGGAAAACCTTTCTCTGAATTTTTTCCAAATTATTTTTCTCTCAAATTTATAATTATTTAAAGACATCAGTCGAAGTTCCCGCTCCTTTTGCTGGAAAAATTGTTGAATTTTTGGTTGAGGATGGTGGAAAAGTGACTGCTAAACAAAAAATTTATAAAATGGAGAAGGGTGCTGAAGGTGGGGCAGCTGCCGAATCTCCAAAAGAAAAGCCAGAAGCAAAGAAAGAGCCGGAGGAAAAACAGGCGGAGCAAAGTATATTTTTAATTTCGTGTGATAATTTATCAGGAGTTTTAACATAAAAAATTTTTTATTATTTTATGTTATGATGACAAACGTTAAAATGTCAACCCCTCAATATCCACTTAAATCAGGCCCGTAATCAAATTTGGGGGAGAGGGCAAAGGCGGAAATTTTAAAATTTTTGGGGCTGTAGATGAAAAATTCATTTTTTTCCTCAGTCCCCTCTCAAAATTTCTTCCTTTCCCCCGTTTCGGGAGGGGGGGGGGTCAACGGAGTCGAGTCTTAAGACGGCTTTTGGGGTTTTGCCATTTTAACGGGTTGCCATTATGACTTCATACCTTATTTTTTAAGGCTTCACTTTTTTTGACTTTAAAAAACTTCTGGTTTTTTAAATTTAAAACAATTTTTCTTTTTTTTTCAGAACCTTCTGATGCCCCAAAAAAGCCTCCACCTGTTCCAGAATTGCCTAAAGAGCCAATGGAGTCTAAACACGTTTCTGAAATTAAACCTAAAGTTGTGCCGCCAATTTCACAGCAACAAGCATTTCAGCCAAGTTTTTTTTTAATTTTTAAAATTAAAAAAATATTTTTTCAAGAAGGGGACTCAACAGGAATAATTGGAGGGAGTCGTTCAGAAACTCGTGTAAAAATGAATAGAATGAGACAACGTATAGCTGAGCGATTAAAAGAAGCACAGAATACTAATGCAATGTTGACTACTTTTAATGAAATTGATCTTTTGTTTGCTTTATTTTTAATTTTTAAATTTTTTTTTAATTTGGGGGCTTTTTTTAAATTTAAGGGCTTCATTTTTTAAGTTAGGATAGGTGAATTTACCAACTTAAATTTCGATTATCTCTTTTCATGTGATCCTGGGATTTTTAGAACCGGAAAAGTCTGTATATCACTGTTGTTGTTGGTAAAAAAATCTTTGGGTATCGGGTTGGAGCGTTTTCATTTCGGGTTGGCAAAAATATCGGGTACGGGTTTCGGGTTGGAAAATTTTCTTTTCGGTTTTCGGGTACAAATTTAGGGCAGGTGAATTTACCGAATGTTCCAAAAATTAATGTGCTAACATTTTCTTGTTTAATTCGTCCGCAAATGTTTGTCCGCAAGTTTTCTATTATTTTTATTTTTAGTAATGTTATGCAAATGCGCAAAAAATACCAAGAATCATTTACGAAAAAACATGGTGTTAAACTTGGCTTAATGTCTCCATTTGTTCGTGCTTCAGCTATTGCTTTGCAAGAACAACCTGTTGTTAATGCTGGTTTTTTAGTGAATTTTTGATTAGAAATTTTTTTTAATTTTTTAAGTAATTGATGGAGAGGAAATACTTTATAGAAATTATGCTGATATTTCTATTGCTGTTGCGACACCTAAAGGTTTAGTTGTGCCTGTCTTGAGAAATGTGGAATCTTTGAGTTATTCTGATATTGAAAAAAGTTTGGGAGAATTGGGAATCAAGGTTGTTTTTATTTTTAAAATTTACACAAGATTCTTTCGTTATTATAATGACTGTCGGTTCGTGTATTCGGTTTGGTTCCTGATATCCTAATTTCCAAAAATTAGAATTTTAGTTATTAGCGTTTATTTAATAGTTATATGTGGCAATGGCTATTAGTTTTCCAGTTTTTTCTGACCAATTTTATTTCTAAAATATTTAAAATTTCAATTTTTATTATTTACTGGTAGAAAAATTTTTTTAAACTAATTTTAAGGCTCGCGAAAATAAATTAGCAATAGAGGATATGGAAGGAGGTACTTTTACAATTAGTAATGGAGGTGTTTTTGGTTCAATGTTTGGCACGCCTATAATAAATCCACCTCAATCTGCTATTCTTGGAATGCATGGAATTTTTGATCGTCCAGTAGCTATTGATGGAAAGGTTTGGTTTTGAAAAATAATTTTTCTGACTTTACAAAAAGGCCATTCTAACAATAAAGGTGATTCCATAGTCAGAAAATTGGCAGTAGGGTATAGACTATGCTCTATCGAATGATACCCAGAAAAAGATAGGAAATTAGTACTTGCAGCTCGGGAGATTCCTTATAGGCCGATTTAAATACTAATTATTCTATATATGGCTAATCTTCGCTTTTTTGTTTAAAATTTTTGAAAAATTGTAAGAAATGGGGCTAGCCTTGAATTCAAAAATGTTTTTTATGCACCCAAAAATTTTAATAAAAAAATTTCCAATCCACAGGTTGAAATTCGTCCAATGATGTATGTTGCCCTCACTTATGATCATAGATTAATAGATGGAAGAGAGGCTGTTACCTTTTTGAGAAAAATTAAGCAATATGTTGAAGATCCGTTGACTATATTGCTAAATTTATAAGTGAAAAGAATAGAAGTAAATATTTTTTAGGTTTTCTTTTTTAATATTTCTCGTTTAATTTTTTTTGAGAAAGGAATAAAATATGAAAAAAATTTTTTTGAAATTTTTTTGATTTTTTTGTTATTTTTTAAACAATTTTTAAATATTTGAATAATTTTTTTGATGATTTCTTTTACATAAATTCTGTGTTAAAAAATTTTTTTTAGATTTTTTTATTATTATTAAAAATTGAAAGACGTTGAACAACAACATAAATTATCAAAAAATAAAACAACAACTACATTTATAAATTTATTTTTAAATTTGTTACTTGATTCTGTGCTTCTAGTATTTTTATTGACTACCTAGTGGTGTTTTTGGTTGACAAACAAAAAACAAATAAAATACCAAAATTGTGTGTGATTTTTATTTTTTTTTTTGGTGTATTTCGAAATAAATTAAAAGAGGTTAGTGAAGTTTAAAGATTAAAAAGTAGAAAATTCTTTTCCCTAAAATATTTTTTTAAATGAAGCTATCTTCATTAAAAAATATTTTTTGCTTTATTTGCACAAGCATCTCTCATCCTCTTTTCTTTTTTTTAATTTTTAGTTAAATCGATTATCTTAAAATTATACACACTTATACTAGTTTATTTGGACACTTAAAAATAGGAAAACAATTGCTAAAAAATATTTTTTAAAAACTAGTTTGTAAGAGGGAATATATCATCTTTTTGTCCTTTTTACCCAGAAGGGATCAAATATTCTTTTTTAAAGTTCAATTTCTTCTCTCACGTGGTTAGGAAAAAAAAATTATTTTTTTAGAAAAAATTATTTTTTTTTCCTAAATATTTTCAGTAGTATCTAACCCATTTTTATAACATTATTAATTTTTATAAAAGCCGGTTTTATAACAAAAAATAAAAAAATAAGAACAAAAAGGATTCCGGCATAGCTTAAATACCACCATTAATTACTTACGGGTTGTTAAGGGGGTTTTTGACAACCACTTAAATTAATGGATCACTTACGGGTTTATAAGTGATTAATTGACAACCACGTAAAAACCCCATTAAAAAACCACTTAAAAAATTTTAAAAAAATTTTAAAAATTTAAAACTTTTATAAAAAACCCCCACTTAAAAAATCAATTAAAAACCACTTAAAAATTTATAATTAAAAAATTTTAAAAAATTTTACTTAAAAACCCCCACTTAAAAAATCAATTAAAAACCACTTAAAAATTTATAATTAAAAAATTTTAAAAAATTTCACTTAAAACCCCCACTTAAAAAACCACTTAAAACCCCACTTAAAAAATCAATTAAAAACCACTTAAAAATTTTAAAAAATTTTATAATTAAAAAAATTAAAATTCAAAAATTTCACTTAAAAACCCCACTTAAAAAATCAATTAAAAACCACTTAAAAATTTATAATTAAAAAATTTTAAAAAATTTTACTTAAAAACCCCACTTAAAAAATCAATTAAAAACCACTTAAAAATTTATAATTAAAAAATTTAAAATTTTATAAAAAACCCCCACTTAAAAAATCAATTAAAAACCACTTAAAAATTTATAATTAAAAAATTTTAAAAAATTTTACTTTAAAACCCCACCTAAAAAATCAATTAAAAACCCCACTTAAGGACCCACCCCCACTTAAAAAACCACTTAAAAAATTTAAAATTTTAAAAAATTTTCTAATTGAAAAAATTTAAAAAATTTCAAAAATTTTCAATTAAAAAACAACCATTTAAAAAGGGGGGGGGGGCTGTTAGAGTTTCATTTAAAAAATAATTGTTATAAAAAATTATCAATTTATTAATTAAAATAATGGATAAAAAATATTAAAAATTTATAAAAAATAATAATTTAATATTAATTGAATAATAATAATAATCTATTAATGAAAAAATTTATTAAAAAATATTAAAAATTTATAAAAATATAAATGCAATATTAATTTATTAATAAAAATAAATTTAATAAAAATAAATTTAATAAAAATAATATAAAAAATTTAAAAAATATTAAAAAATAATATTAATTTATTAAATCAAATAAGAAAATAAAGAAAAATCGAGAGCTTAAATACCACTGAATTTCGAGGAGCATTAAAGCACTTAAGGTAATGGAATACAATGAAGAGAAAGGAACGTGTCTAATGGACGACATGCGCTAGGTTAATGGGCTGTGTAATAAAAGGGATGAGTAAGCGATCACTTAGAGATAATAGAAGGGAAAAGAGTTAAGTGGTTTTAAGTTAATGGGTTGGATTAATTAATGGGTTTTAAGTTAATGGGTTTTATTACACAATACGCATCCATTAAAATAAATTAGGTGCAGAAGGGAGATAAGTGTCGATCAAAGTACATTGAGTTCTCTAGTATAAAAACTGGTGAGTTTTCCGCATTTATCATCAGTTTTAAAACATAATCCTCAGAGCGATAACAAGCTCCAACCTTCCCTTAGTTCATTAAAATTATTTTTATAAAAATTATCCAACATTTGCTTATCTCATTAAATTATTTTTATAAAATTGTATTGTAATTTATTTCATATAAATTTTAAATCATTGTAAATATAAAAAATAATTTTTATAACGAGAATTTAAATAGAATATTTTTAAATAAAAATTTATTTAATACTCCAAATAATTTTCTACGACTCTTAAGCCTTTTATTAATAAATAAAGTTAATAAAAAACTACGAATTTTTTGTAAACAACAAACGGCAGAAAAAAAGACAGCCAAAATGCAAGGCAGGGAATAAAACATTTTATGATAATAACTCATAAATGCATTTATTTTCTTAAGGTGGTGATGAACATGAGCAAAACCGTCCCAACAGCGGAAACAGCTGTGACAAAGGTAAGTAAAGGCTCAATTATTGGAAAGAATAATAATTCAGAAATTGATTTTTTACTTAAGGTGATGAAATTGAAGAACTTAGTGCAATTGAGCTCGAAGAAATCCGTGGCTTCATACGAGAGCAAAAAAGGAAGAAAAACGCTGTAGAAGTACGCCGCAAACGCTCTTTAACTACGACTTCAAGCTCTGGGAAATCAGGAGTGTGTCATCCACCTGTCCCAAAGAAAACAAAAGCACCTACTAAAAAGGTAAGATTAGTAAAATTTTATTAAAGATTTGCAGAAGCAGGTTGGTGAGAAATGGTCAAATGCCATAAACAATGATGAAGAAGAAGAACAATCAGATGAACCCGGTAAAGACGAAATAATTGATCTAGGAAAGGATGAGGAAGAGTATAAACTACTTCGCCATGAGCAAGAAGAGAAAAAAAGTAAGTATTGTTTTTTTTAATTAACAAAATTTTGTTATAGGATATTACAATATTATTCCGCAGCAACTGCTAGTGCAATCGGATATGCTAAAAAATCCCAGAAGAGGGATTTTTGTCCATCAGTGTAATAATTGTAAGGAGAAACAGATGCGTAGAGAAGAATATCTCTTCAAGGGAGGAGCAAGTGGAATATTTGTACTCACTATTGAAATATGCGGTGATGATCTGGATAAAAATATAGATATTGCGGACTTCTATGGGCAAAACTGGGGTAGGAAATAAAATTAACTTTATTGTTTCAAATTTAAGGAGAGCGGGCGAATGAAAAAACAGAAGAACACGTGGAAGGGGGCTCACAAACACAAGATTCTTTTGAAAAAGGTAATTAAAAATAATTAATAAAAAGGTTCTTTAGTAGAAGGCGTTTTGTACTACACACGAGGAAATAGTTGTCAAAGTGACGGAGATAAAAAACTACTGCGCTACAAATACGCATGGATAATACATCAAGTTAAAAGTACATAAATTCTTATTAAAAATAATTTTTAGTGCAATAAATGCGAATTAATGCAGAAAAGCCAAGCTCGTGACTTGTTTCTACAAAAAAGTGGCCTGGCGTATGATAGAGGCACAATGTATACACTCAATTTCATTGTAAAAATATTATTTGTGTCATAATAATATAAATTTTAGTGTTGCTCAGGATGCCGCGTTATGAACCGAGAGTTCCATGGAATGATAAATAAAAATTTTAACAATTTTTCTAAATGATTTAGTGTCGATAAAATGTAAAAAATAATTAAGCTATAGCTATTCTGTTTTATTCAATTCATTATCTCTGAAATTTTGTCTATTTTTTATATTCATTTTAAACAATATTTAAGAAATAATCAATAAAGATGGCCCATAACATTAAAAATTACTTCAGAGAGGACTCTATTGAACAAATCCGAAGTAATCGTTTCAAAATCGGAGTCTTCAGGTACATTTAAATTTAGAAAAAGAAATAATATTTTCATTCTTAGGGCTTCATTTACAGTGATTAATGCTGACGACGCTCCACAAGGACGAGAAATGTTGTTAGAACAACTCATTGACCACTTTTATGTTCGTGCATATCGCGCTGCAGGAGCAAAATCTCAAAAGTGTTCAATTATCATTCGAAGCGCCGTGTTGGAGAGACCTATTCAGGTGCCATATCGAGGGCTTGCACAGAACACACCTCAGGTAGTTATGGAACAGTTCGACACTGTTGATCAAAGCGGCCAGCGTATGGGAAGACCTTCTATTTACAGCCAGCCAATTAATATCGAGGTAAATGTTCCAAAATTTATAATCTAAAATTTAAAGATTGTTATGGGGCCGTCTCATGAAGAGGCACTCAGATTGTCGCGCATTGACAGAGAAGGAAGTGGAAGAAAAAAAAGAGAAATGGACCACGGAATCGATGTGAATAATCTTATTCCCGTAAGAAAAAGTATTTGAATATTAACAAATTATTTTTAGGTTAAAAATGAGGATTTACTGCCTCCTTTTAATCGCCATTGTTTGCTTTTGGCTGTGCAGCTTACAATATTATATGCTACTAAACCAAACACACCAGTATGCAATGTTAAATTTCAAAGATTAACACAAGGATGTGGAGAAAATTCAAAACATCAAAGGACACTTCTGATAAAAGATATGCTTTCTAAAATGAAAAAACACAAAATTCCATATCCTATGAATGAGAAAATATACAACGTCGACGAACATGTGCCTCTTGTACAGAAACTTTTGGATATTCAACACCCGGGACAATACAGATTAGCTATTTTTGGAGAAAGAGGCAACGCAAGACCTATTTGGAAGGGTAAAAAACGTGCTCGCAATGAACTGTGCCTCTACTTGAAAGATGAGCATTTCAGCGGCATTAGAAAATTGAATACTTTATTCGGAACTAATTATTATTGTCTTGATTGTGAGACTACTTATAACAAGAAGAAAAATCACCGTGCAAAATGCCTAGCAAAATGTCCACGATGCTGCGGGATGGGAATAGATTATCCGTGTGCAGAAATTGAAGGATATATGAAGCATTGCAAAGATTGCTGCAATATTTTCAGAAACCCAAAATGTTTCCACGAGCATATTATGAGGAACATTTGCAAGCTTTATAAGAGGTAAATTTAAGTAAATAATAAATATCAAAATTATAGGTGTTTGGATTGCGGCCAAATATATCGATCAAACAAAAAGCAAGAGTCAGATGATGAATCAGATGTGAACGAACATGTTTGCTATTCTCGATTTTGTTCACATTGTCATTCAATTCATCGGACAGAAGAACCGTGTTATGTCCAGCCAATCGTCCCAAAAAAACAAAAAGATTATATACTGGTGACTTTAATTAGTATAAAAAAGACAAAAAGAAAATTAAGGTTGTTTTTGACTTTGAATGTTCTCTAATTTCTCCTACACGAAATGAAGATGAATGGCAGAGACTAGGAGTTATTGCGAGAGGAGGCATACCTTCAAACGATGAAAATTATCAATTGCATCATGTTAACTGTGTATCGGTAAGACGAGATAAGCATAAAAACTTATTTTTAGGCTATGATTCTATGCTCGCGCTGTATTAATGAAGATAAACTTTGGAAAAACGAATATTCTATAAATTGTAGTATTTGTGGAATAAATCGAAAACGAATATTTACCTGGACATCAGCAAACTACGTTAATCCATTAGTAAAATTTATGGACTGGTTAATTAATGGTCTTGGTAAGGAAAGAACAATTGCGACATATGCAATTTCGCATTACGGAGGGTATTTCCTATTTTGAATAAATTATACTTAGTAATTTAGGCGCTATGATATGCATTTATTATTGGGAGAATTAATGAAAATAACAGGAATAGAGCCTAACATCACAAGATCAGGTAATTATAAGTTTTATAAAAATTTAATTGATTTTCTATGCAATAAACTTTATGAGGTTCTTTTAAAAAGAACAAGAGCTGTTTGTCCGAGAATCTCCTTTCGCGATTCATTCAACTGGATGGCTCTAAAATTGGAACAATTGCCAAAAGCTCTTGGATTGGAGATTGACGAGGGAGGAAAGGCTTTCTTCCCTCACGGATGGAACTTCAACAAAAACATGAATATAAAACTACCTGGCCTTCCAGCGAAGGAATATTATTATCCTGAATCAATGGGGAAAGAAAGAAGGGCAAAATTCGAATCTTGGTACAGCGAAAACATACAATTTCCTTTTTGCTTGGCGGAACAGATTGGGCTTTATTGTGAGCAAGATGTCCGAGTTCTAGCACATGCTGTTATAAAATTTCAACGTCTATTTTTTGATCTCGCCCCGCACCCGTCAAAACGAGATGATGTTTTATCATCATCGCTCACTTTACCTAGTGCTTGTCTTCGTCATTTCTGTAAGCTAAAACATATTACATTTTACATTTTATTTAAGGCATAAACTACTTGAAGCCTTTGGAAGTAGGGATTATTCCAGATAACGGTTTGTAAATTGAAGATAAGTATATAAGAAAAATTTAGGTTATCATCGAAATAGCAATCAATCGGCAATTGCTCTCAAGTATATGCAATGGTTGGAACATGAAACAGGATCTCAAGTACAACATCAAAATAGTGCAAATGGAGAATTTAGACTACGTCTTTCAAATGGTGAAGTTCTAAGACTAGACGGATATGTACGCCGCTCACCTGACGACGAGGATATTGCTATAGAATTTTTAGGTTGTGCGTGGCACGGACACAAATGGTTTGTATTTCTTTTAAATGAATTTAGCAAAATAGTTTAAGCCTTTATAAGCCCAATGATATTTGTTTAAATGGAAAGACCGCTCTTTATAATCGTGATAAAATGAAAGAAAGAAGAAGACATATTCAAGAAGCAGGAATGCGCCCGCTTATGGTTTGGGAATGTACTATTAGGAAAAAGTTGGAAGAAAATGAAGATATGGCCTTTTTCTTCAATGAATTGCCAGATATTGGTCCACTTTTTCCGAGAGACGCATTTCATGTAAATCTTTAATTAAACTATTAATTTACAATTATATAGGGTGGAAGAACGGGTCCTCAAAGTTTAAAATGTGATCTGGAAGAATCGGGACAATCGAATGAATATGAAATTACCTGTTACGATGTTGTTAGCCTTTATCCAGCAGTGAATTTCTATGGATATTATCCAATCGGTAAATAATTTTTAGTAACAAAAAACAAATGATTAGGTCACCCTGAGGTGATTCAACTCAATAAAGCTGTCGATTGGAGACATGCAGATCAATTGTTTCCGTATCGTGGAATTTTTAAATTGTTTATTATTCCTCCTGATGATCTGTACCTTCCTGTTATTCCTGAAAGAATTAATGGGAAATTGGTTAGTTTTAAAACTATTTTTTGATACAAAAATTAGGTTTTCCATCTATGCCATCAATGTGCCATTGAAGCTCCAACTGGTTTTCCTTGGAGAATGAAGTATGAATATTCTCAAAAATTGGGAAGTGATCTCTGCACACATGATGAAAAGAAGAGAGGTTATGTTGCGACAGTCTGTACTGTAGAATTAGAACTTGCATTGAAGAAGGGATATCGAGCAACATGGATCTATAGTGTATATCATTGGGAACAATGGACAGATAAACTGCTGCGTCCTTATGTGCAAGATATGATGAAACTTAAGATTGAAGCAAGTGGCTGGCCAAGCGCCGTTCTTGACCCAACAAATATTAACAACGAGGAAAAGCTTAAACAGGAATTCTTAATGAGAAATCAGCAAAAATATGGGATAAAGTTGGACAAAGAGAAAATTGCCCGAAATGAAGGAATGCGTTACATGGCTAAGAGCTGCAACAATTCCTTGTTTGTTTTTACTCAATTAATAAATAACAAAAATTTTAGGTGGGGACGCTGGGCTCTCAGATGCAATTTATCGAAGGTAGAAAAATTAAAAATAATTTATAAAGTAATTTACAGGATCTTATCACTCGATCACCCGTAGAATTACATGAAGTACTCAATGATCCTAAGCTAGAAGTTGGGGCTGTGGAGATGCTTGCTACCGATCTATTCTCCGTTCCTTACCAATCAAAAAGGGAATTTGTTCGTCCGCACGACAAGTATAACATTGTGATTGCTCTTATAACGACAGCAACAGCTCGAGTTTTCCTATATGACTATATGGACCAGATATTCAACGACCCAGAGTGTAAACTACTTTATACTGATACGGACAGCTGCTATATTGTTCATCCAAAGGGAAAGTCTCCTCCGTTCCAAGTAGGTGATATGCTTGGAATGATGAGTCGAGAGTATGAAGATAATCAAATTGTATCAATTTACATTGGAGGTTGCAAACAGGTCAGTTTTACTTTTTAATACATTAATTTTTCTTTAATAGTACGCGATGAAGATGCGCACGAAGAGTGGGGACATAAAATATGTAGTTAAATGTCGCGGATGTTGGGATAGCGCGGATTCTCCTCTTGACTATAATCAATTAAAGGTAAAATTATAAATATGGCACTAACAAATATTTTTCAAGAAAATGGTCAATGCCTATGGCAAGGATCAGGATCCTGTTGTACTTGAAAGAACACATTTCCGTCCCAACTGGCGCAAGGGGGAAGTCTCAACACGCTCGCAGAAACGGTATAATTAAATTTCTGCTCGGAAATAAATTATATTTTTAGTCGCTACGCGCCAATTTACGACAAAGGAATTATTGATGATAAGCTCGATTGTTACCCTTTTGGATATAGAGGAACACCCATTTCTAATCTTAATGAATAAAATTTTAATAATTAATTATTTATTAAATTTACGTTTAATATCGTCTATATTTTTTACGATCTATTAATATTTTTACAAATTTTAAAATTTAGAGCAATGATCAGTGATCCGGATATGGGTATGCTTATTTTTTCTGTTCAATTTAATTTTTAATTTTAGCAAATCTTTCTGGCCAGTTTACGAAATTGAATGTAAATCAAGAACCGCTGTGTTATAATTCACATCCTCCAACAGAGATAATTGGAAAAGAAGGACAGAAGATATTTATTTTTCAGTCGTCCCGTCTATGTGGCTTCAGTAACAGATTCCCATCAAAATTCTTGGTGCTAGGAATAAATTTTACAACAATGGAGAAATACTTCACATGGCAAAAAGCTCGTTATTTCGCAGATTTTGAAATTGCGGAACATATTCTTCAACTACAAAATCCTGATCAAATAACCAGCATTGGTAATCGTATTCGTGGATTTAAAAGTGATGAATGGAATAAAGTGCGGGATAAGGTATTTTTAATAGAAATGCCAAAATAATAAAATTCCTAGATCATGTACATGGGTCTTTGGGCAAAATTCACTCAAAATGTGCAACTCTTTACGCAACTTCGCGAAACAGGCAATGCATTGATAGCAGAAGCGACTCAAATCAATAAATATTGGACAGCTGGTATTTGGTCTTCGGATCTTCATCGCTTAAGTGATCCAAGTTCATGGGATGGCGACAACAAATTAGGAATTTTGTTGATGGAACTTCGAAAAGAAATAAACGAATGTATATTTTAATTTTTCATAAAGATTGAAATTGTTTCAATAATTTGCGGAAAAACTTTTAAAATACATTCTTCGTTTCTTGCCCCCGTTATTATACATTTTCCCGAATTGAAGAGCAAAACAACAATTCTAGAATCTCTTATCCTTAGACACATTCCAGGAAATATTTCTTGATTAAATGAAATGTGTTTTTGAAACAATTCAAAAGGCACAATCCTCATAGTGTCATAGAGTGCTTAAGATAGTTTTTAATTAAAAAATTTTAAGTATTACCTGGGAGGTTCAGTGTTTTAGGAAACTTAAATGAAGCAACAACGTTTTGGATCTTAAATTTATCGATATCGATTGTTGTCTCCTTTAGCGCATTAGCTATTTGTTGAACAAATATTATTGTAGCCTCCTTTGCCATCGAAGAAGATTTCGTCCCGACACAAACAAGTCTTCCATTTGAAAATAATAATGCTGTAGCACGAATAGGCTCAAAATTTTTAATAATTAGGGCTGAAAACTTCTTTGGGTTGTAATTGGAGTTTTTAATGTTTTTTGAAATAACTTCAAGATCAAGAATCTCTTTTAGTAGCGTGACTGTTGAAACTACGTTCTGAACTTGTGGTTTATCCATAGCAAAAAGTCCTTAATAAGTGTCTTAGTAGTACAGTCTAAGCATAACCCACTAAACCACGTTTTAAGGACATAAAAAGTTCTTAATATATGCCTAAATGGTCTTATCCTATATTTTCCAAAGCTAATTTCTTCACATCCATAACTAGCTACCATTACAGGTATTTTAGTTTTGGATGTAATGAGATTAGCATTAGAGAACATAGCATAATACCACTTAACCATACATCAAGAACTGTTGTATTAATATAAATAGACCTTACAAATATATTAAAAGTATATAACAATGTTTCAATCGCCTTTTACAATGATTATTTCAGGAGCTACGGGTAGTGGGAAAACTCAATGGCTTCTTAAATTTCTTAAAAACTGCCAGCTGCTTGTTGATCCTCCTCCAAAACACATCTTATACTGTTTTGGAGAAATTAATGAGACCATCTTTAAACTTAAACAAATGGGAATTACGACTTATAATGGAGTGCCAGACCCTGAACTAATTAAACAACATCAACTTCTTGTACTCGACGACCTTATGTTAAATATTAGGAATGATTTTCTTGATCTCCTTTTTACAAAAGGCTCTCATAATTGGAATGTGAGTATTATTTTTGTTACACAGTCTCTCTATGGACGGAATATTAAGACTGCAAGAGCCAATGCTCATTACATACTCTTGACAAAAAATCCACAGGGATTATTGCAAGTAAGAACAATGGGGGCGCAGCTATTTCCAAAAAAGTTAGATTATTTCCTAGAGGCTTATCGTGATGCAACTTCAGAAAAATTCTCGTACCTTCTGATAAATATGCATCCCAATGCTGATGAGCACCTACGGCTTTCCACGAATATATTCCCAGGTGAAAAACAGTGTATATATTTACCCTTATAATATATTATAATAACAATGACGCTCAATTATAGCCCATATATTCGCGAAAATTACCAATTTCTGCAACAATTAGCCAAGACTAGTTCGGATAAAAAGAAAAATTCTATAATACTAACAGCTAGTGCTGATCAAATTTTGTCCATCGTTGAAATTTGCGCCAACGTACTAAAACATAATTTTATACTAAATAGGAGGCAAAGGCAGAAGCTAGCCAAGTTTGCGGATTTTTATCGCAAAATTTCTAGAACAAGAACAGAAAAAAGCGCTCGAAAACGTTTACAAGAGGGAGGCAGCGCAGCACTCGCAGCAATACTCGTACCTATACTAGGTGCCTTAGCCGAACATATCATACATAAAATTACGGAATGAAGCACACAAAGAAAATGATAATGATACCTGAGATTGAATATCTTACACTACTTAACATGATAAAAGGTAAATCTGATTTTATGCACACTGAGAAAGCACAAACTGACGCTATGATAAAGGATACTCTCGAAGATCCAAAGATAAATGAAGAAACGCGTGCTAAAAAATATAATTTACTGTATAATCAAAGACGCCAATTAAAACAAAAGATAGAAAACCGTCCTCACAAAGTAATAATTCAAGATAATGCTGTACCTGATTTAGTTCCATATCTTGAGAGTAGTAAACCAATAAGACCTATTGATGATTTTAAGAAGGAAGAATTAAATACGCCTGTGAATAAAAGAACATATTCAAGAAGAGTATCACCTTTTAAAGGAATTATTTCAAAAAGGTTCGCTGACAATCTGGAAGAATACATAGGCCAAAACAGAGAAAAATTTTTAATTCACGATGATGGGACTTTTGACACAAATGTTCGCGGTAGAAGTATTAAGGAAAGTAACTTTAGTCATGTCATTGAATATATTACAGGTGAAAGACCGACTATATCTAAAGGATTCAGTTTCCTTTTTGGAAGAATTGCTAAGGATCCACTAGTTAAGGAGATGATTCGTGCATCACGTGAGGAAGAAACAGCATCAGATGAGAGTAGCAGTAGCCAATCGGGAAGAGGAAAAAAGAGGAAAGTTGTGCTGGTAAGTATAAATTCTCCGAAAAAGAAATTTGTACCAAAAATATGGGAAAAACTCTAGAAAAACATTTGAAACAAGTTTATTATTCGCTTAACTCGCCAGCCTCTTATGCAGGAATTCGACGTGTTTATGAAGAGGCGCGTCACAAGTTTCCCAAGCTAAAAATGAAGGAAGTGTATGATTTCATGCATAAACAACGTGTATATACTATGCACTACCCTGCAAGAAGACGTTTCTCACGACTCACTACAAGACCTAGCGGTCTTCATACAGATTGGCAGGGTGATTTAGCAATATTTGATAAGCTTGCTTCACAAAATGAAGGATATAAATATTTACTAGTTTGCATTGATGTATTGAGCAGAAAAATTTTTGTCGCTCCTGTTAAATCTAAACATGCTGAGAATATGATAGAAGCATTCGAAAAAATATTTGCCGCAAATAAAGGCATTCTTCCACATAGACTTTATACAGATCGAGGCTTAGAGTTTCAAGCCAAGAAAATGCGAGATTATTTCGACTCTAAAGATATAGATAAGCGTGTTGTTTTTAGTCCTGATGTACATGCTTCAATGGCCGAGCGTGCTAATCGAACAATAAAAGAAAGACTTTATCGTTATTTTAGCCAGAAAAATACCCTTCGTTGGGTAGACGTCGTTCAAAATATAGTAGATGGAATAAATGCAAGTGTAAATCGTGTAACAGGGGTAACTCCGAATTCTGTAAACTTTAAAAACGCTAGAAAACTTTTCGAGAGGCTATATAAGGAAACTTATAATCATACAGGAACAAAACAAAAACTTAACCCTGGACAAACTGTTAGAATCGCTAAAGAAAAAGGAAAATTTGAAAAAGGATATTTTGCCAATTACACCGACGAGCTTTTTCGTATTGTTACTGTTAACGATAGTCGCGTCCCTACTATATATCGCCTCGAAGATTTACGCGGAGAAAAAATTGAAGGAATATTCTATCTCGAGGAATTGGTCCCCACATCTCTAGATACCACGCACAGAATAGCTGAAATATTGAAAACACGTAAAACTCGCGAAGGATTAAAACATTTTGTCCGTTGGATAGGATATAACGATACACATAATAGTTGGATTAAAGATACCGATATTGTACGATAATGGATTCTTTTTATGTGGTTTTGCCATCAAACACTGAAGATGTTGACGGGAATACCACGTCAAAATTCACAGTTCGCATGCCTGATACTCTTGAACTAGATTCAACCTGGACAGTTGCTCTATCGAATATTATTTACCCATTTTCATTTGCTTTACTTGATGACTCAGAAACAAATGAATCAATAACAGTATTTAGAACATATAAGGATGAGGTTCGCTCAACACGCATTGAAATACCAGATTTATTCTTTTCTTCGGAAGCTGCATTGGAAGCAGCATTAAATTCATTTTTATTAGACGTTTGGGAAAAAGAACTTGAAAAAATACGCTTAGAAGAGGAAAATGAAGAAGCAAAGAGAAAAATCTATGGAGGTTTTTTTCGACGGAAAAGAGATGCTGATAATATGGAAGTTACAGAATATGGCTATCCTCCAGAATATCAGAAGAAACTTCTCGATTTAAACAAAACTCAATTATCTGATCCTCGATATCAATGGGTCTCAGTACATCACGACCTAACTCACAATCGATTTTGGTTTTGGTTTCAGGGTAATGTAAAATATATTCAATTAAGTAAACAGTTGGCATATACTCTTGGTTTTAATTCTCAAACAGTTTACTCTGGACAAGTTGCAAAGTATATGCCCGATATTTCGGGAGGAGTCCGCCAATTATTAGTGTATGCACCAAAATTAGTTGAGAATAGCATCATAGGAAACGTAACAGCTCCTCTTCTAAGAGTTGTAAACGTCAGTGGTAAACCTGGAGATAGCGTTTCGGAAGTATATATGACTGAACATCATCATCGTTTACAAGGTAAAAGACATCCTGATATAACTATAGAAATTAGAACTCTAACCGGAAAACTCGTAAAATTTCATTGGGGTAATTGTATAATAACATTACATTTTCAACGGTCGCTATTTTGAATGACTCACGTAGCTGTTGATTTGGATAGTATTGACTGGGAACCCTTCCTAAATGCCCAAGAAGGAGGAGGGCTGGAAATCAAGGACAGTAGTCCTTACTTTCAAGGTACGCGATACCAACGAGGCTTTGGATTGTTTGGTTCCGTTGGACGTTTTCTATTGCCTATTGTCAAAAATCTAGCGACTACTGCTGGACAAGAAGCAGTAGCTGCGGGAAGAAACGTACTCGAAGATGTTGCACAAGGTAGATCTATTAAGGAAGCACTGCAACAACACGGTAGTGAAGGTTTACAAAAGGTAGGCAAAAAGCTGCAGCAATGCGGGAAAGGCAAGAAAACAACCAAAAAACGTCGTTACAAAGACCAATTAAGTATTAGTATATAAGTGTGTTAACTAGAATTTTATCGCAACAATGACTACAATAAAGAAAATAGATAAGGACAGTGCAGAAGGAGTTGATAATAGAATTACATTCTTTTCTGTTCCTGCTACAAATGTAGGAATTCAGCGTTCAGCATACAAGGAATTACTTCCTCTTAATGCTCTCAATCAGTCTGCTGGACCTTTTATTTTTCGTTACTTTGGTGACTCTCTCTATCTTGATTTAAGCAAGACTTATTTCCACTTGAATTTATCACTTGAAAGAAAAATCGACGAAACTGGTGAGTGGGTTCCAATTACAGACGGTTACGGCGATTTCAAGGGGGATCGGTTTATTAGCGTTGCTCAATATCTAGGACTTACATGGATTCGTCGTCTGACTCTTTCTATTAACGGTACTCAATGTTTTGACTCAGGCATCCACTATGCCTACAGATGTATAATTCTTCATGAACTTGGTGCGGATCGTGAAGTAAGTAAGGGTCTGTATGAGGCTTCACTTTATTACAAAGATGCGTTAGATAAAGATGATTTTGAAGGCGCGGGATTTAAATCTCGTCTTTCACGTTTTTCTAAAGGTAAGGTCTGTCGAATGATTTCTCATTTAGATTATGATTTCGCGCGGCAGAATCAGCTATTAGTTCCACACAGCGACGTTATATGGACCATCTATAGAAATTCTGACGAGTTTCTTATTCACGCTCCCAAGTATAGAATAATACCTCCGAATGCGGCAGGTGCAGAATTTGTAAATAACACTCATACTTACCGTTTACGGCTTCATGATATGAGAATTTATGTGAAGCAAGTTGACTTAAGTATGTCACTGAATAATGCAATTGCTAGACATTTGGAACAAACTCCTGCGAAATATGCTTATAAAAAGATTGAAATTCGCAGTGTTTTTCTTGGAAAAGGACGCCAGGAAATTAGTCACGCTTCATTTACCAGTACATGTCCAAGACGTTTGATAATTTGTTTCGTAAATTCTTCTGCATTTACTGGTGTCCCTTCTCTTTCTCCCTTCACTTTTGAAAATGCTAATGTTCGTTCAGTTTCAGCAGAATTTGGAGGCTTCCAGTTTCCTTCCATTCCTTATGATCTAGACTTTGCCAATAATAATTTTGTTCGTGCCTACGTTGATATGTATTCAGGTATGGATCTCGATGCGTGGCCAAACTCTGAACAAAGAACTCTTAGTATCGGGATGAAAGAATTTTCAAAATCTTCATGCTTTTTTGTTATACCTATGACTTCCACCCTTGAGGATACAAACGGTTTAGAACTCATAAGACACGGCACAACGACTGTTAGGTGTTTTTTCAACGAGCCAGTAAAAGAGGAAGGCTATGAAATGATTATCATGGGTGAGTTTGACTCAATTCTGTCCATAAATGCTGATCGTGTTTTAAGCACTGATGGATCAGTATGAATTCGTTACAAATTCAAACTATTATGCAGAAATATGAACCGTTAAAACATAAATTTATTGGTGTTTTTTCTTCAAATAATATACCTCCCTCTGTTAGAAAAAAGAATTTTTGTTTTATTGCAAATACAATGCGTAAAGGGACTAGAGGAGAACATTGGATTGCCTGTTATTCTGACAAAGCAGATACTATAGAATACTTTGATTCGTTCGCTGAAGAACCTAATTGTGAGATGCGCCGATCCTTACTTTCAAACTATTCAAATGTTAAGCAAAATCGTTTTGTTTTACAATCACCTTTCTCTGACACATGCGGTCACTATTGTATCTGCTTTTTAGTATTGCGTTCACTTTATGGAACGTTTTCCGAAGTCCTACAGAAATTACACTCTATACCCCCTGAAGGACGTGATATCGCTCTAAGAAATTTTGTTCAAAAATTAGCGCTTGGTATATAAGAGACCGGTACCATTACGTATTTTTATCTGATATTCTATTCTATGATGGTTATTTCCGAATTAATTCTTCCTTTCCCCCGTAATCCTTATGAAAATAATACAATCTTTATAGATAGCGAAATCATTATGCCTCCTCAACAAAATTTTATATTAGGGTTTGCTTATATCTTATACATACTATTTATTTTTCTTTTACTATTCTTCTATCAGGCTCGAAATGGCTTCTTTAATCGCACTAATATAAATGAAGCTGTTCGTCTTTCAAGGGTATAAAAGGCGAAAATTTTACTAACCCAATATCAACATGCGAACCTCGTGTATAACCTCAACTTCTGCTTTTACTCAATGGAGGGAAAAACGTAACGAATGTCGATTCCAAGCCGTCCACGCCTTGCCTTAAAAAAACATCCCTTGTTAGTCTGCTGTGTCAATTCAATGGAGGATGCACTCCTGAAACTCTGCACTGTGCTATGCGTAAAAGAATGGAAGAAAATCTAAAATATATTCAACAACTATCTGGAATGACTGAAGAAGAGGTTATTTCAGCGGGAATTGGACAAAAACTATTGATGGATGGATACGCTCCAATGAAAAATAAAGGACTTGTAACAAACCATTTACATAAATTTCAGATGGAATTGTATCCTTGTAAACTTACAAAATTGGGCGCTGATCATGTATTTGCTCTCAGAGGATATCTTCGCGTTACAATAAGGTAATTTTATTTTTCTTCTGTTATTAATATTTTTCATTTTTAGACAATACTTCTATGTCCGTCATCGAATAAACCTTTATCTTCCACGTCTACCCGTTCTATGTGTGTTTGGAGGAAAGAATCACCAATATTTTTATCCCCTTGAATGTATAGATGTTGTGACGAATGAAGAATAGATATGTTAAAATATGCCCTTCCTATCTTTTTTGAGATATTTAATTGTTAGCTCTATTTTTCTCATAATTTTTGTATTGTTGCTGCGCTCAAAATAAAATTTTAATGCACAATTGTTTTCTTTTAATTATTTTTACTAGTTTTTAACTTAGATTAAAATTTTTCCTCTAATAATAATTTACATTAAAGTAAACATTTCTTATAAAAATAAAAAATAAATAAAAATTATAAACTCAAAAAATACAAAAAATTCAATAATACATAAAAATCAATAATAAATAAAAATTATAAATTAAAAATATAGAAAATTAAATAATAAATCAATTTGTCGCTTACTCATACACTTAAGTGCTTTACAACCTTAACCCCTGTGCACCTATCCATTAGTTAAGTGGTTTTTTAAGTGGGTGTTTTTTTTATTTTTTTTAAATTTTTTAAGTGGTTATTTAAGTGGTTTTTTAAGTGGTTGTTTTTTAAATGAAATTTTTTAAATTTTTAAAATTCCTTTAAATTCTAAAATTTTTTAAGTGGTTTTTAAGTAGGTTGTTTTTTAATTTTTTTCATTTTTTAAATTTTTTAAATTATAAATTTTTAAGTGGGTTCCTTAAGTGGTTTTTTAATTAATTTTCTAAGTGGGGGTTTTAAGTGGTTTTTAAGTGGGGTTTTAATTGATTTTTTAAGTGGGGGTTTTAAGTGAAATTTTTTAAATTTTTTTAAATTTTTTAAAAATTTTTTAAGTGGTTTTTAAGTGGGAGTGGGGTCCTTAAGTGGGGTTTTTAATTGATTTTTTAAGTGGGGGTTTTTTATAAAATTTTAAAATTTTTAAATTTTTTAAAATTTTTTAAGTGGGGTTTTAATTGATTTTCTAAGTGGGGATTTTTTATAAAAGTTTTAAATTTTTAAAATTTTTTTAAAATTTTTTAAGTGGTTTTTTAATGGGGTTTTTACGTGGTTGTCAATTAATCACTTATAAACCCGTAAGTGATCCATTAATTTAAGTGGTTGTCAAAAACCCCCTTAACAACCCGTAAGTAATTAATGGTGGTATTTAAGCTATGCCGGAATCCTTTTTGTTCTTATTTTTTTATTTTTTGTTATAAAACCGGCTTTTATAAAAATTAATAATGTTATAAAAATGGGTTAGATACTACTATTTTCTCATGATTCACTTTCCCATGTGTCTTTTTCTTCTTTTTTTTTCTCAAGAGAAACACAAATTCTCTCTTAAATTTTTTGGATTTATTGCAACATCTCAAAAATTCTTTTTCGATTTTTTAAAAATTATTTTAAAAAAATTGTCTTAATTTTTAAAATAAAAAATAAATTATTAAATTTAAGGACGTCTTCCAGATAAAATAAATTTTATTTTTAAATTAAGGGGGAAATTTTAAAAATAAATTTATTTTACCTGGGGGACGTCCTTAAATTTAAAAAAAATTTTTATTTTAGTAGGGAAACCTTTCAAGAAAAAAATTTTTTTGTGGGCAATTTTTTTATTTTTTAAGGAAGCCTTATCAGTTAAAATAAAATTATTATTTTATAGACTAATTTAGAAATATTTATTTTTTAGCTATTTAATTAAGCAAATACACAAATATTTCTTAAACACACACACCTTTTAATAATTTTTTTCTTGTTCGTCTCCTTTTTTTCTTTGCGTTCCCAAGCGACGATTTTTTCCAACAAGACAGCTAGAGCTCTTCTTCCTTTTATGCTTAATAATGCTTTTATAAATTCTGCCCAGAATATCAACACAAACCTTTCAATCAGATTAAAATCTGAACAAAAATTAATTTGATAGAGAGTACACCTTTAGAGTAGGGGAAAAGTGAGAAATAAAAATGTTGTGAAAAATCAGAATTAAATTAAAACAAATTAAAATAAAATCAGAATTAAATAAAAACAAATTAAAAGAAAACCAGAATTTAATCAAAACAAATAAATAATAAAACCAGAATTAAATCAAAACAAGCAGAAAAATCAGAATTAAATCGGAACAAATAATAAAATCAGAATTAAATCAAAACAAGAAGAAAATCAAACTTTAATCGGAACAAATAATAAAATCAGAATAAACTGAAACAAACATATTAAAAATAAGACCAGAATTTAATAAAAACAAATTAATAAAACCAGAATTTAAAACAAACACACGAGCAGAAAATCAGAATTTAATAAAAACAAATGAACAATAAAACCAGAATTAAACTAAAACAAACACGTTAAAATGAAAACCAGAATTAAATTACAACAAAAACAAATAAAACAATCATGAGAAATCAGAATTTAATTAAAACAAAATCTTAACATAATTTTTAAATCAGAATAAAACATCATAAAAACATCAATTTCAAGATGTTTTTATTAACATTGCTGATATTCTGGGTTTACTCTAAATGCACATTTGATTCATTCTCGTCTTTTGCATGCAATAAATAAATTATTCTTTTTTTTCCCTCAATCCTTTAACATGTTTTTCAATTTTTTTTTTCTAGTAATTCCCCTCTTTTTTTATTTTAGGGAGGAGAGTGCAATAAAAAAAAGAACACATAAAACACCCCATTTCAATCATCAAACCATTCATTCACAAATAATGGACAGAAAGGCGGGTCCATATTCAGATTTTGCTTCCGTTGATGACGGTTGGAAAAATAAAATTTTAAAAAATAAATAAAAATTTAATATTTTTTATTTTTAAATTAGATCCTTTAACTGACCCTATAATGGATGAGGAAGCAAAAAAGGTTGAAATTGAGTTAGCAAGACATATGCAAAAACATAATATTAAATCTGAAAATGAGGATGGTGATGAGGGGGAAAATGCTAGATTGAGAAATAAAAGTGGGTGATTTTTAATTAATTATAGTGCAAATAATTCTAAAATTTGGTCGATTATTTAAATGACCAAAGCTTAGATCAATAAACACGAGGGGCTTAGTTTTGATGTTTGGTGTTTTGTTAAAACAAAATCAGAATTAATTAAACGAACAAAACCAGAATAAATAGAAAAACAAACCCAGAATTAGTTAAAAACAGCTAGAATAAATAAAAAAAACAAAACCAGAATAAATAGAAAAACAAAACCAGAATTAATTCCAAACAAGGCCAGAATCAATTTAAAAAACTAGAATTAATAAGAGAACAAAGGCTGAATAAAATTACATAAACGAAACCAGAATTAATTTTAAACACGAAATTTAAAAAATACTTAAGCCTACATATTATACACACACACACTTCAAAAATGCGTTTCTTAAAATTCAAAAATTTAATTGAAATTTTAGGAGAATCTACCGATTCAGGAGACTACCAGAATCTCTCCTTTGGACCTTCCGGGCATGTGATAAGTTCTCCATATGAGCTTTCTCACTACCCAATCGAGATTTTGGAATGTAAAAATGCTCTACAAAAGCAAATTTCAAGCAGGTGGGTAATTATTTGAATTATTTCCAAATTATCAACACTTGGAGGGGCTTTTTCTAAAAATTAAATTTTATGGGGTTTTAGTGGGATATTTTTATTTTTTGTGGACTTTTTAGAATGGAATAAAAAAATTTTTATTAAAAAATTTTTTTAGCACTTTAAAAAATTCCTTTAACGATTTAATCTTTTTCTTTCACAACTAACAAAAATTAAAAAAAATTCTTTCACTTTTTTAACAAAAAAACGAAAAAATTCTTTCTCTAAGACTGTCAGAAGCTTCTTCTGTTCCTTCAAATAAAACAACAATTTCTACAAGCCGTTCATTAATTCAAGGAATAAATAAAGACAGAGCATCTTCTTCACTTGGACATCATCAACAACAACAACCTTTAATCTTTGAAAATAGCAGCAACATTTCTGGGAATGCTACATTTTCTGCAGGTGGAGGTGGATTACAAAATAGACGCTTATCTTTACAACAACCATATAATAAGTGAGTTTTGATTTTTTCCTTTTACTCTTTTGCCTTTTTTTGAAATTTTTCTTTTCCTAATTTTTATAAAAATTTCAAAATTTTTTATTTTCCGAAAAGTTGTTAGAAACATTTTGGTATTTTTTAAAAATAAAAAAATGATTAATTCTCAACAATTATGAGTGGAGGGGGAGAGAGGAAGGGGGGAGGGGTATTTTTCATGAATTTTTTTGTTGGGAAAGGTTTTTCGTTGTTTTTAAAAGAGCACCTTTTTTTTTAAACTTTTAAACAGTTTTCCTAAATTTATTAAAAATATTTTGGTATTTTTTAAAGAGGGAAAAAATGACTAATTCACCGATTATGAGTGGAGGTTGAGAGAGGAAGGAGGGGGTATTTTTCACGAATTTTTTTCTTGGGAAAGGTTTTTTGTTTTTAAAAAGCACGTTTTTTATATAAAACTAACTTTTAAACAAACTTTTTTACACAAAAAACCTCTATCTATAAAAATCTATCTAACAAACTCTACATATTTACAAACAGAAAACGCCCCTTATTTTCTGTAGTTAAATTACAATAAAAATTTATTTTTTATTTTTAATATAAATACACTATTAATTGTTTTAATTCTGCATATTTTTCCACATTTTTTTTTTAAATTTTATTTTTTTCTTTTTAAGATATAAGGGGCGGGGGTTGGAGAGTGTCTGCTATCTGCATAATTAAAAAAATTTTTTTTACTTAAGAACCTACACATTCTTTAAAATATTGATATCATTTAAATATAGAATTAAATTAGCTGCAAAATGCAACAGAAAAATCTTAAAAAATTCTGCAAAACTTGAGAAATATTGTCAAAAAATCATCGAAAAATACCCAAAAAATTTAATTTTTTGGCTATAACTTTTTTGTAAAATAAATTAAAATTTTGATTTTTGTTTCATTTTGTAGAAAATTTAATTCTCTATCGAATGGTACCAAAATTTTATTAAACGGTCTATTACTTGTTAAGTTATGGATTAATAAAGAGATCGGGGTCGCTTTGAGATTTAGGTATTTTATAGGTGAAGAATCCTTGGTGTAGTGGGTTAGTGACTTTGATTTCTGAAGAGAAACGGCTTAGGTTCGAATCCTAGTCAGAATAGAAATTTTATTTTTTGATTTTTCTTATGTTTTTTTATAATTTTAAGAATTCTAAGTTTGTAAAATTTCTAAAAAAAAATTTTTAGAGGAAGACTTGAATCAATTCGAGAGCAACAAGCAGTTGGGACTTCAGGCGCTGTTAGCCCGGAAGATAGAATAATGCTTAGCCAATGCAGTAATAGTATAGGGTTATCTCCAACATCGCCAAGTGGGGGTGGAAGGCTTTCAGCTATTTCTCCTTCTGCATTTGCTTTTGCTATGGGGAGTGATAAGGTAATGGATATTTTAAGTAGAGAGATCGGACAGTGACTTCAAACGAATTGAAAATTTTTTGGAGATCGGGAATCTTCGGGGCATCGATCTCGATTTTCGGCGACCCGACCAGTCCGGTTTCTAATTAACAGAAAATTTTTTTAAATTAAAAAAAATTTTCTTCTTTCCTTGTATAGCTTGATGACATTGACAGAGAATTATGTTTACCACAGCATGTTGAAATGCATTCATTTCGTGATGCTATAGATGTTAATTATCAACGAATGGTACCTTGAAAAATTTTTTTGAGAAATTTTTTTTCTTTTTCTAGGGTTTGACCGGTGAAGAGCTTTCAGGGGTAATTAAAAAATTAATTTTTTCTTTTGATTGAAAAAATTTTTTTTAGGTTCCTTTGGAAGATTTGCGTAGTGCAGCTCGTCAATTAGTTGAAGCTTTACGTTTGCGTAGTGAATATATGGAATTAGTTGGTGGAGTTTTCCCTAGCACTACAAGAAATTTTTTGATTGGAAAATATCCTTCTAATCTTCCCAAATGTAGACGAAAAAACACTGAAACTTGTGAGTTTTTTGAGGAAATTTTAAAAAAGTTTTTGCTTCTTTTTTAATTTTAATGAAAGGAACTAATTAACTCTAATTCTCTTCTTTTATTTGGCAGATCATCTCTGTAGGTCGTTTAATCTGAAACATTTTTTTATGAACACGCAATTCTCTCTCATTTAGTTTTTGTCTGTGCTTTCATTATAAATTAATTTAAATGGCATCAAATCTCGTTTTTAGATATCTGTTTGAAGCTTACAAAATCAGACCTTATAAAGAGCGTATTTTATGTTGGAGGGCTCTCTTAGGCGAATTCTCTAGTTCTCTGTTAAATTATTTTTCTGGGACCAGATTTTGAATTTCCCGTTCATAACTGACCGGGTCTAGCCATATTGTTCCGATCCAATTTTACTCCGGTTCAAACTTATCTTACCTAATGATCTAACAAAAAATTTTTTTTCAAATTTTTTCTTAAATTAAGCATTGCCTAATTTTAGGGTATCTAAAAATGAGTTTTTGACTGTCACTATACACAATCGTAACTTTCTTTTATGTTTCATTCTAAAACCTTTTTTTAATTCAATATTTTTACTTTTAAAAATTATTAAATTCTTTAGCAAAATTACAAGAACACCACACACTTTTCAATCTTTCCATCACAGAATCACTCACTTTATTCACCTTTTTTATTCAAATTACACACTCAATTTTCTTATTTTTTAGCTGCCAGTATGTCATATAACCCTCCAGAACCTCCAAAAGATCATTGGGGATTAGACCAACCATTACCAATTTATGAAAAAATATTTGGCTTGGAAAGGCATCGAGGCACGGTATTTAAATTTTTGGAAATTTTTCTTTGATTAAAATTTAATTTTAAGGTGGCTGTTATAGACAAATCAACAAAAGAAATTTTTGAGCCTTTAAAAAAGTTTTATATTACTCGTGAGAAATATTTGAAGTAAGGAGTTTTTGTATTTATTGAAGGCATTAACCGTCAGGCTGGACGCAACCCGAAAGAAATTTTTTGGTTAAAAATTCGGAAAAAAATTTTTTCTGCAGTCGCCATTTAATTTTAAAAATCAGTAGTCCGTAAGTAAAGGAAACCAACACAATTTAGTTCTCATTTTTGAAAAATGCGTCCAGCCCTGATTTGAAGGGCCTTGTCTCAATTTTGTGCCCCTTTTCATAAAAGGGGGTGTCACGGGTACCCGAAACTCCTGTCTTTTTTTTCGTCCCGAAATTGACCCGACTTTTCTCTCTCTGACACCCTTGTTCAACAGTTTCTTAAGCAGTTCTTCGGAACTAAAAATGCACTAGTCATTGGGGAGGTTTATTTTATCGAACATTTACGGATTTCTTTTTTATGCTCTATGATTTTTATTATTTAAAAAAAATTTTTTTAAGAGACTTTAATTGGTTAAACCGTATATGTAATGAAGGCCCTCTCAAAACTTTTTGTTATCGTCGCCTAACATTTTTACAAACACATTTTCAACTTCACGTCCTTTTAAATGAGCAATTAGAAAGTGCAGAACAGAGAAGTGTTCCACATAGAGATTTTTATAATATCCGAAAAGTTGATACACACATACACGGTTTGCTTGTTTTAGATGAATTCTTTACTGAAAAAAATTGTTTTTTAAGCGGCAAGCTCAATGAATCACAAGTTAGTTTTGAGGGATTTTTTTAAATTTAATTTATCATTTATGATTTTAAAAGTTCGCAAGATGATAATATTTAAATAAAATAATTTATGATTTTCCCTTGTATTGTGCATCAGGAATGGGCGGATTAGAAAAAATGTTGGGTCAGATTTTTGAATCGTGTTTAGAATTTGAGGGTATCGGATTTCGGATAACCATCCCTCGTATGAAGGAAAAATACTCAAACCAGCATTTTTTATTAAGAAAATTATTTTGAAGACATAATGCGGATTAAACTTGCGGACTTTTTTATAATCTAAAAATACAATTCGAAAAAAATTTTTTTCTAGACATTTGCTTCGATTTATTAAAAAAAGAATGAGAACAGATGCGGATGAAGTTGTTCAGTTAAAGGTTAGATATTGAAAAAAAATTCTTAAAAAAATTTAAATTAAAAGAATGGAAGGCCTATTACAATGAGGGAAGTATTTGAGAAAATGGGTGTTAGTCCATATGATCTTTCTGTTGATATGCTGGATGTGCATGCTGATAGAAATACGTAAGGAAGGGTATTTTTTGATGCTAATTTAGAATTTTCATGTGAATTTTTTAAAATTTATGTGTGATCTCATAAAGGTCATTTAATAATGGTCATTTTTCAAATAGTCGTTTAAATCTTTTTGTCAAAATGTGAATTTTTTGGAATGTTCATTTTTTATTTTTAATCTCTTCAACCTTCTTACCATTAGAGCTGCACGCAATCTAAAAAAAATATTTTGCAACTTGAAATCCGCAATTGCGTGCAGCCCTGCTTACCAGGGATGGTGTCAGTCTCGTGTCTCGTATCTTGTGAGACTAGCGCCACCCCCGCTTCTCACGTTACATTACTTTCCCAATTTTTTTCAGTTTTCATCGTTTTGACAAATTCAATGCAAAATACAATCCAGGTTTAATTAAATTAATTTTTTTTATGATTTTATTCTAGTTGGTCAAAACGATTTGAGAGAAATATTTATAAAAACGGACAATTACGTAAATGGAAGATATTTTGCTCAAGTACTCAAAGAAGTTTTTATTGATGTTGAGGTTTGTTTTTGGGGAATGCGGAGGGGGGATTCTTTTGACTTAAAAAATTTTAAAAATCAAAAAAATTTTTTTTCAAATTTTTTAAAAAATTTTCAAAAAAAAATTTTTTTTTATTTTTAAGGAAAATAAATACCAAAATATGGAGCCTCGTTTATCAATTTATGGACGCGATAAAGATGAATGGGACAAACTTGCTAATTGGGCAATTACGCATGATGTTTGTTTTTTTGGAAATTTTTGATAAGAAATTTCTCAAAAGTTTTTTTTTTCAGAATTTTTTAAAAATTTTTAAAAATTTCAAAAAAATTGAAAAAATTTTCAAAAATTTTTTGAAAATTTTTTGAAAATTTGTTAAAAATTTTTCAAAAAAATTTCTCAAAAAAATAGTTTTAGGTTTGGTCACAAAATGTTCGTTGGATGATACAAATTCCTCGTTTATACGACGTTTATCGTTCAAAAAATTTACTTTTAAATTTTGATGAATTTCTTTCAAATATATTTTCTCCACTTTTTGAAGTTACAAATGACCCTAAAACACATCCAGAATTACACAGATTTTTACAGGTTTTTTTTGTAGGAATTTTTTTAAAAGAAGAAAATTTTTGTTTAAAGCATGTTTCTGGATTGGACTCTGTAGACGATGAATCTAAACATGAACACGTTCCTTTTACTAAAGATTGTCCTGAACCTGTGGATTATACGAGTGATGAGGTTTTTTTTTAAATTTTTGACTATTATTTTATTTTTCTTCATAGAGGAAGATAAAAATTTTTTTTAATTTTTGGATTCCTCTTTCTCATAGCTGAAGCAACATCTTGGGGTTTTTTTTGAGCTTCCCCCGTTAGAAAAGAATATTTGACTTTAATGATATACTACCAAAGTCAATTTGCTTTATAGACGGATTTAACCAAATTTTTTAATTAACTGAAACAGAGACGAACATTTTCGTTTTTGTTTGAAAACAACAATGTTAAGGGGACAATTTTTAAGTTTTTTTTAATTTTTGTTCTTTAATGGTTTTTTAAAATTAATCTTTTTTTTTCAGAACCCATCATATTCTTACTACCTTTTCTACATGTATATGGTTGGGATTTTGTTTTTTATTAATTTTTTTTTTGAAAAAAAAATTTTTTTCAAAAAAGTATTGCACAAGGTCTTTGTAAAATTTTTTTGGAAATTTTTTAGCTTTTGGAAATTTTTTAGGAAATTTTTTCAAAAAATTTTCTAAAAATTTTTCTCCAAAAAAAATATTTTTTTTTTCAGAATTTGGCATCACTAAACGCTTTTCGACAATTGAGAGGATTAAATACATTCGCATTACGACCTCATTGTGGTGAAGCTGGGCATGTTAATCATTTAAGTGTAACGTTAGTTTTTGTCTTTTATTATTTTTTTGAATTTATTTTTAAAGTTATTTAACTTCTGAAAGTATTGCACATGGTCTTTTACTTCGAAAAGTTCCAGTTTTACAATATTTGTTTTATTTGGCACAAATTGGCATGGTATGGGGTTTTTTTTGAAAAAAATTTTTTGAAATTTTTTTTTTTGAAATTTTTTTGAAAAAAATTTTTTTACATTTTTTAAGGCAATGTCCCCCTTATCAAACAATCACCTTTTCTTAACTTATCATCGTAATCCAATGCCCGATTTTCTTATGAAAGGTTTAAATGTTTCTTTATCGACTGATGACCCTTTACAATTTCATATTACAAAGGTTTTTTTTTTAAATTTATTTTTTAATAAAAAAATTAATTTTTTAGGAAGCTTTAATGGAAGAATATTCTATTGCTGCACAAGTTTGGAAATTAAGTTCTTCGGATATGTGTGAACTTGCGAGGAATAGGTTTTTATTCTTTTTTTTTTAATTTTGATTCATTTTTAAATATTTTTCCAAATTTTTTTTTCTTAAATTTATTTTTTTTCAGTGTTCTTCAATCAGGATTTGAGGTAATTAATTAATTTTTATTATAATAATTTTTGTGAATGACGAGCTTTTTGCGCACTCATAATATTCGAGGGTGCAAAAAGCTCGTTACTCATAATTCCACTTTTTAAAAAATTTTATCAGAAAATAATTGGGAAAATTATTTTTAAGTACGAGAAATTAAAAACTGAGGCCCTCTTATTTTCTGCTCCCCAACCCTTTTTTGATTTTTTAATTTAAAAGATGACAATTAAATTAAATATTTTTTAATTTTATTTAATTTAATTTTTTTAGGATCGTATAAAACTTTATTGGTTAGGTCCAAATTACCGAGAAGAAGGTGTTTTGGGCAATGACGTTGCTAGGTAAGAGAAAAAAATTTTTTCTAATTAAATAAAAAAACTAAAATCGA